GCACGTCTAACCCACGTGACCGTGGCCCTGGGCGTTTCAAAAACGCCAAAGCGCGAACTTCCTCATGCACATGTCTTCCTCTCCCTTCCACCAGTACCACCATCTCCCACACTCGCGTGATCAGCTCCAACACAGCTCGCTGTATAGCCCAGCCCGTATCCTCGTGACTTGCCCTGCCGAGTCTACTCGCTCACTATGATCAGGCTCCCCGTTGAATGCTTCCAGGGACCCGACACCCCGCCAATGCTAAACAGAGCACTTCTGAAGCCTTGGTACGTGATAATGCATCATTTTATGCGCATATATCCACTCCCTCGACCGCAGGTCACGCGGTCTAAGCCCAAAATCAAGCAGGAGTCGCCCGTTATCGTCATATTGACTCCGACCTGTTGCTGCTGATGCTCTGTAAGTATCTGCCTGCTCTATGCGCACTCAATTTACACCCGCATGTATGCATTTCCTTCTAGCACAAAATTTCCGACACTCACAGATTCTCCAGAAGCCCCTGTCGGGTAACAGTGGGTTTTACTGTGTACGAATTCCTTCTGTATTTGACCCGAGGCGAATTACGACAGGACCCCGCAAGCTCACGGTATGTACAGCACTTTATTGCCCCTTTCCTCGTCTAACGTCCATGCAACAATGTGCAGGCCCACGGGGGACGCGGCGTGTGAACGGCGCAACGAACCCGATCTTGCGCGTGAAGGGCCTGGTCGACTCCGTCCTGACGTTCGAAATCGAGATGTCCTGGATGAGCGAAGACGGGTGCGTCCATCTCTCTCTTCCGTCTCATGCGATATGTGCCGACCACTTTCCCCCACCCCCATTGCTGTCGATGCGGCGGACTACTCGCTCTCCAAGGGCAAGCTCAACGTCGCGCTGCAGGCGACGACTATTAGCTGCTCTTCATCGACTCCGCGCACGGCATCCTGTACAGCACGTCCTCCACTCCCATCTCATTGCATATCTCCGGTAGCTGGTCGTCATGGTGGATCTTATCATATGCCGCAGGTATTCGTGCGTCTCTGTTCAGTGTTGTCGTTGTGATGTATGTTGTGTCGTCAGACGTCATTGTAATATACACTCTAGTTAATGGTACAATAATAATTCTGTCTCTCCGATTTATGTTGTTTGAATGGCTCCATATGTATGCTCAAGCTGTCCATACCGTGTGCTCGGTCCGATCAGTGTCGACCAAATGGCTGTGGCCGTTCGACCGAGCATGACCAGAAGCTCCGCGAAGTCTGACCATGCTCGACCATACTGCCCTGCCTGTCAGCTCATAGACGGCCCGGGACCCCCGTGAAGTAGACCTGGCGGGATCAAACCAGCCTTGCAATAAGACCATCCGAGATCCCTCTCCCACTGACCACTGATCATACTTGCTCATGCTCGATGATATTTGGTCGTTATTCGTCACAAGAAGGCCGGGCAGACAACTGATGATCTCGCAGACTTATTTCGATCTCGCATGCTCCGCTTATGATCCTCTCACCGCCATTTTCGTGATGTGGGAGCGGTCAGAACGAGGGCCACGCACGTCATGGTCATCAGACCGTGCTAGATATAAATATGGGATATTTGGTAACGGAGCATAGAAACAGCTCCGTCCATAACGACTGCGGCAGAGTCACCAAAGCCTGGCGATCGCGGACGAACGCGACATGTCACAGCACATGCGCCAACACACGCTTGGGTTCAAAGGAGAGCGCACGTGAGATTGAACTGATCCGGCTACATCGAAACCTCACTTCCCTTCAACCCTCTCATCCCACTGCAGGTCCGCAGGCGTCTTGATATCCCATTGCGCCTCCAGTTCCACCTTCTTGCCCTCAGCGACCCTACACACCCACTCGTACATCCCGTCCTTCTCCCCGCCCTTCCCATCCTCCACCTTCGACCATCGCACCTTCACAGCCGACACATCGCCCTCCAGAGCGACCGACACCTCTTGCCCGTCCCGCGCTTGCGCCAGGTCCGCCGGCTTCCGCAGCATCACTTTGATCTTCTCGTCGCTGTCTCCGAGCGGAAGAGAGTCGCGGACGACCAATCCGGCGACGTCGAACGCGTGTCTGTTCGTCACCGTCGTCGTCACCGTCTGCGTGGTCGTCTTCAACGGCTCCGCGAAGCTGCGCGCCGCCTCGCGTTCCACCTGAGACCGGGTGTGGAAGGTGATCCGCAGCGCGGTGTCGACCCCGAGGATGCACTCGAAGCTCTGATTGACACCGATGAGCTGCGCGAGGCGATCGAGCGGCGCGTGAGCACGGAGTATGACACACGATGGTCGGGAGAGCACGTACCCCGAGCGAGGTCTTGGTCACGAACCCGTCGTCCATGTAGACGCTGACGGGACCCGCGAGGAGCTCGTACTCGCTCGTGTTCTTGATGGTCGCCTCGATGAACGCGGCCGGGGTCTTCTTCGGGACACAGACGTAGCGCAGCTCCGCGGTGAACGTGAGCGGCGTGATGGCGACCTTGTGCGCGAGGCCGTCGCTCGCGATGGTCACCGCCTCTTCAACGCGGTACGAGAGGGACAGTGCGCTGCGGTCCAGTGTGGTCGCCGGCACCTCTTCGTACTCGTCGATGTCCGAGACGTCGGAGAGCGCCTCGAGATCGGTGAACCTTTCTATCATCTTCGGGAGTTTCCTTGAGGACATCACTGCCATGCAGGCGGGTGGTGCTGGGTATACATGAGTGGGTGGGGGTCGCAGGGCGGAGAGCTTGAGGCGGTCGATCGTCGGAACGGAGAGACTGCTCCGAGTTTGCGAGTTTGCAGTGCTGAGCGTGAGCTTCACGTCGTCCCAATCTTCGCCACTGCTCTGCCGGATGCTGGCCCTGTACACCATCGAGATCTCCGACGACGTCTTGCCTTCAGACGTCGTCGCGTACAGGTCATAGTACGGCGTCCAGCTGACCTTGCTGACCACTGCATATGCGCACTCAGTGAAAGCACGCTCAGGCAAAACATGACACTCACGGTACGTCAGTTGGAGGACTAGCGAACATTCGTGCTGCGCGATGAGCGTGACAGTGACAACCGCCGTGGTCTCGCCCTTGACCGTGTTTTTCACCGTCCACAGCTCGCGCTCGACCTCTGCTAGTCGTTCGGAAATAAGCGCAGTGGCCTTCAATATCTCGCGCTTGCGTTGTGTCAGCTTCTCGACGAACTGGAGGTCGAATGTCTGGTCCTTGCCACTCTTGGCGATCGCCGCGCCGGTCTCGTTGATGAGCTCGCTCTGCTGGACGAGCAAACCGCGTTCGTCTTCGAGCTCCTTCTTCTTGGCGTGAAGTCGTTTCAATTCTTCCGCCACGAGTCCACCGCTCACCTGCAGCTGAAGAGTCAACGCGCGCGTGACTTCGGCCGTCGATGACTGGAAGACCGTGACGGCCTTGACGGGATGGGCCGAGGCATCGACAGAGATTGAGGTGCTGGCGGTCATCGATCAGATGTTGGGTCGTGGGTCGTGGTCCTCATATCGGCTCGCACATATATACCGCTCTGCTGCGGGCACAGGGCCCGTGATCCAGCCCCTGAAGGCCTGACTGGGCGCATCGCCGTCCCTTCTTTGAGTTCTGTCGTCCAGACCGCATCTAGACGCAGCAATGACATCGACGCCGAGACGTACCCATACGAGGTCTGATAATTGTGATCAGAACATGGACTGGACCCCAGAGAACAGAGCAGCGCAGGTGATAGACAAGGGCATAAACACACGAGCTGTTGAACCGAAAGCCATAGAAAACGCACCTTCCCATCCTCCAGTGATCTTCTCCACCTGACGAGGAGAACTGATACTGTGCCCGTCGCGCCAACGTGTCTGAACTGTAGCATAACGCATAGGCATGCATATATGCATCGACAGTGCCTGACCACACACCTTCTTTGCGGACACCAGGTGTCGCGCATCGACCTCTTTCAACAGGGTGGCCCGGTAATCGCGTCGCGTCGAGAGGAATCGGAGGTCGGCAGGTGTGACCCCGTCGCCTGTAGCCCGTACGACTTGTCTTCTTGGCGCCACCAGGAGTAATGACTCGAGGCGCATCCATCTTCGCACAAAGCCGAGCCGAAAAAGACGACTGTTCCGATGCCATCGAGAAGCTGGGGAGATGCGCCAAAGTCAAGAATGCTGGACGTAAGGGAGATGCCGCCAATAGGTAAGATGAGTAGGGGGACATACTGTATCTTCAACCAGCCCCTTCCGTCCAAGCCGTGCTTCACGACAGCCCAAAATGCTCACGGAAAACCACAGTGAGCTGGGCAGACATCTTGAACCCGCGCGGGGCCTGACGTGCCAAGTATGGGGCAGTGTGTTGGGTCCAGTATCGATTTGCACGTAGAAGTTGGTTGAACTTGGGACAGGCAATAATGGAGGAACGAGGTTATGATGTCGTAGCGGTGGTGGGGCAAGAGGGATGTGCAGGAGATCATGTGATCATGGACTCGCCGATTTGGACTCAATGTCATGCATGATGATGCAGCATATGCCCTGGACGCTCCGAGTTCAATTCTGGCATTCAGCGTAAAAATATGCCTTCAGCCCTGCGTTTCGGTGAGACAGCATTATCTGCGCATTATTCCACCAGTGGCACAAATACCGCGGCAGGAAACGGCACGCATTCACAAGGCTTCGAATGACGGGCCCTTGGGTCGCCCGCGCTGTGGATCGACACGGGGATGTCCATTCATCCCAGAGAACGCCCCAGGGCAAATCGAGTGGATAGAGAGGATGCACGAATCGGAGGCTGGCCGCCAGCGACCGCACGTTTGATTAGATAAGATTGGAGGCGCGCAAATTACGCCATAAGTGAGTGGGGATGAAGCATTATCAGATAATCCTTCCCTCCAAACTCTCTGAGCCCGACGGGCACCCCCGGGCTTCGGCTTGCGGTGTCCTCCTTCCCTCCCATCTCCTTCCGACCTGCATCACCCGCTGTGTACCCGACTCCGAATTCGCGGCCTATAACTACAGCATCCACACACCACCGGTTCGACGTCTACAATGGCTCTTCCCAACGCCCACGATGTCCAGTCTCCAGAGCACTTTCAGACACTACTCTCCGAGGACCTCGGCCGCGTCTCGCTCATCAACTTCTGGGCACCATGGGCCGAGCCTTGCAAGCAGATGAACGAGGTCGTGCTGGAACTCGCGCGTAAATACCCTCAAGTGCTCGTGCTCCAGGTCCGTCCGTCCAGCCACCGCAGTGTTCGCGCCCGCTGACCTCCCCGCGTCGCAGGTCGAAGCGGAGACGCAGGCAGACATCGCCGAGTCCTTCGAGGTCGAGGCCGTCCCGACATTTGTCATCCTCAGGGTAAGTACGTCTCCTCCCCCGGCCACCTTCTCCGTCCACCCCATCCGCACGTCCCGCACCGCACGCCTTGGCCACCGCATGCCCCCGCCGTCCTCCCTCCTATCAGAATCTCCGGATTCGCCCCCCCACGCCCCCGAATTCCGAATGTCCTCCTCCCCACCTGCCTTGCTCACCCCGCCCCGCGCAGGGCCACACGCTCCTCGGCCGCATATCCGGCGCGGACGCCCCCGCGCTCACCCAAGCCCTCGCTGACCACGCCCGCGCCCCGTCCTCGCTCCTGCCGCAGTCGCACACGGACCGCGCGCCCGCCGCGCCCGCCGACGACGCGCCGCCCGAGTCCGAGTCCGCGGAGGCGCTCGCGGCGCGGATGCGCGCGCTGATGACCCAGGGCCCCGTCGTGCTCTTCATGAAGGGCTCGCCGGACGCGCCCCGGTGCGGGTTCTCGCGGCGCATCGTCGCGCTCCTCCGCGACCAGGGCGTCGGCTCCTTCGCGCACTTCGACATCCTCCAGGACGACGCGGTGCGGCAGGGCCTGAAGGAGCTGAACCGCTGGCCGACGTTCCCGCAGCTGATCGTCAACGGCGAGTTCGTCGGCGGGCTCGACGTCGTGACGGAGATGGCGGAGAACGGGGAATTGAAGGAGATGCTCCAGGGCTGAGAAGGTCGCTCCACGCTCTTGGCGTTGCGCAGTGGGTTGCTGTCGACCTGTTGTACGTGTTTGTAAAATGAGCTGGACGTCCCGCGTCCGCTAGTGCATCCGTGTTCGTCTGGGACTTAACCACAGTCTACGTATCCAATCGCAATGCACAGCAGTTGAGATAAGGACCGATGAGGATGCCGTCATGCAGAAGTCATATTCAAAAATCATGCCAAGCTTACATCTCCGACATATGATCACGTACCTCCTCCCTATTAAATATGTGTAGACGGCTTCAAAAATTTTGTGGCGAACTAATGCTCGAGGGGGATCAACTGTTGATGGCAGCCTCGTACCTGGGGAACGAGTCTGAGGCTTATATAAACATGCTGACCATCAACGCGAGGTCCTTCAGTGTGAAGCAGATGTCTCCTTCATACACCCCCTCGCTTGTGCTTCGGACCTCTCAGTTTCATTACGCAAAGCCGCTTTTCGATTGGGCATGAGGGTGTACTGTTCCTGGTTCTTCAACTGCGATGCATCATCGTCTCCGGCGTGTCGGCCTAATATGACCGCAAGAACGCCGGGACGAACGAACACAAAACCCACCGCTCTTAAACATATCCTGGCTGGACTGTACCACGAAGAAGATGCAACGGAATTGTTGGCATCGAGAGAATAAATACACCGATGTGTAAGGAGGGTCTGATATAACGTGATCAATACAGCAAGGACGAGGCAAGTCCATTAAGGAGCGGAGGGGGGTAGGGTGGGACGGCTGTAGAGCCGACGGGGCGGGGAGAAGCAGTGAGATGGGGGTAGATGTGTGTGCGGCTCGAGGTCTGGAGGTGCAGACAGACGTTGAGAAGACCCCGCGAGCAGGAGCACACCACGGACCTTCACTGGAAACTCGGCATCGCACCACGGACCCTCGTCCGCCCGTCCTTCATCTTCTCGGTGACGACGGGGCTCGCCGCGGGACGGAACTTGAACTCGTTCGAGTACCTGTCGGCCGCACGCATCAGACTCGGCGCCCCTGCGTGTGGATGGGGGCGGGGGCAGGGACAGGGGCAATGGAGGCGGGCAACGCACCTGTTGGCGTGGACGACCTGGGGCGGCTCCGGCTGCCTGGGGATCATGGACACGCGGAGCTGGACGGCGAACCAGCAGACGCAGAGCAAGAAGACGATGAGCGCGACACGCTTCCACGCGGACGGCGTCGGCGGGTTGAAGCGGGGGTCCTGCTGGAGGCGGCGTTGAAGCTCCTTTATGTCGCTCGTGGGCTCGTGGATGGGGTAGCGGCGCGAGCGGTCCTCGTCGATGCGCTTGTACTTCTTGTCGGACATGGTGGTGAGGGGGAAAGGTATGAAAGCAGACAAACGAGTGGGCACTGGAAAGCGGACGGGGAAGAGCTGTGGACAGTGCGGAGTACCGCGCGCCGCCTCCTCCGCCGCCTCCGGCCTGATACAGCCGTTTTCCCACGCATACTCGGTCTTCAATCTCGAAAGGTTAAGAATAAAATACGGTCGTCATTGCAGTATGGTCGTCAGGTGACGACAGATTCCTAGTACATAGCCCGTGTCTCGTTCACCGCACATCACACCTGGTGGTCGCATCACTCTCAACCTCGTACTGCGATACCAGCTCTACTCTCGCACCCGCTGGGATCGAGCACACCCACTCGTACGTCGCACCCGCGTCGTCTCCCCGAACGGCCCGTCTATTGACCCATCGTGCGTCGACGTCGCCGACCTCCCTGCTGGTGTCCACAACAACCTTCAGCCCGCCTGGCGCGTTCGCCAGGCCCTCAGGCTGGCGCAGAGTGACCGGGTTCTCAACTTCTCTCCCCCCACCACGCGCGGAACCGCGCAGTGCACGACCACCTCCCCGAGCGGCAACGCGTGCCCGTTTGTCACCGTCGCCGTGACGGTGCACGTGGTGATCTTGACCGTGCCCTTCGGGAGGGCGCTCGGGAGTCTCACCTCGTCCAGGGGCGCGACGGTGCACACGCAGTGGACCGCGGGGTCGATGCCGAGGGCGGTGCTGAAGCACTCTCCCGCTCTGGTGAGCTGTGGAATCGAGAACGCCCAGAGTCAGCACAGGGAACGTTCACGAGAAAGGGGGGAAACGCACCGGGAGCCAAGACCGCCTCACGAACTTCCCGTCAGCGACGACGATGGACATCTCCCCGGGCAGCAGCGTGGAATCGCCCGAGTTTGTGATGCTGGCTTCGATGACAGCCGACGAGGTCTTCTTCTGGGGGGTGACCACGAAGCGCAGATCAGCGTTCACTGCGAGAGAAGCGATGGTGCACCGGTAGGAGAGCCCATCGCTCGGGATGGACACTTTGCCTTCGATGTGACAGGACACGGCGGGCGGCTCTAGTTCTTCCTCGTGCTTGTGCTCGTGCTCGCCAGTGTCCAGCGCCGCTGCCTCCGCGTGCATGACTCCGGGACATGTACTTGGGCCTTTCTTGTCCGTAGGAGGCTGCAGGGTCGAAGTAAGGGCTCGGCGTCGCAGTCGCCGCCGCCCTCATCGGCATGCACTGCTCATGATCGCACGAGAACACGCGCGCCGGTTCCGCCCTCGCCGAACATGGGAGCGACGGGCTGGGAGGATGCACCTCGACATTCGGGACATCGTCCGCTGGCGGCGGGTCCCGGTCGGAGATGGAAATCGTCAGCGGCTCCGCGGCGGGCACCCGCAGCGGCTTGCGCCGGTGGGGCGTCGCGGTGCTCAGCGTGATCTCCGCGCTGAGCCAGTCTTCGCCCGTTTCCTGCTCGACACTGGCGCAGCACCGCAGAGTGACGTCCGCAGACGAAGCCCCGTGGACGTCAGGGGCCAGGAGGTCGTACAACGGCTCCCAGCGTACCCCAGAAACGACTGCGAGCGGTTCAGCCGACGCGATTCGAAGGAGGCCTTCGGCGGGAGGTACTCACGGTAAGTGAGCTGGAGCTCGACGACGCAGTCCTCATGCGCGTAGATCGTGGTCTTCACTGTCCCGGTTGTGCTCCCAGCGACGCAGATCGTCAGGGCCGCCAGGGTGGCCTCGACGTCTTTGAGGGCTTCCTGATACTGATCTTCTTGTTCTTCCCCAGGATCCAGCGCTTGGAGACGTCGTCGAGGAAGTAGAGGCCCGGGGCGGCCACGACATAACTTGAGGCGAGAGTACCGCAGAGCACGCTGGTGTGATAGGTGCGCGCGGCGAGCTCAGCGCTCAGGCGGGTCTTCTCCGCGGAGGCCGACTTGAACGCCGCGTGGGTTTGCTTCGGATGATAACCAGGCGGGTCGTTCGCGGGGACGGTGCAGGCTACGCCTACAGCACGAGGGGCATTTCCGTCCAGAAGCTCGATGCGGGCCGAATTTCGGTCGATGAGCGAGGACAAGTTGCGAATCTCGATTAGATGGCTTCCGGGCTACAATGAGTGTAAGTAGCGCGGGTGGTGTTGAGATGCAACCAACGCACCGTAAGAGACAGCGGGGAGGTACGAGTGACTTGGGCGATGCTGGATTGGAAGACGGTGACCACCACCTTGTTGGGGTAGGAGAACAATCGATTTCGAATGGTTTAGAGAATGAGCTCATGGTCGTAGAAAGGTGATTAGTGGACTGTGTGCGACTGCTTCTCGGTGTCAGGACTTTTATAAGAGCCCGGAAACCGCCACATCCACGAAACTTATGAAATCGGATAATGAGCACAACGAAACGCCGCAATGACAGAAGAGGGAGGACACTCACACAATAGGCTGCAGTGAGGACGACAACGCGGCATGTGAGCCATACTCAGGCGTTTCCCATTTGTGAACTGAGCCCCTCGAATTACGCGGTGAGGCTCATACACGCCGCTGCCATGAGAACGTTCATCCTTGTGTGTGATCCTCCAGCGTAGAATAGGGAAGCGAGAACAAGAGTCGAACAAACAGAATTACGGTGGCGGGTTGATGGAAAAGGTGCAGGTGCAAATTGGGAAAGTTGAGGCGCGCCTCGGCTCTAAGTGGTTTTATTCTCACGGTTAGTAGGTGGCTTTACGCCACCGAGGTGTTGACATGTACAAGGGATATTGAAGTTGGTCTACTAGGATCCACTACATGAACAGCATGGACAGCCTGGCAGAGAAGAAGCCGGGAAAAGGCTAGTGAAGTTGAACATACATTCAAATGGTAGCTACAAGGACACAAATAAACGTACAACACGGCGAGAAGACGGCGCGGTTTCAACGCGCCGAAGTCTCCTGCCAGCGCACCGCTGCGGGCATCTTGAAATCGCAAACCACCTCAAGCCGCGCCTTCTTCCCCGCAGGAATGCCGCACACCCACTCGTACAGCCCGTCCTTCTCCGCGCTCTTCCCGTCATCACCTTTCACCCACCGCACCTTCGCGTCCTTCGCGTCGCCCGCGGTCTTGACCGCGATGTCCTCGCCGTCGTGCGCGCGCGCCAGGCCCTCCGGCTCGCGAAGGTGGACGTGGATCTTCGCGGGCTCGTTGCCGAGCGGGAGCGCGTCGCGGACGACGAGCCCGTCGATGTCGAACGAGTGCCCGTTCGTGATCGTGGTAGTGATCGTGCGCGTCGTCGTCTTTGACCGCTCCGCGAACGGGTGCGGGGCTTCGAGCTCGGCGCGGTTCTTTGTGTTGTAAGAGACGCGGAGCGCGGTGTCGACCCCGAGCACGCAGTTGAAGCTCTGGTTGACGCCGATGAGCTGCAAGTGCATGAATGGTCAGCGAGACGCATATCGAATACGTCAAACGAAACACACACCCCGAGAGAGGTCTTGGTGACGAACCCGTTGTCCATGAACACGCTGACCGGGCCCGCGAGTAGCTCGTACTCGCTCGTGTTCTCGACCCGGCCCTCGATGAACACCGCCGCCGTCTTGCGCGGCACGCACAGGTACTTGAGCGCCGCCTTGAAATCGAGCGTCGCGATCGCGATCTTGTGCCCGAGCCCGTCGCTCGGGAGCATCACCGCGCCCTCGACGCGGTACGCGAGCGAGAGCGGGCTCCGGTCGAGCACCGCGCCTGGCTTCTCAACGCCCTCCGCGTCCAGCTCTTCTTCCACCTCCACGAACGCCGCATCGTCGTCAAAATCGTCTTGCGGGGGCTGCGGCGCGACAGCCGGGGCGGGAGGAGGAGGTGGCGCGTGCGCCTGGCCGAACGCAGAAGCACCGAATAGACCAGCTGTCTGGGCGGAGCCGAAAGTGGCCGACTGAGTCTGTGCGGAGCCAAAGAGCCCGCCGGCGTTGGACTGTTGTGCCATTTGGCCAAACAGGCCTGTGCGGTTGTTGTTGTTGTTTGTGAAGCCTGTCTTCGAGGTCGGGAAGGAGTGGGCGGCTGTGAGCTTGAGAGGATCGATGGAAGGCACGGAGAGGCTCTGCCGGGCCTGGGAGTTGGCGGTGCTCAGCGTCAGAACGGTCTCGGACCAGTCCTCGCCCGTGCTCTGCGTGATGTTGGCGCAGTAGACAAGCGAAACGTCTGACGACGTCTTACCCTCGGAAGTCGTCGCGTGGAGGTCGTAGGAAGGTTTCCACGACGCACCGCTCACAACTAGAAAAGTACAAGCGATCATCAGCACTTGTGAGACGCGAGCACGGAAGCAGAAACATACGATATGTCAACTGGAACTCTACTTGACACTCGCGTCTCGCAAATATGGTAGCGGTGACGACGACCGCGGTATCGCCCTTGTGCGTGTTCTCAAGCAACCACATCTCACGCTCGATCTCATCGATCTGCTCTGCGAGCTGCAGGATTACAGTCACGGCTTCTCGCTTACGCTGGACCAGACCGTCCATGAATGCGAGATGTGCCGCCTTGTCCTCGCCGCACTTGCTTTTCTTGGTGGCGTCGGTGAGCATGTCGATCTCCTGGTTGCGGAGTGTGCGGTCGGCCTCGAGCGCCTTCTTCTTGGCGGAGAGCTTCTTCATGGACTCGGAGTGCCTGCTGGGCTTCGTCCCGGGGGCCCACGCGAGGGTGCTCGCGCAGGTGATGTCGAACACGCGAGCGTACTGGCCGAGACCGTGAATGCGGGGCGAGTCGACGTCGACCTGGCTAGAGATGTTTCTGATCTCAATCACATTCCGGCCGCTCTGCAGAAGCCGGTCAGCCAGAGCCCCTGAGTGGGACCGATGAACTCACCTTGAGGTCCGCACTGAAAGCGCGTGTGAGCTCGGCGGTTGACGACTGGAAGATGGTGGCAGCTTTGACCGGGTTGCCCACGGCGTCGATGGTGATCGTCTGAGTGGCAGTCATGGTAGCAGGGAAGAAGGAAGAGATTGTCCTAGGAGGCTCGCGCAGGACAGGCCTGGCTAAATATCGAACGGCAATGTGCGCTAATTCCGAGTCAGCTGTGCATCACTGCAGTCACAGCCACGGCACCGAGTACGCACGTTGTGAATCGCCCTATGGTCCAGCCCCAACGAAGTCTAGAAGGGGAGAAACAGTGGGCATAAGAGGGCATTTCTTCACCACAAGAGAGATAATGAGGCCCAGAGTAGTGCCTTCCACGTGTGTTCTCGAATTATGCCAGACTTGGGCCCATGGCAGTCATGTATCGAGCCTAAATCTCGAGTCTGCTGTCCGGTGGGAGGTGTCGTCCCGGAGCTCGAAAGGGTAACATATCGGGATGAAGATGAACGCCGATAGCATGAAGATTTTAGTATAGGGGCACATGCACATGCATGCACAAAGGAGCGTTGCCCGAATCTCCGAATGCTTTGGCAAGACTTGACAGAGGAAGATCCCAACGGAAATGCAAAAGGACCGTGATCGAGGCCAGGTAAAATACCACAATCACCCTTGACGCTCCAAGGCCAGGAATGGTGCGAGAAGTAGAGGGATCTAGAAACGATCATCATACAACAGCGTGCCCAGCAAAAGTTCATGCATTCTCCTCAAGCTCCTCCAATCTAGAGATTTGCCTATGCCCAAGGGTTGGTGAAAGGGGCGCGCGAAATAAGACATGAACGACGTACCTGTCTCTCACAGCCTCCTGCCACCTCTGCAGCTTCGCAGTCTCGTTGACTTGGAAGCCGAAGATGCGAGGACGGTACCTGTCCGCCTTGAGAGCGACAGCGGCCGTGCTCCCTGCCTCCCCCACGCCTTCTCCCTGCCCCTCCGGCTCTTCGCGTATCCGCCGGCTCCGCCTGCCCCCTTCGACATCCGCGCTCCGTCCCGGCAACCCAAGTTCGACCGCGCCGCTCTTCGGTGGGATGAGGTTCGGGTAGACGAGAAAGAGGAGGTGAGGGAACGATGTGCCAAAGTATGCGCCGTCGATGGAGCCATGGCGGGAGGACTTGGGGGAGTAGATGTCTTCGCAGCGGCCACAGTATAGCTTCACCGACTTCTCGTACGGCACGTCCGTGAGCCCGACGGGAAGGAGCTGCTGCGACTGACAGAGCACACGAGGACAGCGGCCAAAGTCCGCACGCTTGTACTTGTCGAGCTGAGCGGTGGGGGAAAATGTCGGGACATCCTTCGTACGCAGATGAAGAACGAGACGTACCATTTTGGCTAGACCTCGCGCCGTGACAATCCATCGTGCATGGATGAGGCCGTACAGAAGACGTGCTTGAAGATCGAGATTGCCTCGTAGTTCATCTTGCACATCTTCGTCGACTTCGACGGGGGTTAGCGCGGCTGGAACGTCAGATCAGTTCCAAGAGACGCACCCAGGTTGTCCGTTATCATGTCCAAGGCTTGCGCATAGTGCTGCACCTCCGTGTTCAAGCCAGTGAGGTTGAAGCGGTCGAGAATATAGTCTTCCTCGACTTCGCAAAAGTACTCGTTGCCTTTAGATGACAAAAACCACGAGATCCACTATTTTGAGTGAGTAGTCTGTTCACGTGCGCATATAAACTATCATACCGAGCTGAGGAAGTGTCAGACCCATGCTTACGGTGATACAGAACTTCAGCCACTCACTTGGCGTAGTCAGAACCGGAGCCAGTGGATCCTTCTTCCACTGCGTCGAGGCAGACGATGAGAAGGAAATACAGTGGTCCGGATAAATCACTCACTGGTCGCAAGCGAATGAGATCAAGGGAAGGAGGTTTAGGGAGGGTAAGGAGGAGTGGAAAGCGGGTGAAGGTTTGAGAGAAATCGGAGGCAAATTCAAAATTAGCGACGGCGGCGAAGCGCGAATAAGCCAGAGTAAGCGGCTGTTCTATGCCACTTTCATCCTTTATTATCAGCATTATCATCGGAGTTACTAGGCTTTGTTAAGGTAAATTCGCCTGCGCTTTCATTCCCCTCTCACCCTTCCGCTCCTTGTCTCCACCGCTCCCCTACTCTAGACGGGCGAATGCACATCTAGTCCTTTTAACATCAAGCACATGCTTGGCGACGCCGTGATTCATATGCCTTCCGACCTCCACTCGAAGGATGTTTTCGAGCTAGACCCGTCTGCTCAACCTCTTCGGCGCACAGGACTCACCAAGCTTACTGTGGACATCCCATCATCCTACAACCCCAAAGTCCAGGCCGAGCAACATCCCCAGCCCCGATGGAGGACGCCGGAGTTCATGGTGTACTACGTGGTGTTTGTCATCGCGCTTCCGGTCATGTTCTGGATTCCTTACAGCCTGAGTTCGCGTGAGTACCGAATATGTGTTGTTTGCTTGAAGCTGAATGGAGCCTGTAGCATCACATCCCAACTATCCACTTTACCAGCGGGCACTGTCGCCGGGTTGGTTATTTGGTCGTCGAGTGGTGAGTTTCAACGGCTTGTTTCGCGTGGTCTCGCGTGTTCAAGACTCCACTCGTCTCAGGACAACAGTGACAACCAGTATCGCGCTTTCCGAAATGGACTCTTGCCTCTCACTCTTCTGGCAAGCTCGTTCCTTGGACTCAAGTATGTGTATACCCTATTCGCACGTCAACGTCGTGCGCCCTACGATACCTCCAACCTCGACCACATCCCCTACCTCGCCACATTCTCCGTCCTCATGCTGCTCGGTCTCCACGGGTCAAGTGCATTCAAGGTTTTGACTCTGCTCTCTGTCAACTACCTCGTTGGAAAGATAACGAAGGGCCACAAGTTTTCCCCACTCGCGACTTGGGTGTTCAACGGTTTGGTACTGTACGCGATCGAGCGTAACTCAGGTTATAGCTATGCCACTCTTCATTCCGCGCTTGCACCCCTGGCGAGTATCTCGATGTCTTGGCTCGACAATTCACCTAACAATCGAGCGAACTAGGACGCATGGGAAGGCATTTACCCCCGGTGGTATGTGAGCTTCAACATCACTATGCTTCGGCTTGTGTCGTTCAACATGGACTATTACTGGGCATGCAATCGCGCGGGAATACCTGACGTGAGTGATCTTTGTGGCACGGTTGAGCGGAGGCTGAGAAAGGGACAGACAGGTGCGACATTAGACGAGAAGCGACGACCCCGGGTGAATCATGACCTGGAGACGTACTCCTACCTGAACTACCTCGCATACGCGATATATCCCCCCTTATATATCGCCGGACCAATAATGACGTTTAACGATTTCATGTGGCAGGTGAGTTTTCATAAGTGTTGTACTTTCAGCACGCTAAAGGTCCTTGCTCAGGTCAAGCGACCCTTGGGCGTGACCTGGAGAACTACATTGAATTACCTCGGCCGCTTTGTGGCGTGCTTGTTAACACTCGAGTTCATCCTCCACTTCATGTACGTCGTCGCCATCAAGGACAGAAAGGCGTGGACTGGATACACTGCCGCCGAACTGTGCATGGTTGGGTTCTGGAACCTCATCGTCGTTTGGCTCAAGGTGAGCATCTCTTCCTGCTGCCTCTCGGTCGCGCTGACGTTTTCTGCTCAGCTGCTAATTCCCTGGCGCTTCTTCCGTCTCTGGGCTCTCGCAGACGGCATCGACCCTCCGGAGAATATGGTGCGCTGCATGGCAAACAACTACTCCACGCTCGGCTTCTGGCGCGCCTGGCACCGGAGCTACAATCTGTGGATCACGCGCTACATCTACATCCCCCTTGGGGGCACGAAGAACCGGATCGTGACGACGGTGCTCGTCTTCACCTTCGTCGCCCTCTGGCACGACCTCTCGTTCAGGCTCTTAGCGTGGGGCTGGCTCGTCAGCCTCTTCATCGTGCCGGAGGTCGCCGCGCGGTACTTGGTGCCTGCGAAGAAGGTGCGTTCCCGGCGGTCGTTGGAACGTGTATGCACGCTCATGCGCTCTGCGGCAGTACGGCGGAGAGCCGTGGTTCAGACACGTCGGCGCGATGGGCGCAGTGTTGAACATCCTGATGATGATGGCGGCAAACCTGGTCGGTTTTGTCATTGGCACAGAGGGGATCAAGTACATGCTGGAGCAGATCACTGGAGACTGGGATGGTACGTCTGGTGCGGTTACCCGTTCGGCGGCTCGCGCATTGATTATCGATCTACTTGACAGGCATTCGATTCATGGCCATCGCCTGTGCCTGCCTGTTTGTGGGGGTCCAGGTGATGTTTGAGTATAGGTCAGTGGCGTGCTTTACCGTATGACGTTACCTCACACCGTTTCTTCGCAGAGAGGAGGAGGCGCGGCAGGGGATCTCCCGCAAGTGTTAGAGCAGGAGTGTCATAACTCATTCGGGGTATTTAAGCTATCCATTTCTTTTCACTCATGAATAGGACGTGTGTCATTTTGCTCGTCGTCCAGTACTGGTACGTAACTCAAGACGGCAGTGATGGCGGTGACGAACCACCATGCGTTCGACATCGAAAGCTTGATCATCCGCAACTCCTTACCGTTGAAGGACAACGATGCGAAATCTTGCACGAGTCTTGCACAAGCTCGCGACGGAAGAGGTGCTGATGTCGAAGTGCAGAGAGAGGCGTCGGATGTCAAGGTGCAGTGGTCGAAGGTGAAGGACAGGAAGGGTGAGGAGAATAACGGGATTCACGAGTGGGTGTGCGCGTTTCCGGAAGGTAAGAAGAGCGCAGAGGGACACCAAGACACCCGCCGCAGAGTCGGACTCACGGTACATCAAAGAGCCCCTCGAGTGTACTTAAAAGGTGGTAGGAGAAGACCGAGCGGTCTTGAGCAATCTAGCAAGAAATCTACATGTATAACTATGTATGCTGATAAAGCTACGGCTACATACACGTACGTGACGTACAGACACTTAGGCAGCAGAGCAGGTAACTGAGGACGATTACTCCTCTCCAGGTCTCGCCGCCGCCTCGTTGAACTTGGCTCCACGCACTGGCAGCCCCGCGAACTTCGACCGCAACGCCTCGTACTTGCGCCTCTGCGCAACCGACACGCTCGGCTGCACCTTGTCCAGCGCGCGCGCAAAGTCGTCCGTCATCACCTGCACCTGCACCGAGGGCCCGCCTTCGGCATCCATAGCGTCGAGCGCGCCCAGCGTGCGCTTGAGCGCAGCGACGCCGGCCTCGCGCACGAGCGCGGCGAGGTCCGCGCCGCTGTAGCCGTCGCAGTGCACGCGCACGAGCTCGTCCAGCGCACGCGGCACGTCACTCGCGCCGAGCGGGACGCGGCGTGTCATCTTGCGCACGATCTCTGCGCGCTCGTCCGCCGTGGGGAGGTCGACGTAGAGCAGCTTATCCAGCCGCCCGGGGCGACACATCGCGGGGTCGATCATGTCGGGGCGGTTCGTGGCGGCGATAACATAGACGGACTTGCGGGCGTCGAGGCCGTCGAGCTCGGTGAGGAGCGTGTTGACGACGCGGGCGGAGGATTCGGACTGCAGGACAAAGATGAGGGTAGGGAGATGGGGCGGCGAGATGTGGTGCGTACCATACTGTCGTCTCGTCGCGGGACGAGTGCGTCAAGCTCATCGAAGAAGACGACGCACGGAGAGGAGGCTCGCGCCCGCGAGAAAACTTGACGGACAGCTCTCTCGCTCTCACCGACGTACTGCAATCCGACATGAGAGGGAAGGCATGATGGCGAGTAGCAAGCAGACGAACCTTGTTCAAGAGCTCCGGGCCCTTTACGCTGATGAAGTTCGCCCGTGACTCGTTCGCGACCGCCTTCGCCAGCAATGTCTTTCCGCACCCCGGGGGACCCCACAGCAAAACTCCGCATGCCGCAACAATCCCAACTGCGCTGAACAGCTCCGGTCTCCTGATGGGCTGGACGATCGCCATATGAAGCTCTTCTCTTGTCTCGTGGAGTGCACCAATGTCGGCCCAAGTAACATCGGGGACAGTCGCAAATCCTTCTCGTTTCGACGACGGCTGGACATGTTGGAGAGCGAGAGTGAAGTCGGGGAAGGTGATACAGAGAGGCGCTAGCTGAGCTTCTGTCAAGGGATCGGGATGGGCACGGAGGAAATGGACGATGGAGCTCGCGGCAGCGTTTTTGGAGAGGTCGACATCGGCGAAGGGAATAGGTTTGGAAGTGGGAGGAGGTGCTAGGGACTCAACGGGCGGATCTACAGCCATAGATACATCTTCGCTTTCCTGTGGAGGTGTTGGAATCGTGTTCTCTGGAAGTACAAGCGTCCCTTCTGATATCTGCTTGAAGATGCGTTTGACTGCGATGATACCAGCGGCACCAGTGAGCGCCGCGAGATCAGCGCCGACGTAGCCCGGAGTGGCTTTCGCCAAGGCCGTGTAGTTGAAATCACCCTCTAGTCGCAGCTTTGCGGCCTGAACCCGGAGAATCCTAAGATAACGTTGAGTATATGCGCCAAAAACAAACACACGAACTCACTGTGCCCTAGCCTCTTCGTCTGGAACTCCCATACTGATCTCATGGTCAAACCTCCCTGCTCGACGGAGCGCAGCGTCCAAGGAATCCGGTCGGTTCGTTGCACCAATAACAATGACGGGCTTGTTCTCGTTCTTATCCCAGGACATGTCTTTTGGGGCATGAATATTACGCTTCGAAGTTGTAAGAAGTGAACTCACCGTCCATGCAAGTCAAAAACTGCGCGACTATCCGTCTTTCCATCTCCCGTTGTGCACTCTCCCGCTTCGGTGTAATGGCGTCGATCTCGTCGATGAAGAGCAGGCAAGGTGCCGCCTTCTTGGCCTCCTCGAATGTATCCCGAAGTGTCTTCTCCGACTCGCCAGACATCCCAGACACGACCGACGGCGCAGAAACGTTGATGAACGGCACCCCAAGCTCCTGCAACCCACCATGAGCCTCTCGTCCTCCACAAAACACAGAAAAAAAACGCCACGGAGGAAACCAAACGAGGACTCACCCCAGCAATCGCATGCGCGAGCATCGTCTTCCCGCACCCCGGTGGCCCGTGGAGGAGCACGCCCCGCGGCGGCTGCACGCCCGTGTGCAGGTAGATCTCCGGGTGGCAGAGCGGCATCGCGACGAGCTCAAGCACCTTCTCGATGCACGCGTCCACGCCGCCGAGGTCCGTCAGCCGCGTCGCGGGCGGCGTGTGGTCCTTCGAGACCGCGCTGGACGAGAGCTTGGCCCGCTTGCTGCCCTCGTCGCGCTCGCGCGGCGCGCGGGACTTGCGCTTCGTGCTCGCCGGCTTCAGGTGGGAGTCGTAAACGGAAGGCCCGGCGAGGTCTCCATCCCCGACGGTCTCGGGGGGAGCGGTGGGGGCGTCAAGGGCGGGGACGGGGACAGAGGTGGGAGCTGTAGTGTCGGGAGCGGGCTGGGCTGGAACGACGGTAGAGGTTGAAGACCCTGGGGCAGGGCTAGATATCGAGTTGAGGTTCAATTTGGCTTTACGGTGGGTGGACCATAGGCCTTGCATGGAACGATTGAGGGCATTCGAGCTCTGCCTAGATATATGTGAGAAAGAGCTTGCAACCAGGATGAGGCCACAACGCACAGAGATATCCATATCGAAAGCCCGTTCGTTTTACCTCCACTTTTTATACAAGAAGTAGAGTGGGCGCAAGGAAGGGGGAAGAGGAGCGAGAAGGGAGAAGGGAGAACTTGCAAGCTGAGCTCAGGCAAGTCGAAAATTATGCAGGCGCCGGGGGGAACAACGGGCCGCCTAGGTCCGGCGCAAGGCAGCCTGCTCAGCCTGGAACTTCGCGCGCATATTGTGGTCCACGAGCTAGAGGGAAGAATGAATTGGGAAGAATGCAAAGGTATATGATTTGTTTATTTTACAGATGCTGTGATATATAATAAAATGTCCAGATAGAAAATCAAGCGAGTGGAGTGTGTGCAGGAGCGACACTGGCGGCCCGGCCTCCAGGTTGGTAGGATTCAAAAATTACAATGCTTGAACGTCGATGTCGCCAGTGTCCCAGTACGCACGCCGAAGCGCATGTTGCACAGGCTCAGGTTTTTTAGGTGCAGGGAGTGACCTGGTGGACACGCGATATCGGCGCTCCTGGCAGCACAAGATGAACTAAAGTCAGATTCCCCATTCACAGATGGTGGACGAAATTCTCACCCTAGGTGTGAGCTGCGTCAAGGGTGCCGAAAAGGCGGTGCTGGTATATGACGACCTTGACATGTTGGGCGCACCATAAGGACGGGGAGTGATGGGTATATCCACCCAATCTTCGTTGATGTTGTACATGGCTCGAAGGGTGAGCGATTTACGCTCGTTGAGCCTATGAATGCGATTTCAAACTGGTCTACTGAAACGACACGAAAAAGGCACGTACGCGGCGAGAAGGGATATTGCATAAACTGTCCATAAGATTTTAGAACGTCTCATAGATTTCGATCGCACAACTCACGTTTGGTGCAGACGATCCCAAACGCGGCGTAAATGAGGTTGCTCGTGAACAGTATAGACTGTTGGGATTTCCATGAGAGACGATCGTGACAGACGAAAGATTCGAGCTCACGAATGTAAATATCATAGCATCGACAATTCTGGTGAACTAAATCATCAATATCTTTTCTCAGAGAGCACGGACAGCAACATACCCAGTCAACATGCCTAAAAATGTCTTTCAGTGCAGGATTGACGGAGTTCTGATCAGCGCCGTACCCGTGTTGATAGTATATAGAACAAGAAGATGAACAACGGTGTCCATGCTGCTAACCTCGTCAGCCCCATTCGTGCTACTCCGGTAGCATGCTCACCGTTCGAAACCTGTTCGTCGCTTGCGAAGAATTATAACCAGGAGGGTCGTAAGGATCCCATCCGCCACCAGCGCGATTCCGCAACCAGCAGCGACCAGCCACTGTCATCGAGACAAACTGTCAGAAGCGTGTTTTCCAGTCAAGATGTGAGGGTTACAGACAGTGAGCTTCTTGAATCCTACAAAGCTTCCCTGTATGATTCTGGGAGCACATTTGAGTCTTCGAACAGTGATACCAAGTGGGAATGCCACACACGTTTCTGCGGAAGCAGCTGAGAGGGGGTGAGTGGGAGCGGGGGGACCCGGGGGGCGGTGGCGAACGTACCAGTAAGAAAGCCTGTCAAACCGCACGAATTGTGAGAACTCTCTCACACCGGGAAAAGATTACAATAAAATTGCGCACCGAGTTCCAGAACCAGCAGGAGGAACTAGAGAAAGGAAAAATTCAGCTACAATATTCGTCAGTGACAATGGAACTGAACCAGTACTGACCGTAGCGCCGAGTAGGATTCTAAAGCGTGGTGCCACTGTTTGTGTGTCAACGCGGCGTGCGACGGACGTGCGAAGAAACTCACGGATGTATACGCGGCGCGCGAAAAAGCTGCGCCCTCATCTCAGTTTCTCAGTATGCATATCACCGCCGGTCGCCACGCACCTTTGTGTGATGAACACTATGAGACCCTGTGGGACATGACCATTGGTCTCAATTGATGATGAGAAAGTGGGCATGCTTGAGGGCTCACCGAGCATGCTAGTAGCGACTGGAGGCACAACAAGGATGAGGTGAAGGTTACGCGGAGAACGCTCAAGTTCGCTTACATTGAGTGACCTATGAACGACATAAGCCGATCCTTATTCAGCGAAGTTGAGAGTAGGCTGCGTACCAAGTAGTGTTGATCAAATGTATCGGGACGCCCCAGTTTGCGACAAGATAGTGATAACTAGGGAAGCGAATGGTCAACTACGCTCCTGAGGGATATGGCACAATATGCGTACCTTAGATGGCAGCATGCGACAATGTGAAACGTTTCCAGAGCTCTGTTCTTTGTCAGAATGCAGCCGCGCGGTACCAGGAGGCATACTAACAAAACAACGAGGACCTACAAGATCTCTAAGCTCAGCAACACGTCACCGCGTGGTCCATGAAACGCACCAATGCTTTGATTAAGATTTGATCATCGTGGTACACACGGAAGTACCGATATGCTTGGTGCACGACGGCTCCGTAGAGTCTGTCAATATGTTTCGTCACCCTGCCATGGCTGAGGTTTGCGGCGGGGAGACGTACGCTATTCCAATAAAAGTCCCGATCAACATCGCCCCAAAGCTGTTCCCCAGCTCGGGCTCTGGAGGCATCGGCACAAGGGGTAGTGGAGGAGCGCTCATATCAGTGAATTCCGAGACGGGGAATGCAAGCAGAAGGAGGACATACTGCGATCCATGCGCTCCGCGCAATACGGTATATACCTTGAGGGAAGAAGACGTGGGATAACGGTATCCCGCATCTCCTGGGGTGGGCGGTACAGGGCATCGAGCGGATCAGATAGATGCCGTCCGACGTGGGTTTACAGACAGAAGGATGTGTTCGCGACATCGAAGAAAGATCTGCTAAAAGTACTAATCAGAGTGACCCACCGGGGCCCATGCATCGAAGGTGTGAGACGAGTGCGTACCGTAAGGCATAACTTCCATGTGGCAGTGAGTAAAAGCTCCAGAGTGAGTGCCGATAGCTTGAAACCATTGGACGGACGGTGGTACTGCTTCGCCGCCCCGTTGCACCCGAAGGACGCGGCTGTGAGATGTGAGCTCGGGCAGTTCACCAGCACCGCGATCTATGCATGATCATGGTTCTTGAAGCATCTACTGTTGTATCTGAGAGAACCGATATGAGAGGAAATGAAAGGGAGCGACACCAGAAACCCTACCTGATCTTCTCTTCTTTGTTGCCAATAAAGTAGTGCTGACCCAGCCTTCATCGTCGTGGTCGTCAGGTTCGTCGTGCCAGCTTCAGGGAGCCGTACCTGAGCGCTGAGCACGGCAATCAGTCGAGATACCGTGCCTGGGCAGCGCTATTATATGCCACTCCGTCTTGTGAGGTGCCAGCTGGTTCCAGTGGCGACCTAAGTATTTCATATTCGATTTAGGTTTGCGTCCAGCAGCCAGGCCCTCAACTTTATAAGTGTGAGTTGCTAGTCAAGGCTGTGGCCCGTATAGATGCTTCTTGGACACAGGTTATGTAGTCTCGTGCTGATGGAAAACTAATTATGATCAACGTAGACGGATTAGTAAGTATATAAGGCTTCGACGGCCTCTCGTAGCGCTTACTGGGTCGACGGCCTTGTAAGCAATGGTCAGCACTTCATCGTGCCTTCGCTATTACCTGTCGCTATCCGAGACTTGCGTAGCAGAGTCCTGGTCCAGCAAGTTCAGCTTTCGGTGGCCGCAGCCCATGCGAACTAGCCGTGGGAGGATGGGACGAGGCGGTGTCGCATGATGTGGCAGATCGGTCAAACTGTGGGCGGCTTCCCGACACCGTGTTGAACTGCCATGCCCATCCATCCGTGCCTTGTCTCTCCCAGCGACCACGGCGGACACGGACGGGGAGCTCCACAGCCCACCTGAGCTACGCCGTCTGAACCTGCCTCGTCCTCGACCGTCCTCGACCGTCCTCGACCGTCCTCGACCGTCAACACCACGCAGGGCATGCCAGAGGTGCCTCCGCTGCCCTCACCCGATATCAGGGTCCGACGTCGGCGTCATTTCGAGCCTCTCAACGAGGAAGCCGGATTTGACGATGTCGAGGATCCGGAGCCGTCGCCAGAACTCCAGCCAAAACCGCCGCAATTGCGGCGTCTTCCCAACCCTCCCCTCGAGCCGCCACCGACTCCCCTCCGCCCGCTCCCCGTGAGCCCGCGTCCGTTGCCCAACCCTGTTCCGCATCCTGATGCAGCCCTTCATCCCACGAGTCCACACTACAAACTGCTGGTACGCAACCTGATCTCCGGACGTGGCACGTGGCTGATTGCAACCACTTACCTCACGCCCGCAGCCCCCACCACCACGGCCGAGCTCCGCCACCGCGACGAGCGACACCGCGGTCGATGCGCATCTGAACATCCTGCGGATAGCCACGCCTGCGTACTCGTCCAGCCCCGACCTGCGCCTGTTGAGCGTGGGCTGCCACTTCTGCGGCAAGATCGACATCGGCGGGTTCTGGTACAAGTGCCTGCAGTGCACCAGTAAGGCACCGTTCGCCGCTCGCTGCGCCCACAGCAAGCTAACGATCTGAGATCTTCCATCTACAGATTGCGACAGATGCAGCTCGTGCATGTCCTCGCCGAAAGCGTGGGCGTCGCACGACCCGTCCCACCGCTTCTTCCCCATCCAGACGAACAACGACCTCTCGCATTACTGGATCGTGAAGCACGACATGGAGAAGACCTGGCAACCGCCGTACGTCCACCTCGGCGTGACGTGTTCTGGATGCCAGACGCCAAACATACGCGGCGCCCGACATCGCTGTCTGATGTGCGATGGTGAGCTCCCTCAGGCTGTGGATGATTCGGACAGAACTCAACTGCCTTCGGACTGCAGATTACGAGCTGTGCAGGGATTGCGCGTCCGACCCGGAGAAGAGGATGCAACACAACCCAAAACATCCGCTGTTCCCCATCAAATCCCCGCTCGACAAGTCGGTGTACGATGAGGCGCGCCGGCAGGTCAACGACCATGCCGAGGCGCGCATGACGCGCCTCGTCGTGAACCGCGCCCGCACCAGCATCGAACACCACGATGTGACTTGCATGGGTTGCGCGCAAACGCCGCTGCTGGGGGTGAGGTATCGATGTATGGTGTGCTTGGGTGAGTTTTGGCTGGCGTTGTGCTCTCAAATACTCGCTGATACGGCTCGTAGATTACGATCTGTGCAGCCAATGCCACTCTGACCCTGTCTTTCGTGACAACCATCCGCTCGACCACGCTTTCTTCCCCATACCCGATCCTCGCTTCGTCACGGCATACGATGATGCTTTGGATAGGCTCTCACGATTAGGACATTGACCTGCATGGAGGCTGCTACACTATCTATTGCGGACAGCGTAATTATTGTATTTTTATCAGCCGCACCTCTAATGGTATACCCTCGTGAGCCCTCTACGCTGCGCTGAAGGAGGTTGCAGAGAAGCACCCGACTGCGCGGTCACTCTCCGGTGGGTTCCGTGTCATCTAGGCATCAAAGGAAGACGAGCATGCCATTCAACGCGCAGCAGCAGGCGACTCCAGCAGGGCTAGTGCGCTCCCCCTGTGCTTCCGCAAACCGCTCCCCGCATGTGGATCGGCGCTACACACAGTCACCGCATTAAGTACAGGCGAAGATACTTGAAGACTGGGAGGTATCCCCACGCAGTACGCGGATGAAGCGCGTCGAGCCCTCGCTTCGATCAAAAGCCGTTCCCCGTGCGATCCACGCACGCACTCTTTCTCTTCTTCTTGATTCTATCTGTATCGCGATCTCCCGCGCGCACACGATCGAGCTCGTTCCCCACCCGTCCCCCTCCCTACCTCCCGCTCTCGTGATCGCTTCCCAAACTCCCTCTCCTCTTCCCCCAGGCTCGCTTCGCGAAAACGCGACCCCCTCCGAGCTCCAGGTCCGACGTACGCGGTGATACGCACGTGCCGCCGCTGTAGGGGCCATTTTCGACCACGCTAGCGCCCGCGCCCCTCACGCATTTCGTCCATAAAAGGAGCTGTTTTGCTCTCTATCGTAAGACAATGTGCAGCTGCCGTTTAAATACTATTGTAGACAGGAGTCGTGTACAGTAAGGAGCCTGTCATGGGCGCGTCTAGAATGAACCATGCAGAATGTACACCAATACAATGGAGAGCCAAGCCCATGACATTATTACTCTCGAGCTCCTTGAGTGACTTCCGCCGTGTTTCTCGTCGCCTTACCTCATATTCTGTCCCAGCGTATTTTTTCGTATCTGCGCTTTGTTATGTTCTCCTTTCGTCCTTTCGTCGATAGGTACCCACGCTGGCACGCAAGGATTAGTATCTGAACCCGAGAACATAACTTGGTACGTAGTGGAGCACCGGATCGGATAAGACGGGTTTTCTCCCACACCCCGACATTGAAGGAATCGCAAGAACAATATTGGGACACGGTGGCTGCGATCAACCAAGCGACTGGAGGAATATGTGGGTAGCTAGCTGACTTCTTACTGTTCTCGTGCATTCAATACGGGTACACTAGTCGATATAGTCGGTTCATTTCAGCAGCACTCGCAGCATCTCCCACTTATTTGACACTAGCCGCAGCGTCGCTCTGACCCGCATCCTCGTAGCATCATGTCCACCTCTTCATGATATCTTCAACGATATCCCAAACGTCTCCCTGCACGCCCCTTGGACGCTCTCCCCAAGTCTCGTTCACCCATCCCTGCCCAAACCGCACCACCCGTGCCGTGAACGCCGTCTGGTCGTACTCCACCCCGCTCTCGACGGTCTCGACGAGGTAGTCCACAAACATGGCCCACCGCTCGCGATGGTACCCGCCCACAAGCCCCGCCCACGCCTTGGACGCGTAGTCGCTCAGGATGCCCCCGGCCGGGTTCCACAGCGTGACCTGCGTCCGCGCGTCGTACTCCAGGAAGCGCGCGTAGTCCTCCTGGCCCTCCCCCGCCCAGCGCCGTGCGGACGCGATCCACTTGCTGAGGAGGAAGTGCGGATCCGTGCCGAGCACCGCGTCGAGCTCGTCGAGTATAGCGAGCATGGGCGCGGCGGCCGCGTGCAGAGCAGCGGGCTCCGCGGGGTACGCGGCGACGAGCGCGAGGTACGCGTCCTGGAAGCGGTTCGCGAGCAGCTGGCGCGCGAGGTCGACGACGTCGTGCGCGAACTCGGGGCTCTCTCTCAGCGCCGGGGCGGCGCGCGCGGCAGAGAGCAGCGCGGCGAGCGCGGGGACGACGGTCGCGTTGGTGTCGTACGGGATGCGCGTGGGGAAGACCCCGGTGAGGTTGACGAGTCCGGCGAGCGCGGGCGTGAGCTCGTACACGCTCTTCTGAACCGCCGGCACGCCCGTGTCCGTGTTGCTGTACACGGTGCGCGCGAGGAGCTGCCACGCGTCGTGCGCCGCCTGCGGGAGCTCCTCCCTGGGGGCAAGGGCGGGACGGTATCGGCGCGCGGTCCACGCGGCAACGTACGCGGGGAGCGGGAGCGGCGCGCGCGCCCACGCCTGGTCGAGCAGCGCGTCGTACACGAGCTCGTTGCCCTCTTGGCCCTCCATCGTGAGCCCGAGCCCGGCCATCGAGCTCCCGTCCGCGGCGAGCGCGGCGAGCGGAGCGGAGGTCAGGAGCGGGAGGTTGCCCTCGAGGTTGATCGTCCCACCAAAGCCGTGGAGCATGCACCAGATCCAGGGCTTGCCCTCGAACGAGCGCGTGCGGTTCCACTGCGGCTCGGCTTCGGCGTAGAGGTCAAGCACGATCATGGCCATGGGGTCCGCGACACCTCCGAGGTAGGCCGCGATGCGCTCCTCTGTCCAGAAGGCCATGCTGGCGAAGAAGAGCCAGCCTTGGAGCATCCAGACGGCGTCCGGGTCGACGGCGCGGAGCCCTGCGAGCGTCGAGGCGCTGATGTTTGCGAGGTAGGTCGGGTCCCCGTTGAACGGGTTGATCTCGTTGTATTGGTCGAGGGTGTAGACGTGCGAGACGTTGCCGTACGCCACGCGCTGCTTGGTGAGGAAGGCCGTCTGCATCTGGTCGAAGAGCGGATCGAACGGCTCGAGGAAGGATACGTTCGTGTACTGCGGCTGGAAGTCGACCCACTGGTCGCCGACGATGATGGAGGCGTTCGGATAGAGCTCCGCGAGGGCGCGGGGGACGAAACCGGTGAACGCGGGCAAGACGGGCGTCATGCCGAGCTCGACGATGCGCCTGACGATGCGCTTTTGGAGCGCGAACTGATCTGCGAGCCAGGCGGAGGGGAGGGTGCCGCCCCAGCTCCCTTGGATGTTTCCGAATCGATTCCACGCCTGGTACGCGGGCCCGGAGAGGAAGGTCGCGATGTCTGCATCCGTGAGGCCAACGTCGTGGAACGTCTCGACGAGCAGGTACTCGTATCCGACCCAGGCAAGCGGGAGGTTGACGCCCCGGAGAGCAAGCCAGTCGAGCTCGAGCTCCCAATCCTCAAAGTCCCAGAATGCGGTCGTATAGCTGAAAGTGACCGTGTTGAAGTGGTACCTACCGCGACTGTTAGAAACGCTGTTTGTTGCAGTAGATGACTACAAAGCGTACCTGAATGGCACGATACTCTGACCAGTGATAGGTCTCCCCACTGCAGGAAGATCGGCAGGCAGCTCGTGCAGGCGCGAACCTGTCCACCAAATTTCCACTTGGCACCGTTCCGTCAGATAGCTGGAATGAATTTTGTTGCTCAACACCCATTTCCGCGCATGAGTTCCAGATACTCACGCATAGAGACCGCGAGCACACCCCGAGACGCTTGTGCATTCGACGTGGATTCCCGACTGCTTGTCCGCGACGACGTAACTGTCGGCATCGCCGGATACCAACGAGAATGAGAATTCGTGAGCGTGGTCCGGAAGTCGTCGGTCGAGAAGAGCATATATGCCGTTGAGGCTGGTGGCAGAGGACAATACGAGCCATGTCGCCGCACAGACAACCCTGAGCAACATCCTGGAGAGGTTCGAGGCTACGGGAATCGAATCCGCCTTGGTTCTTGTATGCAAGCCAGCCTTGGCGAGTTCTGCTTACGCCGAAGCGGAGGTGATTCCGAGTGATCACAGTTTCTGCGTACATAAATAGAAGTCAGCTGGCTGTATCCACAAGGACCACGACACATGCCTCCGCTCTATCGGAGATATCTGGGCGAAGACGCGCTGGATGAATTCTAGGAGCTACATCGCGCCTCGCATGACGCATGGCCGAAGACAGGTACACGCGGTGTGCGCATGAAGCATAATAGGCCAACAAACTTACCAGCATTTTATAGGCATCGTCACATGCACTTCTCGACTTCTGCCTTGAGTTTTGGCTCGGGTAGTAGGCGCGGCGGGGTTCTGGGATAGAAGTGCCACCGCCATCTCGGTAGTGTGATAACAGTACGTCACTTAGAAGCACCGAGGCTTATAGCAGCGCTCGAGGACGGATTGCGGACCCCGACCATGTTCTTGCCGGTCTTCTAAGAGATGTCAGCACCGATCGTCATCGTCAGAGACTCACTCACCTGAAGCTGGACATCCAACGCGCTCGTGAATCGCACTGTTGACGACTGGAGGATCGTCAGAGTTGATGGGATGGTCCAACGCGGCAACGGTGATCGAATTTCCTGCGAGGCAAAGAGTGCCTGGGTGTCGAGCTATCGGAGTGCGACCTCTAGTTCATGTGGTGAGTGACTTCAGTTTAACGCTTTGGCGTCCAGCCTTTTCTTGTCACGCTCGGAGGATTCGTTGTAGCTCTATGTATGCACCGTTTTTGTCAAATTTTCAGCTTGGTGCTGACATCGCCGCACGTTCTGAGGCATTTTGCGATCGAATGAGCTTTCTTGCAGTACGGCAGTTATAATGCTCGGAGACGGGTCACGGTACGCGTTGAACAAGTTTAGTTGCGACGAGTCGAGCAGCCGCCCGGGAGAGGTGAGTTTAGGGCAGGCCAGGATGGACCTCGCGCTTAGGCAATTTACCCACGACTAGTCGTGGCAGTATTCGACTCTGCGCCTCGTGATTAAAACATTCATCTGTGAATCATTCCTATGTCATGCACAAGCCGCTCCTTCATCAGGCGGACCGGTATTGGCTATACCATCTGAATGGTAGAGTGATCAAAGGCCTGGTACGTACTCGCTTGAGAGCGAAGACCTGACGACATGGCAGAGCCTGGACCAGGTGCGTTTCTCTCTCCGCTGCGTCTCATCGAATGTTTTTGCGCACGTTTTACTCCGCCTGTCGCGTCGTCTTCCCGTTGGTCATCAAAATCGCCGGCTCCTCCTCTGGCTCCTCCTCTGGCTCCTCGCCGGACACAGAGCTCGGCCTGGAGCCCTACGAGGAGCTCGAACACATGTCCGGCCAGCGTTTGGGCCGCGCCAGCATTTGGGCCAGCACGACGGTGGAAAACGCTCACGATACGGAACCACGACCCCTTCCACGAGTGTCGTGCCAGAGACTCGAGAGCAGCTCAGTTGGGACGGCCGCGCTAGTACGCCGTGGATGATGATGATCAAGTATAGCTGATGCATACGAATAGTAGTGCGCGTTCGTTGAAGTCCCTCCTTCTACAATCTCGTCTCCCATCCGGCCAACCTTGTTCGAACTCACTCTGAAGACTTGGCAGGAAAAGCATGTCTTTCCAATAGTACGTGCATCTACACAGCCCACCGAGATCATTCCGGGCGCGCACCTTCGCGGCTTCGATGCGTCCACGATGCGCCCACAATTACCATAGCCCCTAGTAGAAGCACCTCCAGGTGCGTCAGCATCGGCAGACCTTCGTTCTTCCACTGATTGCCCTCTCCCTCTTCCCCACAGCTTGCCCACAACTACGCGCGCACCTCCATCGATCTGCGAGGCGCACCGCAACGCAAGGCCAGAGCCTGGATCAACTCCCGGCGATGCTGTGGTTTTAGGAAGGTGATTTTGAGTGCCGTCATGATCAAGTCCATCGCCGCCCAGCTGCGCGCCCGACGAGACACAGAAGGCCATCGCGGCCAGAAGCGCGAAGCTCGGGCACGCTTCCGTCCGCCCTCGCCTTCGCCGCCGAACGGGTGCGGGCTTCGAGGGGAGCAGTGGGCGTTATCAGACGTAGCTCGGCGAGGGCGGTCAGTGCTTCATCTCCCTTTTCCCTTCTCCCCCCCGCCCCGTTCTTGGGTCTTACTTTTCCACCCCTCGAACTTGCCTCCAGTTCTCCTTCATACCCCCGCCCTTCTTCGGTGTATACCTTCTGCGGTTTCTCCACGATGTCTTCTACCCACGACGACCAGAGCGCACTCTTTGTCGGGACTTTCTTTAGTGTTCTGTGAGTGATCTTGTCGGGACCGGTCGAAGCGCAGACGGAACACTGACAGAAGTTACCAGATTCTATGGCATTTTCGTCCATCAGTCCTTCGCCTACTTTCGGAGCCGCCCTCAAGACGGAACGTACGCGTGGTTCTCGGTAAGTCGCCGCCTCCGCGACAACATCCCCGAAGTTCACACAGGGTTCTACAGGTCCTTCTGACTCTGTACGTCTGGCTTTGCCTGTCGCCACGCCGATGACCGGATTTCTGATATATCTTCCCAGCTTCCTGGAGACTCTGCATGTCGCGCTCGCGTTCCATACATGGTACGTGCGTACATTCGTAGTTGAGCGGTGCAGTGATGAACAGAATTGTAGTTTCACCTTCTTCGTGAACGACGTCTCCGATCCCGGTCTCTGGAAACATGGCTTATGGTAAGTGTTACGCGTAACTCTGCAGAGTATCTGTTGACAGGTTCCAGGTCTCTCAAAGTCAGTGTTTAGTGCTGTTGAGTCTTTACCTAGTCGCTGACAAGTCATACAAGTGTCTGTATGTCATAGGGGTGCGTCGAGCATCTTGCTTCTGCGAGTATTCACTTATGCCGTACGATGCATGCAGGCGTGTGTTATGATCGTCACCCAGACGTATGTACGCATTCCCCCCTTCTCCTCGCGTATCTAACGGCCGTTACTCAGGTACATTCTCCGGCGATTGTCGTTGAGTATGTGCACTCATAGGCCTGCGCGGATGAATCCTGACATAGATATCAGTGGGTAATGACACAACAATCGTAGCCTTGGTCGCAGTGAGTATCGGACTGCCTATCTTCCCATCTCTCAAACTGGAGCATCCTTGCAGCTTGTGTTATTTGTCGCTAAATTCGGTCAGCGGCCTCGACAGACTGAGTTATCCCTTTTTCCTGACGTTTCTTCATGTTGTTGGCATGCTCTCAGGTCTTGTCATCGGTACGTCCTCCAGCTCTCCAGACACTCGTAACGGTTGCTCATATGGACCTTCGCAGCTCTGACAATCCGCATGTCGGTCGCTCTTCGTGCCCCGTTCATGCCTCAGAATCCTGATCGTTCATGTCGTGCAGCTTCACATCAACGTCACCACATCCCCTCGTAGATGAATTTGTGCGCCACCCCTACTCCGAACCGACACTCATCCCTCACGTGCTCACTTCATCGACAGACGATCGTGGTGTCGACGCAAGCAGTCGCGGTCGCAGTCGACGCGCTCGTCTCGGGGACGATCGTCGTCGTCCTGCACCGCGGCCGGACGGCGCAGCGGCAGATGTCTGCCGGCGCCCCAGACCACGACGACCAAGAATGGGTCGACCGATCCGTACTCTACGGACTAAACTCTGGTGAGCCTCGTCATGCAATTCGGAGACCACTCGAGTCTCGAGCTGACCTCAGCGGTCAGGGGTGCTGATCGGGTGCGTCGCTCTCCCCAAGCCGCGCGGCGTGCATCTGATCGTCGAATCGTGGCTGTTTCGCGTGTGCCAGGATCCTCGACACTCTCACTCTCGTGCTGGTGGGTAGCCCCATCGCTCGTCGCTCTACGGTCGCTCACACGACTGCACCATCCCCAGGCCGTCGCGTTTCGCGACACACCGTGGTGGTCGGCCGCGAACCAGATCACGGTGAAGCGTGCGTGGCTTCCACCTCTTCGAGCTCCCCACCGTACTGATCCAAGTCCGCCGGCTGCCGCAGTGTACGCCATCACTCTGCTGTCCGTGTGCGTACTATCGTCGTCCAGCGCGCTCCGTCCGCAAACCGCTAACCCATACTCCCTCAGATTGCACGTCCGCAAGCCTAGTAGCATCCGTGTGGCTGTAGCGACCCCTCTTACCCCTGTGAGCGACCTCTCTGATGTGTGCCCATCTGGGACCACCACCGCTGACGTGAGTCCTTACCAGTCGACACGCTCGTGGCCGGGGTCGTCGCCGTCGTCGGCGAGCTTCCACAAGGCGCGCTCGATGGCATCGTTGGGGAGTGTGAGCCTGGGCACGGATCGAGCGTCGGCGGGCGGGCGTCCGTCGGAGGCGCGTCGGGGGTGATGCAAGTGGGTGTGCGAGATGATGATGCGTATTACTTCGACCCTTCTCATCCCTGATCTCTAGCTGTATCTATGTATTATGGCGATCCAGACATCGCCTATGCTCAAGGAGTATGCGGGTGCACGAGTTCAGGCACGGGTACAGGACGGGCGAGTCCAATAAATAGCGCGTAAAGCGGTGATGGTACATAAAGCACGATAAAGACAAGCAGATCTCCGCAGGTATCCGTCGCCGCTGCACCTAGTTCACACAAGGTCGGCCGCGTACGGCGCCGCCTTCCGCTCCGCGAGCTGGCTCGTGCTGTCCGAGTCCGTGTTCTGCTCCGTCGTCACTTTGATGTCGATGAGCGCCGGCGGCGGGGACTCGACCTGTGCGGAACCGGGATTCGTTGGTGGTCCACAAACTCGGGGCGCACGGGGCAGGACGCACCTTCGGGACGTTCCACTGCTCGGCGACGGTGTGCCGCGTGGGGTGCGTGTGCGCGGAGAGGCCGGGGGAGCCGGTCGGGAAGCCTTCGTCGACCATGGATCTTCGGGAGTTGAGCACCGAGAGGAGGGAGTTCGCGTACACTAGAGGGGCGCGGAATGAGGACGGGGAACGTGTTGAAGCCGGTTAAAGGACTCACGGCGGTTCGCGACAGTGTTGAACCCGAGGTAGATGAGGGTGTGCGAGAACCGGACCACGCAGGCCAGCGCTACGACGCTCAGGATCGACGTCAACAGCCCTGCCCGCGTGCCGACGGCCCCGATCAGCTACTGCGCCCCGGGATGCACCTCACAAGAGGAACGGAGACGCACCGGTGTTGAGGAGGTAGACGACGGCGACATCGATCGGGGGTTCCTTGAGGGACGCGTGCTTGCGGCTCTCGCGCACGATCTTGAGCAGCGAGCCTGCGAGGATGACGTTTGTGGCGATCGCCAAGGCGTACGCGACGATGACCACCCAGATCACCTTCTGGAAGTCGGTGAAGGTGGGGCGGAGGAAGGCTTCGACGGTCGTGGCCGCGGCGAATCCGAATTGTCCGAGGAGCAGGACGCCCTGTGGGTGGAGATGAGAGAGTGCGGAGAGAGGAGAGTTGAGGAATGCTTACGGCGACGCCCGCGAGCCACCGATATACAGAGCCGACTGGTTGGTGAGCGATTAGTGGATGCGATAGACGTCGAGCGGCGAGAAGGTCGTACTCAAGTACACTCGTCCCGCGAAGAAACTGGGAGAAGGGTCAACAGCACTGTCGAGGAAGTGTATCGTGTGAGGCTCACCTCTGTGTGACGAACATGATACAACCCTAAAACACGGCGGGGCGACGTTGAGCCGACGCATGTCAGGAAATGAGAACCAGGCACTTACCATGCACATCGGAAGAAGCTAGCACCATGTGCGATCAATATCATCTCCAAGACTCTCGAGTGAATCCATGGCTTACTTTGATGGACCTGGAGATGCGTCAGTACATCCGAGTATAAGTGGCGAAAATAGACGTACCATACACCCGTGAGCAAAGCGTTCGGGTTGAAGTAGTTATCAACGAGGTAGTAATAGCTATCCCAAGGTCAGATCTTGCTCACGCTCGAGTGACCGGGACCAGACTCACCAGATGTGGATATTAAGGATGGAGTGGAAAACCTCCAGTGTCCTTGAACAGGCAGCGGGCACAATGAGACTAATATCGTGGGTCTTCGAGAGGTGCTGCTTACAACACCGCAATCACCTTGGATCGGAAAGCAGGTATAAGAAACCAGAGCGAGTTGATTACTGACGATGAACGTACCACGCATAGAAACAGAGCCTTGTCCTTCGGATGCAGCCGGAAATATCTGTAAGCCTGGTGGACGTTCAGACCGAAGAGGCTACGGGCATGGCTATGTAAGCGGCCAAGGAATACCCACAAGGTCAAGGCGTTGCTCACGTGAGACCGATGAACGTCCCGAGGAGCACGGCCCCGAAGGTATTGTCGATGTGTATCTTCGGGAAGAGATCGAAGGCGAGGAGCGGGTCGAAGTTGGGCGGGAGCCCCAGTATCGACACCGTGTTGTTCGTGTTTGGCGTGGAGTTCGGAGGGGACATTGCGTGCGCGGGTGGGAGGGGGGCCGGACAGCAGCCGGGCGCGGGCGAATGCCGCTGGTATAAGGCGCAAGGCCGTCTGCGACAGGCTCCGAGGACAGGATTCGTGCTTCAATTGCACGTCGCGGAGACCATGATTCCCTCGTTCCGGCGCTTGAGATGGACAGGGTGCGGGAGTTCGGATTGAACGAGCGTTAGAAAGCCTCTCAGTTCCCTCAGCAGATCTCGATATCTGCTAGGAGAAAGGCAAGTATTTAGCTGCTTGTGGTAGAACCGACAGGACTATTCGTACATACCATCGATGTGAACAGTCAGCTTTCTGGAGGAAGAGGCACGGCCAGCGTTCCTCTTCCCAGGCACGTCTTGGAGCCGTCTTCTCGGGTGTCACACCTGTGCGGCGTATCATGGGGAAGAGTAAAATGGACCTGGGAAACCAAAGATCATCTCAGGCTCTGGAGCAAGAGCAGGGCATGGGAACAGGCTGTGCGGGGTGATGAACACCAGATAAGCAGTGACGAACCACAACGCTGGGAGCGCTCTCAATGAAACAAGGCTCGGAATGGGTCTAGCAACTTGAAGGCCTGAGGCCTGAGGCCTGAGGGCCGGAAGAGTCGCGGAAGATGTGGAAGCTTGCGCGCAGGTTCCAGAGCATCTTCGACGTGCTTCAGCCAACTTCCATCATGACGCGGGCGGGGAAGGGAAGTGGGAAGTATGCCTTATAATAGCTGTGTGGCATAGAGATCGTGTCCACATACATCCCAGAAGATGTTCGTTGACATCTGCCTTGACCCATTTCTTCCCTAAACGTAGCCCACTGTCCCTCACCCAACCGACGGTCCACTCGTTGCGACCAACCCGTGAGGAACAGACCGCCGGGGGATATGGTAATGGAAATGATTGCTGGAAGAGACCCACCACATTCATGATCCGTCCACTACCTGCTCACGATGAGATGCCGTCCTGGCAACTCGTCCCGCCAACCGTGCACTTTCGAGTTCAATGACATAGCGTTGCCTTGTTGCAATCCAAAGGTAGGAGTTGAGGCTCCGGTGCCTTCGGGTCCGCGTAAGACCATGTGTAGGACAGTGTATATGTGCATTGGAAGTGAGGAGGGCAGGGGCAGGGTGTGAGTGTATGCTGTAGTAGCCGCCCGCTCCGAGCCCTCCACGGGAGCGTGCGTAGAAGTAGCGCCAGAGGACTTTTCCCATGACCGCCAACATCTCGGCGGATCGACTTCAGCTGGTCTCGTCCCCAGCCGTTGGTCAGCCGTTGTTCTATCAAAGCTTTTGCAGACCCTCTTCTCTCATCAATGTTCTACTTAAATTCAAGTGTTCAGTCGGATCATGATCAGTGGGTGCAAACCCAAGAATCCGCGCTGCAGGGTGCTGACCTCCACGATACAGTTCTTGGCTGATGTCGGTGTGATCCATGTGGCTTGCCGGTCTTCGCAAGCCTTCCCCAGCGTCTGGTGTATCTGTACCGGTCCGGACGTACGCACTGCCTCGAACTCTCGCTTTCTCCCGTGACTGATACACGCCAGAGCTCGCGCCACCATCAGCGCAACGTCTAACCGCCCTAGGCCGGAATGTCTCTCCGTGCGGCTGCACACCTATCTCTGCGAGAATTGAGCACCCAGCCTGCCAGTTTTCCTCTCTGGAACACGGCCAGAGGATCAACGTCGACTCGCTCGGTTGGACCTAATCAGCTTCGCCCTACCACCTCCAGTACACTATCCCCTTCGCCCTCCCACACGTACACACTTCGGACGCGACACATGAGCCTGAAGGAGGGATTCGGAAAGGCACAGGCGGTGAGCGCGGGACGCCTCCAGCCGTCCCATCGCCCATGCGGCAGATCCGTGGCTCCTTCCGCGCGCCGCCGCAGGTGTATATCTTCACATCGTGCTTGTCTCGCCTTATCCTCGAGGCTTCCGTCCGCCGTCTACCATGTCCGCATCCTCAAACAGCACCGAGGCGCCGCAGACTGCGGTGCCACCGCCGCTCCCGTCGCTCGACAATACGCTTGGCGCGCTCCTGCTGGGGACTTTCTTCGGGCTCATGTGCGTTTGTGTTTTTTTCTGTTTTTTTTTCTTCGCCTGGGCGGGATTTGATGTTTCGTGTGGACTTAACAGACTGTATGGGGTGGTCATCCACCAGGCGTACCGGTACTTCCGGCTGTTCCCACAAGACGGACGGTTGATTCGCGCATTTGTAAGTGTTGCTTCTAACTCGCAGTTGATGAGACAGGGGTCGATCTCGTCGGGATGCCGTACGCAGGTCGTGGCTATCATGTTTCTGGAAACAGTACATACCATTACGTGTATGCACGCCAGGTGAGATGTTCCATCATCCTGTGCAAGACGGACACTGAATCGTTCCATAGCTATTGGTATACGGTCACCAACTACTTCCAGCCAACCGCTCTCCTTTTCGCCCCGTGGTCGATCCAGGTAAGAATCAGACGCTGAAGTTTGCACGAATCTCGCTGAGATTGTCGTCAGATCCAACCGTCCCTTGTGGTAGGCGTTCCTCGTGCAGACATTTTGGTGATTCATGTTGATCCTCGCATCAGGGATTTTCGATCTGCACCACCCAACTGTAGGCGATTGCTATATATCTCCGTGATATTCGGCGCTCATTGAACCATCAGTTTCTTCGCGCGACGGCTCTATCTCAGTATGTCAAAACCTTAGTTGAATTTTCCCACTCCCTCATCTCCGGTGTGAAGTTAGCAAACGGTTACGTCCCCTCGTGGCTGTTGCGGTGAGTAAGCGGTTTGCGTCATCGCCGACTTTGTGAACTCAATCCTTCAAAGGTTTTCCTCTCTGTTGTTGCACTATGTGAGCTACATCGTTTGAGAAATCTTATTCGAACATCGCCTGAAATACTATGGGGTTATAGCATTTGCCTCGGGTGAGTTTCGTCTTGTTGTTCAGCAATGACGTCACTAACATGTACACAGCCGCAACGTACTTTGCGTAGGTCTTGTCTACCAGGACACCGCTCTGCAAATGTTGAATGTGACCTTGACAGGTTCAAGGTGCCGACATGGGAACGCTATGCGCACTATGCAGTGAGTATACGAACATATTTCTCCCTTCAACCCCTCTCACAGGACCCCGGTCGTCTCTAGTGGCTCGACTCCGCTGGGTTTGGAATCACCACATTCGCCGACTTCATCATCACGGCCTCGTTGATTTACACCCTCCGTCAATGTCGGACTGGGTTCTCCGGGTACGTTCGTCAAAGCCCACGTCCGTTTGATCTCGGAACCAACAGTCTCTTGCTCAGCACGGACTCGACATTAGACACCATCATAATCTACTCTATCAACACCGGTCTAATAACAGGGTGCGTTTCTGTGCAGGGATTGTGACCGAACCTCTTACGATCTTCGCTTTCAGCATCTTCAACACCATCTCCTTCATCTTCGTGCGTGCCCTTTCGCTTTTTTTTCATGTGCATACACCGACGCAGTCACCACACAGGCCCTGGTATCTCCCAACAATATGATCTACGAAGGTGTCATCATCATAGCCACCAAGAGTACGTCCCATCCCCTCCCTCTATGTCGCTTGTCCTCACTAACCCGACCCCACACCAATGCACTCAGTGTACGCCAACTCGCTCTTCGCCGTCCTCAACTCCCGCCGCTCCCTCCCGCTCGCCATGCGCAGCAAGCCGCTCGCCGGCACAACCGGCGCCGGCGCCGGCGGCTTCATCGACATCCCCACCACCCACGCCAGCGCGGACCCGGACATCGAGCTCGCGCCGCGCGGGCATTCGAAGGCGGCGGGCGCCTACACCGACGCGGAGCTCTGGGACGTGCCCTCGGACGCGAGCGGGCGCGCGCCGTCGTCGACCGGGTCCGCGCCCGTGCTCGACGTCGCGCTCGACGGGGCGGGGCTCGCGCAGGGCCAGCGGGAGAAGTGGGCGAAGGAGAGCTTCGGGGGCGCCGCGGCGTATGCGTACCGCGGCTCTGGTCCTGGGCCGCGGGCGCCGTCGGAGCACGAGTATGAGTACGGGTACGGGCTCGGGTGCGGGAAGGAGGAGGTGGATCTGGAGCGGGGGTGGGGTGTGGGCGCGGGGATGGGCGGGACGGATGCGCAGGTGTTGGCGCTGGTGCCGAACCGAGCGCCGCCGTCTCCACCTCAGTCGCAACCGAGGCGAGCGAGCAACGGGCAGGGTTTGAAGTGGGCGCGCGGAGTCTGAGTCGAGAGTTGTGCGATGGTGTCCGTTTCGAGATGTACTCCTAGGTTATTTATTCCGGCTTCGCTGTAGGTACCATTGCTGTAGACATGCGTATATCATGTTTCCGCTGTGTAGATTTATAAATTATGCCGTCCAGACTCCAAGGATCGTCGTCCCCGCCGGCGCTTGGGTGCAGTTCTGCATCGTCACGACCGTTCCATGCGCGATGACAGCGATAGATGGAGTTGTTGGCCGAATATCTAAACCAGGGACGGATGACAGTGTGCGGTTATATTTTTTCAGTAGGTCGTACTCTACACTACTTCTTCCCCCCATGCTATGCAGCCGAAAGTCTGGACCCTCATACCCAGCGTTTCTCTATCCAACGGACTAGGAGAGAACAATAACATGATTTGCCCAAAAGGAATATCCGCTCGGTGCTGCACTGGCCATGGTCTGAGCATGTCGATGTGATCCGTCTCGCACGCATGTTCAGCTGGCGGCGCGGCGGAGGGGGCTTCTTCATCGCTGAGGACAAATGAAGTGTTTTCGGCCCGAGGTTGGTAGCCTCATGTCTGGAGGTGGTTTCAAGTTCTTCGCCAATCGAGAAACCAAAGGGGTTGGCCAAGATGAGCGTGGGTGGTTGTCGAAGGGGGAGCGTGTCCCAAGAACGACAACGCGAGTCGAAATACGCTTGAACCTCCTGCCCTGGACTGAGCGCTGAGCGGCGGTTACCGAACGAAGGGAGGGTGAGTCGCAAAAGACGTGGTGATGGTGGCTTCGCAGAAGCGCCTCAGCAACTCCATTCCTGCGGTTTCGCGCTCAGAGAGGTCACCGGCGTACGGCGGGAGGGCCACAACGCGCAGGTCGGTCATAGTCCAGCCGTGTGAGGTGATCGCTGTGTCTGGTTCATACATGCACGGAGGAGCCGACAGAATGCGTGCTGGCCTCACGTAGAAATGGCTGCTACAAAGGAGACAGAATGGTTCAGCAGCATTCCTGGCTAGTCCACCGCTGAACACCACTGGCCCGGCAGACGGACAACGAAAATGCGGGAGGGCTATTCTCCGAGGCGAGCGGGACGAAGAGGTGAAACGCTCAAGGCAGCGCGCGCATCCCCAGGTCTAGACGTCCACGGTTGGGCGTCTCTCTCACTCTCCCTCTCGCATTGTCCTCGCCGCCATGAATTGCTCTCCGGCTCAAACACTACAGAAGCCGTGCCCCCTGACATAAAGAGTCTTCCCGTCGGCCAGCTCCAGTCCCCCCGCTTCAAGACCAACCAGATCGTCGAGTCCATCCAGCTCCTCCAGCGCACCCTCCACATGCCAGGCGGCGTCGCCATCATGCCCCCCTGGCCCGAGATCCTCTCCAAGTACAACATCCTCCTCTCCCAGTCCCACAGCTTGTCAATGACCCTCGCCGCCGCGCACCAGGCGAGCACCGCCGCGCAGGGCAACCCGTACGAGCGGATCGCGCTCGCGCCGCACGGGCCGCTGTCGGACGCGCAAGTCGACGGCGACTTCATCCACCACCTGCGAATGCAGCCGACGGTGGACGTGCTGCGGGCGGAGAACAACGCGGTGCGGCATCTGGCGGGGAACATGGACACCAAGGGCTCGCTGGGGGTGCTCGGGCACGCGGGGTCGACTCGGAGGCCGGCCGGAGTACGAGGACGTGCGAGGAGATGCGGGTGGAGCGTGGGACGCGGGTGGTGGAGCTGATGCGGGAGAGGTACGACTGGAAGTCGCGGGTGGAGATGGACCAGGAGGAGCCGGAGGACTGGGAGCCTGGGTTTGGTGGGGGTGGAGGTGAGGTGGGTGGGCACACACCGAGCGGGGGGCAGAGCAACGACGGCGAGGAGGAGGAGGGGCTGGAGGAGGTCCTAGGTAATGGGAAGAACACGCCGGAAGGATCTGCTGGACCTGCCACACCGATGACCTGAATGTTCTGTGCTCGCGCGGAGGTCATTCAGGACGTCGAGCACAAGCACCTCAGCGATTTCGAGTGAGTCCCGAGACCATTGGCAGACTTTGCCGTACTCATCCACGCACTGCAGTGCAACCTCTTATGTTGTACGCACCGACGACAGCACCCTGGTCCTCCTACCTGCCATTGAAAGAAAGCCACACCGGCGTCGACTGCTGCATCCACAAGCTATTCACCGATCTCCTCGGCGTACACGAGCTTCTCAAACTCGTTCTCGACTCCAATACCGCAATCCCGGCATCCGGAATCCTCGACTTTGATGCGTGTCGCTTGTCCTCGCCCGTGCCCCCGGCAAGCTCTCCACGCCAGCTCGTGATACTCGACCTTCGTCTGGGCGGGTACCTCAAGGGAATGCACGACACGAGCAAGATAGACTGGTTCAGGCCCCTTCGCAGTCGGCGGATGGACTGTATAGCTGGCGAGAGGCGTTCACGTCGTTCGTCGAGAGCACGTTCGACCACGCGGAGGCGGCGGGCACGCACGCGGACTCGTTGCGCGCGATCGGCTTCTTCCTCGTCGACGACTGCGAGGTGCCGATGTTCGTCACCTTCACCGGAGACGACGCTCCGACGCTCGCCGACTTCGATCCCCATGCGGACACGGATGCGTACGTCCTTTGCGGCGGTTGGACACGCGGTGTGAGGCGACTCTCTGCTGAAGGCGATGTGGATGGTGCCGAGCGAGGCGTTCGTGGAGGTACGGAGGCCCACTGGTGCTGTTCGTGCGGCAGAAACCGATCTAATCTCCTCGCCACCAAGTCAGCCCTCCACACCCCTTCTATTGAGTATCTAATCCCTGCATATCAAACCGATCGTCTTTACAATCACCGCGACACGCATCGCCCACACTCTGGGAGGGTTTACCGCGTTGTGAGTTGCGTATCAGTTGATTGTAAGTCACTTTTTCCCCCTCATGTGCGTCCGTGCGCTGATCGACGACCGCGCACCGTGTGCTACTCCCCGGGTGATTGGGTTCAAATGTTCAAGGGCTCACTTCGGGTCGACACTGAAGTCTGCAGAATGTCGCCCTCACTCGCCAGACCCTATGTACCACGGGATACGCGATGCAGTTCGTTGCGTGCGTCGGGCGGGAGATTCTGGGGCGACATACGAACTTCAGGTCCGCGCGCTCCTCTTTCTCGCCCTATGGTCGCTGACACCATACGATCTCTTTCTCCCAACAGCTCTGCGACGCCAACACGGCCTTCGAGCGCGTCTTGGGCATGGACACGGACATGAAATGCCGCATTGTTTCCACATCGGCGTACAGTAGTAACAAGAGGACGTACAATTCGGTGCGGAGTGATCGAAGTACGTTCTTTGCGAGTTTCAAACCTCGCCGATGTGCATCCATCGTTGCTGGCACGTACACGCGCTGACACCGGTACACCAGATGCCCGGCCCCGCGCTCGTTCATGCGACTTGGCCCCTCGTGCCGACGCCGCGCCGCCTCTACTCCCGCCCCGAAAGACGTCGCGACACGTCGCACCATATCAACGAGGGTCCCCACCAAGATGCAAAGCGACGCGTCCCTCCGATGAGCCTCGCAACCCGCCATCCACCTCCCCCGCCTCGACACGTTCACCAGCGCGACGCCGTGCCGATCTTCGCGATCACTCTATCTTCATATTTTAGCCGCTTATTTCCACTGCCTTCCTCTCTTTTCATGCCCCCGTATCCTACATTCCACGGCCTCCATAGTCAGCCGTATGTCCGCGCTAGCCGCTTTACATGTTAGCTCAGATGCGCACTTGGTGCTATCCCGTTCGTTTCCTTCGAATCTCTGTGCGTGTTTGTATGCTCAACCTCGTCTCGTCTTCGCATCAGCTCGCCTTCGCCTCCCCTCAGCTCGTTTTCGCTATCCCCTCGCCTCATCGTGTCGTCTTCGTCGCCCATCGTCGTCCGTCGCCGTTGCCATCGTAGCGCCCGCGCCCCGACCCTCAGTCCTGTGTCTGTTTCCCTCTCCGGTTGTCTTCCCTTCCTCTCTTCCGCGTGAGCACATCCCTCCACCACCCTCCCCAGCGCCTTCGGACGTCTTTCCCCCTGGTGCTCGTTCCTTCATCCGACTTCCGGAGCTCCATGCTTGCACCTTCATCCGACTTCCCGAGCTCCACGCTTGCGCCTTCGCTCTCCCCGACTCTTCCCGGAATTGGCGTCGCATCATCGCCCACGTTCCGATGGAAGTGCACGACCCCGCGTGAATCCGACCATACGACCATCGACCCGTCGTACGTGACTTCGACTCGACCAACGTCCTGTTCGTGGTCGAGACCAGGAGTTCGGTAGAGCCTGCCATGCTGCGTGCTCCAAATCCACCCTCCGCGGTACGGTGAATGCGAGCCAGGCCGCTTAATATCCATTCTGGGGTGTTCACCAACGATCTTCAAAGGCCTATCGCCTTCGAATGGCCCCGATAGTATCTCTCCGGTGGCGGTGTCCACAACGCAGAACCACGGCGGGGCAGAGGTACGAAATATGGGGAAAGGCGACACCGCATCGACGAAACATAACGCGCGAGTCCCGTCGGCGGATAAGGCCTTGGGAGTGAACCCGAAGAGTGGTGACAGCGCCGGAGGTGCAGTAGAAGAGCCAAGTGCGTCTTCTTCGCTGCGATCCACCACGAGGGCCTCCACCCCCCAGATACCATATTTGGTCAGTGCGAGCACAGTGAAATCGCCGCACTCGGAGCCGCATCGAAGCACGGCTTGAGAAACAACTTGGAGTTTGACCAGACGGTGGTGAATTTCTCCTGAAACCAGATTGACTACATAGACTCTGTCGTCCGGGCGCCAGTAGTAGACGCTGTCGTCGTCGGCGAGGAGGATCAGAGCGTAATGGGAGTTTGTTGACATACGGAAGTTGCCGTGTGATGGGATGGGAGTACAGCGAATCAAACGGAGAAGAGTCAAGTCTTCCACATCCCAAACATGAAGGTCCAGCGCCGAGTCGGACATCAGGGCGAGGATTTGGGCGCTATCCGGGGACCAGCTTGAAGCGACGATATCTCCGCCCTCGGGATCCTCGATGATTCCCGTTTCCCGGGGCTCGCTGTCAGAGCCATGTCCTTCCTGTTCGACGTGAGGGAGGCAGAAGACAACGATTTGACTACGGAGACGACCAAAGAGGCGAGTGTTTGACGGAGAGAAGGCTAGCGTATTGACGTCCGACCTGTGTGGCGGTTCAGTGTGATACCAGCACTGTAAGGCGAGTCGCCCTCCGGCGCGAACATCCCAGATCATGATTGACTGTTGTTCGGTTACCACCGTCCTTGAGGATGCCATGCTGGCTGCCCACCTCCCGTCCCGAGAGATGGTCAGATGCTCCACCTCCGTGGGATGCCCATACAGTTCAGGCGAGAACCCTTCTGTGATGATTCAGGGAGGTTGACCAACCGAGTGGGCAGAAGGATACACACCAGAGTGCACAAAATCGACCTGCAGAAGCTTCAGCTTATGGAGTGATGCAAAGGTACGCTCCAACGATGCCCTCCATGTGTTGACGAGATTCTGCGTCGAGTCTCTGACTATAATTTTGACTCCGTTCGTTCCAAGAAAGATATGCTCCGTCACGAGCCGTGTGAAGTTGCGGAGGACCGTTTGTTGATCACTGCTGCCCTCGAAACCAAACAACCAGGTCAGAGATTTGTCTAGAGTGATCTCCAGGGCCTGTAGCGATTTCGGGAGACCAAGGCACATTAGCATGTTCAGTGCCTGGAGCTCCGCGGTGTCGGAGAAGAGTTCTAAATCGTCGTCCTCGGCTACTGTCACAGAGAGATGTTCAAGACTGGTGCAGCTTGCAAGTGTTAAGCCTGCAAGTGTCGACGAGGGTTAGTCAGAAGCTCCATGGTGTGCCAGTGAACGCATACATGTACCTTCTACAAATAGCCATTCCAGACTGAGCTCAAGGTGTGTCAACGTCGACCTACTTCCAGAGAGGACTTCAAAAAGTTGCGGGAGTTGGTGTGGATCTTCGGACTTCAGATTATTGTAAAGCTGTGGAACTCAGAAAATTCAGTCTTTTCCATCGTCTTTGTGCGATCAACATGGTGTCTTGTCTCACCTTGAGATGTGACAGCCTCCCACATGTTCTTATTGAGATGAGTGCTCGGTCGGGGGAAAGAGCTTTGCACTCGACCCCGAGCAGTTCAAGCGAGTGGAGGGCGGGGAACGCATGGGCTAGTCGGTACACATGGAGTGGTGTGAGAAATTGGGACCGGGTGATGACCAAGGTCTTGACTGCGGTGTATTGCCGAAAGCAAGCCAAGACAGCCGGTGGAAATACATCTCTGCAGGATTTAATCTCCCATGTGTCGATATGTGCGAGATACGGAAGGAGAACCACAGGTGCAACCCAGGGGAACGAAGGCTCCGAGGGCTCCGAGTAGTTGGACTTGAACTTTCCAATGAGCTGAACGGAGTGGACCCACAAACGCAAGTCCGAGGAGCGTTGAAGTGTTTCACAAATCGAGTGGAGTCTCTCCAGGCTGAAGATCTTGACCTTTCTCCATATGTGGATGCGACTTCTAGGGAGCCATCTTGTGTGGACTCGGGCGCAGGAGGTGAGCGTGGTGAGGGCGGAGAAGCGGCCGATCTCAGCGAGGACGATTTCGGCGCCGAGTGCGTCGATCACCTGCTCGGCGACTTCTATGGGAAGACGCTCTGAGGCCATCGAAGAGCGGTGGGGTGTATTTCGAGAGCTGATTGCTGGCCGATGAGACGCATGCGCAGATGTGGTAGAAGTCACGTCGGGTTGTGCGCGCGCTACACAGATTCAGGCCAGGGCGCACGGGTTGTCGTATTTGGGCTCCGCGCCAACCTTGGCGGCGGGGCAATTCTGAACGCTAAATCCCAGTTCGCTATCGGCGCGAACTCGCCGTCCCTTCCTTTGTCCTCCCAGTTGTCAACCGGTGAAGGAGGGGCGACGAGCTGTCTTGAGCGTATGGATGGCTTTACTCGTCTCAAGTCGCGCCTTGCAAAGTCCGCTCGAACGGCTGTAGTCGACAGGTGGCCTGCCATGTACTGGCCTAGTAGTACCCCGCCCCAAATATTGAGGGTGAGCTTTGCACGCTCCGCCTCCAGCTGCCCGTCGCTCGATGTCACAAAGACAAGCCGTTTGGGTGCGAGCGCATATATGTCTACATCCGCGTCTGAAGGCCTGACTCGCCCACGTCGCCCATCCAGGCTCTTCCCCACGCACACCTATCCACCTCTCTCTCACCATCCGGAAACCTTGTCCAAATCGCGACGCAGCTCACCCTCCGCCAGCAGGCATCCATAACCACCCGCGGCTGGCCCTCAGCCGACTGACGCCCGCGCCCACCGCGTAGAACGCCTCTGCCGCCGGTCCAAGCCCAAGCCCGTCCTCCCCGCCGCCGCGGCGCGCGCAGCCTCTCCAGACACCACGCCCCGCACGCTCCGACGCAAGGTCTCCCGCGCGTTCTCCACCCTCGTCCGCCGTGACTGCCGAACACCCTCGCGCGAGGGTTCGCCACGTCCGCTTCTGGCGACGAGTTCGACTCGGAGTCGGACCACGGGCCGAAGACCCCGCGCCCGAGGAAGGAGGGAAGCAAGATCTGGAAGCTGTGGAGCGTACCCGTCGGTGTTGAAGTGAAGCGGCTCGTGAAGCTCTGAAGTCTCGGAGACAACGAGACAAGGCCGAACACCCCTGTGGAGAAGGGGGTATTTTTTTGGTTCCTGTTTCGATATCCTGTTCATCGCCATGTGATTTCTCTCTCTGAGACGTGGACTCTGGATGAGAACGCGTTGCGTGTGGACCGTCCCGTTGTGCGCGAGAGCGGTCAACTGGCGGTGCGACGCCATGATCATGATGGGCCAGGGCGCAGGCCGTGGCGTGAAATCTTGTTGAAGCCGGAGACCGTCGGACCGCCTGGGCGATTCCCGCTCGAAGGCTCGGCACGGAGGATGTGTACATTGCAGCACCGAGGGACGCATACACGACCTCTTGAAGCGTTCCGCACGGACTCCCGAACGTGCTGAGGGCACAAGTCTGTGGAGAAACGTTGGCCAGGCTCTTAGCAGTTCACTCGAAATGGCCGGGCAATCACACCACGGTCCGCAATCTCCGGGGGCTGGACGTGCGTCGTATCGCTCAGCTCGGTCACTTACCGTCTCATGAGGCTGCCTCTTCTCTTTTGTTCCATGCGACCATGAGCGACTAGTCCTTGAGGCTTGAGGCCTAGGAGCCGCGGGCTCCGTGTCAAGTCATTGTTCAGGGCCTTGGTACGCGAGCACGACGGCCGTCGAGCGAGGTCTGGTGGAGGTGTGCTGTCAAGCTTAAGGAGGTGAGGGCGCGCCAAAGGGGCGGCCCAACGCTTCGAGTGGAGGAATGGGATGGAGCGGGGACGACGGAGGGCTACCTCCGCCGCGCCGCCGCACCGCGGTACCATGCGGGTGAGCCGGCTTGTTTTGCAATCTCAGCAGGCGAATCTCCGTGGCAGGCGGGAGGTGGAGAGGATGCCCCAGCGAGTGCGAGTGGCCCCGCGACGCGTGTGGGGGTCGGCCGTCGGGGGCTGCCACATCGTGAGGTGCGCGCTGGCCAGCATGCCAAGGCGCTCGCAGCGCAGTGGCCGAGGCCGGACGAGGCACGCGCGGAACGGGGCGGATGGAGGGACGAGGGGATATGGGCTGAGTCAGGGCCTCGCTGGCGGTCGGAGGTGGCTGTATGCTGTCGACAGAATTCAGCGTATGCGCGGCCCTGTTGGCGCGGCAAGCCGCAAGAGCGCTCGGGAAACCACAGAGGCGGAGGAGAGGGTAAGAAAGCTAGCGTGTATGGGGATGGGTGCGGCGGAGAGGGAAGGAATCGGAGGAACACACCGCGATCGTCGCCCGACATCCATATGCCGGGCAAAGTCTTGACACGTTGAGATGTGCGGGCACAGTCTGGTGGTGTCGACGACGTGCGCCCTGCGACGCCATGGCTCGAGCGGGCGAGGTCTCGACGCGCACCGCGCTGTGAGAGAATGCGCGTCAGGAAGGCGGCGCGAGACGTAGCCGTTTTCGAGTGTGCTGGCGCTCGGTCGCGTTCTGGAATGGCGTCATTGCCCACGGTCCGCATTGTCCGGGGCCCAGACCCGCGTCTGGCGATTCGGCGGGCTCAGCAGGGCTCAGCTCGGTCTACCGTCTGAGACTGTCTCTTCCTCGTTTGTTCCCTGCATCCATGAGCAACTCGTCCTCTTTCCCCGCCGAGTTCCCTTCTCAGATCACGCCAGTTGCGTACGTACCTCTCCTGAATCGTGCTACGAGGCATGCGCTCAAGGCGACACCATAAGCACTCCTGCAGGTCGCGTCGTCTGTGCACCATCGCTTCCACGAGCCAAGAGACGGGCCTCGGCGTTGGTGCACAAGGGATGTTATCGCATGAGGCGTTGTTCAGCGAAGGTATGTATTTCCACCCGAAACAGCTTTTTGCAGCTGGCTGAACTTCCTTCCTTCACCACACACGTTATCAGCCCTCGCTTTGAAGTTGTGTCCTTCCATCTTGGTCATTTTAAGTAGGCGACGAGTAGAATGCACGGATCCAGGTACACCCGAGGATGGGTGGTGGCCTTTCGCGGTAGGTTTCACTCGTCTCCTACTCCCTACCCGTTTTCTTATGCTCTTCTTCCTCTGCTCAAGAGCCATGACCGACGGACGCAAAGATCCAACTCCGGAACCCGCGAGTAAAGGCATATGGACATGCATGAGGTTTCTGGAGGCATTTCAGCCTATGCGATCGGTCACGGACAGCGGGATCGTAATGCTCGTCGTGCGGTACGTCCTATCCCTTGGACGTCTAGTTGCGTGGTCTCGTCCGTTCTCCATCGTCCCATATTGTTCCGAGGCCATCCTTTTCTGATACCCGCGCGTACAGCGTTCTAGATATTGGTGCCTCGTCCAACGCGTCGTCCAACGCCCAGCTAGTACGTCCGACGGCGTGTTCCACTTCCTCCCATGCGCCCCGCCCCCTCCGCTTCCGCTGCCTCAAACGACGCGCCCCCCAGCCCCCTTTGCCGAACATGCTCCCGCTGGAGCCCACCGCGTCCGCTTCTGGCGACGTGTCGTACTCAGCCTCGGACTCCCAAACCACGGGCCGAAGACTCCAGCGACGCTCACGCCGAGGACGGAGGCAAGGAAGATCCGGAAACTGCGGAGCGTACGCGTCGGAGTCGGCTCTTTTACACCTCCATCGTCGTCTGCAACTTCCCTGGCGCTCTCGATGTCACCGCCGTGTCCAAGTACTGCGCTTCCGACGATCACAAAAGACCTCAACGGAGGTGACGAGTTCGTCTGGGTCGGCCACGCTGCCTACAATCTTGCTGCGGCCGCTATCCTCCCCTTCACCGCCCGGCTCGCGGACATCATCGGCTGGCGTCTAATCATGCTCGCCTGCGTCGGCTTTTTCTTTCTTCGCAGTCTCCTCTGCGCCACCGCTCAAAACATGCACTGGCTCATCGCCGCACGGAGTGAGTGTCCGACTTGCGTTTGAACTCGTTCGCTGACTGCATTCTTTAGCGGTGCAGGGTATTGCCGGGGAAGGGATCATCACCTCGGACCTGGTCCCTTTGGCCGGGCACGGTCTCTACCAGGGTCTGCTCGTCCTCACCTGGGCATTTGTGGCTGGCATCGGGCCCGTCACCGTATGTCACCGCCTCCAAGTTGATGCAGTGCTCGATTAGCTTACCCGTCTCATAGGGTGGTTCCTTTGCCCAGAAGGCTACATGGTGGCTTTTCTGTGAGTATCGCTTCGATGTGCTCCCGACCGCATCTGACCATCGTGTGACCAGATCTGAACCTCCCCCTGGCCGGTATCGCGTTCTTGCTTGCCATGATATTCCTCCGCGTCCGAACTCCAGAGGGTAGTTTGCGCAAGAAAATATCGCGCATTGACTTTGTGTACGCATATTTTTATCCACCAACTGCAACGAGAGCTGACAGTATGCGCTCAGGGGCAACCCCACCTTCATCGCCTGCACGACGCTCGCGTCGGTCGCGCTCGCATGGGGAGGAATTTGCTATCCTTGGAGCTCTGCGCACGTCCTCGCGCCACTCATCCTCGGCTTTCTCCTTATCTTCGTTTACGAGATGTTCGTTATGAAGCATCCAACCGCACCAGTCTCGCGGGCTACATTGACACCTTCTTCCACGGGATCGCCAGCATTGCTCTCATCTGTGGGTCCTGGCCATTTGCGTCCTCAAGCGCTACTGACCCCATCAACAGATTGCCTACCCGTTTATTTCCAGGCCCACAAGGACGTCTCGCCTATCCGGTCTTCCCCACCGCGTCCGTTCTCTCGTCTTCCGCGATCGTCTTCGGGGTGCTCGCCAGGGTCATGAAAAAGTACCGGCCCGCGAACGTCATCGGCCGGGTCCTCCTCATCGGCTTCGGTCTGCTCACGCCCCTCAAAGCGGACTCGTGCACCAGCGAGGTCGGCTTCCAGGTCATCACGGCCATCGGTGGCCTGGGTATGATCGTACGCACCACCCCTCCACGCCTGCACCTATCTCTCCAGCCGACGCGACCCGCAGTGGGCGACGGCCGTCTACCCCATCCTCGCTCCCCTGGGGCCCGTCGCGCGCTCCCTCTCCACGCTCGCCTTCCACACCTTTGCGCGCACATTCGCGCCGACCCATCTCCGCCTCCGTGTTCCAAAGGGAGCTCAAGGCGACCCTGGCCGCCTACTTCCCCCGCACGTTCCCCGCCGGGGTCGAGATCGCGTCCGCCGCGGTTCCCTTGATCCACGCGCTCCCCCAGCGGCTCGGCGACGAGGTCCGCGCACCGGGGCCGACATGCTGGGTATCGCGCTCGATGCTGCGGGACTCGTGCAGGGCCAGGGGGTGAAGTGGACGAAGGGGAGCTTTGGGGGCGCCGCGCGGGCGTATGCGTATCGCCCTGGGCCTGGGCGGGTGCGGTCGGGGAACGAGTATGAGTACGGGCGCGGGCGCGGGAAGGAGGATGATGATCTGGAGCTGGGTCTGGGTATGGGCGCGGGCGCACGGATGCGGGGGACGGATGCGCAGGTGATGGTGTTGGTGCTGAATCGGCCGTCTCTGCCTTAGTCGCAACTGAGGCGAGCGAGCAACGGGCAGGTTCTGAGGTGGACGCGGGCAGTCTGAGTGGAACTGTGCGATGTTTCGAGATGTATGACTAGATTGTTTATTCCCGCTTCGCTGTACCATTGCTGTCGATATGCATGCACTACGTTTTCCGAGATTCATGAATTATGCCGTCCGAACTCCAAGGTTCGACGTTCTTACTGGCGCTTGGGCTCATTTCTGACGGCCTCCCGGAGTCAAGTGGTACCTTTGACGGGCGCAGCTGACCACAATCCTTGTCCGTCTCGAAGGGGATCACATCTCGGGATTCCGCACACGACACGCGACTCGGCGAAACCGACGGAAAAGTGGTACGACACAAGCAGATGAACAGTACACAACCGTTCGTAAGACACCCAGTCCATCAACGCCTACTCTGAGCAACACGAGTGAGCACCGCCCGCCGACTGGGCCCACCGACGTCCCCTTCGACCCAGTGGCGACCGGACGTGTGAGAAGCCACCCAATGAACGCGTCCTCCGCGCTCCTGTCGTTCGCCAGCCACCTCCACATCGGGGCGCGCGTCTTCTTCTTCCAGCGAGGGAACGCGAACTGCTTCAGCCGAGCCAAGAAAAATCTGTGGTTGTCGAGCAGAGCAGCAAGGGCATTGAAGTCGGACTTCGATTTAGAGGGTAGTTGGCGGTCGTCGGCGACAAGGCCGTCCTCGTCGTCGCTGGCCGGCTTCTCGACCGAGATACCTGCTCGGTCCGTGGAGCACGGCTCGCGGCGAGTCTGGACGCCTCTGCAGACGCGTGATCCGTGGGTTTGACCCCGTAGAGGACCGAGGTGGACCGCGAGCCGGGCGGAGCGCAGGTCAAGCTGGTTGAGAGGTAACACCGCGGCGCCGTTATTGCCGACCGCGGTAAACGTGAGACGACCGAGGATTCCGGTGGGATGGCGAAGTACGTCGTCCCGGACGCACTCTTCCTTGAACCACCTGGGCCGCATGTTGCTCCACGGCCCTCGAAGTACTGAGGGCAGAAATGGTGTACGTCGACCTTCGACTGATTGTGGTTCACGAAGCGGGGGGCCTGGTGGACAATGACGTGGAGGAAGGATTCGACTTCATCTCTGACCTTCAGCCCCATGACCGACGTCATGTAAGGCCAGGCTCCTGCCACGAACGTCGTTAGCGAAACGTGAGATGCTTGGAGATCGAGACGACTCACGGTGCGCTCGTCCTGAGATTCATCGGAAAGTGCGGTCTTTCGGGCCATCTCCCAGTCGCAGAGCATCCTGAGCATCTAACAGGCTGACTTACCCTTGGCGTGGAAGATCGAGGATGTTGCCCGCGCTAACATCACCGTGGAGGACCTCGGAAACTTCATACGCATGTGCATGGGCTGCAATGACGGCGGTGAGCTCAAGTACGCGGGAAAGCTGCGAAAATACTCACCACGAAAAGGCCAGTAGATAGTCCGGACCAGCTGCTGAGACGACTCGAACGTTGAAACCTCGGCGACGACAAGGCGGCAATGGCGCAGTTGGAGAGGTCCGGGAATGTAGCCAGCATCTCGCCCGGTCTTGGCTTCGCCCTGCCCATGAAGATTCTTGACGCCAGAATGAGCAGACGATGCCGTGAGGGAGGGGAGGGAGGATGCGTCTGCCGCAGGAGACATCGAAGACTGGGTCTGCTTGTATACATGCGGTTTGCGCGCAGGCGACGGAGTATGCGGCGGGCGGGCGCGGGTGGGGAGAGGAGCCTTCGGACGTACCGAGGTCGACGTCAACGCGGTTTCAGGCAGGTGGTCGCTGTGCTCCGACACCTTCGCCACCTGGTGTTCGCCGTCGAACTCCTGGTACGCGACCAGCGTCGGTAGGTTCTCGATGGCATCCTCATACCGCTCCAAAACAGAACGAGTCAGCGGCGTCCCTAGCTGGTCTCCCGTTGAATACCACTTACCCGGCAGACGGGCAACGGAAATGCGGGAGGGCTATTCTCCGAGGCGAGCGGGAGGAAGAGGTGCAAGGCTCAAGGCAGCGCGCGCGCGCGCCCACCGTTGGGCGTCTCACTACATAACTCTCCTCTCCCTCTCGCGTTGTCCTCACCGCCATGAATTGCTCTCCGGCTAAAACACCACGGACGCCCTGCGCCCTGACATAAAGATTCTTCCCGTCGGCCAGCTCGAGTCCCTCCGCTTCAAGACCAACCAGATCGTCGAGTCCATTCAACTCCTCCAGCGCACCCTCAACATGGGCGGCGCCGCCATCATGCCCCCCTGGCCCGAGGTCCTCTCCAAGTACAACATCCTCCTCTCCCAGTCCCACAGCCTGTCCATGACCCTTGCGGCTGCGCACCAGGCGAGCACCGCGGCACAGGGCAACTCGTACGAGCGGATCGCGCTCGCACCGCGCGGGCCGCTGTCGGACGCGGGGCCAGGTAGACGGAGTTCATCCACCACCTGCGGACGCAGCCGACGGTGGACGTACTGCGGGCGGAGGACGACGCGGTGCGGTACCTGGCGGCGCGCGTGGACACCGAGGGCTTGCTAGGGGTGCTCGGGCACGCGGCGGGAGTGGGGCCGCGGGATCGGCTCGGAGGTCACCCGGAGTATGTACCCGGACGTGCTGCGGGAGTGCAAGGCGATCCGGGTGGAGCACGACCTGCGGGTGGAGCGGGGGACGCGGGCGGCGGAGCTTTTGCGGGAGAGGTACGACTGGAAGTCGCGGGTGGAGGTGGACTAGGAGGAGCCGGAGGACTGGGAGCCTGGGTTTGGTGGGGGCGGAGGTGAGGTGGGTGGGCACACGCCGAGCGGGGGGCAGAGCAATAACAGCGAGGAGGATGAGGAGCTGGAAGAGGTCCTAGGTAATGGGAGGCACACGCCGGAACGATCTGCTGGACCTGCCACACCGATGACCTGAGTGTTCTGTGCTCGCGCGGAGGTCATCGAGGACGTCGAGCACAAGCACCTCAGCAATTTCGAGTGAGTCCCGAGACCATTGGCAGACTTTGCCGTACTCATCCAGGTACTGCAGTGCAACCTCTTATGTTGTGCGCACCCACGACGGCACCCTGGTCCTCCTACCTGCCATTGAAAGCTGCACCGGCGTCGACCGCTGCATCCACAAGCTGTTCACCGATTTCCTTGGCGTACACGAGCTTCTCAAACTCGTCCTCGACTCCAATACCGTAATCCCGGCATCCGGAAACCTCGACTTTGATGTCTCCGGGTCCGTCGTTCCCTAACGCTATCCACTCCTCGCGCACCCCAAAGGCGTGTCGCTCGTTCTCGCCCGCGCCCCCGGCAAGCTCTCCACGCTAGCTCGTGATACTCGACCTTCATCTGGGCGAGTACCTCAAGTGAATGCACGACACGAGCAAGATAGACTGGTTCAGGCCCCTTCGCAGTCGGCGGACGGACTGTATAGCTGGCGAGAGGCGTTCACGTCGCTCGTCGAGAGCGCCTTCGATCACGCGGAGGCCGCGGGCACGCATGCGGACCTGTTGCGCGCGATCGGTTTCTTCCTCGTCGACGACTGCGAGGTCCCGTCGTTCGTCACCTTCACCGGAGACGACGCTCCGACGCTCGTCGACTTCGATCCCGATGCGGACACGGATGTGGACGTCGTTGGCGGCGGTCGGACACGCGCCGTGGGACGACCCTCTGCTGGAGGGGATGTGGATAGCGCCGAGCGAGGCGTTCGTGGAGGTACGGAGGCCCATTGGTGCTGTTCACGCGGCAGAAAACAATCTAACCTCCTCACCACCAAGACAGCCCTCTACACCCCTTCTCTTGTGCATCTAATCCCCGCACATTGGACCGATCGTCTTTACACCCAACGCGACGCGCACACACTAGAATTACCCACACCCCGGGCAGGCTCACCGCGTCGTTAGTTGCGTATTAACTGATTGTAAGTCGCTTTGTCCGCTCTCACTCCCGTCCGTGCACTGATCGATGACCGCACACCGTGCGCTACTCCTCGGGCGGTCAACTTCATGTGCTAGTGGGATTAAGAGCTCACTTCGGGTCGACACTGAAGTCTGCAGGAGGTCGCCCTCACTTTGCGACCTCCGCCAGACCATTATGTACTACAAGATACGCGGTGCAGTTCGTTGCGCGCGTCACAATCGCCAGCGGGAGCGACCTGCCGCGAGGTTCAGGGGCGACATACGAACTGCAGGTACGCGTGCTCCTCTTTCTCGCCCTGCGGTCGCTGACACCATGCGATCTCTTTCTCCCGACAGCTCTGCAACGCTTACACGACCTTCGACCGCGTCTTGGGCACGGACATGGACCTGAGATACCGCGTTGTTTCCACATCAACGTACATCAGGAACAAGAAGACGCGCAATTCAGTGTGGAGTGATCGAAGTACGTCCTTCGTAGGTTTCAAACCTCACCGATGTGCATCCACCATCGCTGGCACGTATATGCGCTGACACTGGCACACGTCCTCCAGACGCCCGGCTCTGCGCTCGTCCATGCGACTTGGCCCCCGTGCCGACGCCGCACCACCTCTACTCCCGCCATGAAAGACGTCGCGACACGTCGCACCATATCAATTGGGGTCCCCACCAAGACGCAACACGACGCGTCCCTCCGACAAGCCTCGCACCCTGCTATCCACCTCCCCCGCCTCGACACGTTCAGCAGCGCGACGCCGTGCCGATCTTCGCGATCACTCTATCTTCATATTTAAGCCACGTATTTCCACTCCCTCCCTCTCTTTTCTTGTCCCCATATCCCGCATCCCACAGCCTCCATAGCCAGCCTTGTTTCCGCGCTAGTTGCTTTACATGTATTTAGCTCAGATGCGCACTTGGTGCTATCCCGTTCGTTTCCCTCGAATCTCTGTGCGTGCTTGTGTGCTCATCCTCGTCTCGTCTTTGCATCAGCTCGCCTTCGCCTCCCCTCAGCTCGTTCTCGTCATCCCCTCGCCTCATCGTGTCGTCTTCATCGCCCATCGTCGTCTGTCGCCCTCGCCATCGTAGCGCCCGCGCGCGCGCCCCTCAGTCCTGCGTCTGTTTCCCTCTCTGCTTGTCTTCCCCTCCTCTCTTCCGCGTTCGCGCATCCCCTCCCCTTCATCCTCCGCGGCGCCTTCAGACGTCTTTTCCCCTGGTGCTCGTTCCTTCATCCGACTTCCCGAGCTCCACGCTTGCACCTTCGCTCTTCTCGACTCTTCCCGGAATTAGCGTCGCATCATCGCCCACGTTCCGATGGAAGTGCACGACCCCGCGCGAATCCGACCATACGACCATCGACCCGTCGTACGTGACTGCGACTCGACCGACGTCCAGTTCGTGGTCGAGAGCGGGAGTTCGGTAGAGCCTGCCATGCTGCGTGCTCCAAAACCACCCTCCGCGGTACGGTGAATCTGAGCCACGCCGCTCAATATCCATGCTGGGGTGTTCACCAATGATAACCGAAGGCCGATCGCCTTCGAATGGCCCCGATAGTATCTCTCCGGTAGCAGTGTCCACAACGCAGAACCGCAGCAGGGCAAAGGTACGAAACTTTCGGAAAGGCGACGCATCGACGAAACATAACGCGCGAGTCCCGTCGGCGGATAAGGCCTTGGGAGTAAACCTGGAGGGTATTGACAGTGCCTGAGGTGTAGTAGAAGAGCTACGTGGGTCTTCTTCGCCGCGGTCCACCACGAGGGTACCGTCTTTGGTCAGTGCGAGCACAGTGAACTCGCCGGGCTCGGAGCCGCATTGCAGCACGGCTTGAGACGCAACTCTGGATATGAACAGACGGGGGTGAATTTCTCCTGAAGCCAGATTGATGACATAGACCCTGGCGTCGGGCCGGCGCAGTTTTGTCAGGAGGCCGCGGCCCCAGCCGGGGAGGTAGATCAGAGCGTAATGGGAGTTTGTTGACATACGGAATTCGCCGCGTGGTGGGATGGGAGTACAGCGAATCAAATGTAGAAGAGTCAAGCCTTCCGCATCCCAAACGTGAAGCCTCACTGGAAGGTCCCTCGAGGACGTCAGGGCCAGGATTTGGGCGCCATCCGGGGACCAGCTTGAAGCCTCGACGTCCTCGCCCTTGTGTGCCCCGATGATTCCCGTTTCCCGGGGCTCGCTGTCAGAGCCATATCCTTCCTGTTCGACGTGAGGGAGGTAGAAGACGACGATTTGACTACGGAGACGACCAAAGAGGTGAGTGTTTGACGGAGAGAAGGCTAGCATATCGACGTCCCCGAGTGGCCGTTCAGTGGGATACCAGCACCGTAAAGCGAGTCGCCCTCCAGCACGAACATCCCAGATCATGATTTCAGTTATCACCGTCCTTAGCCGGGATGCCATGCTGGCTGCCCACCTCCCATCTCGAGAGATGGTCAGATGCTCCACCTTTGTGGGATGCCCGTACAGTTTGGGCGAGAACCCTTCTGTGATGATTCAGGATTTAGCAGAGGTTGAAAGATCGAGTGGGCAAAAGGATACACACCAGAGTGCACGAACTCAACCCGCAGAAGCTTCAGCTCATGGAGTGACGCAAACACACACTCCAACGGTGACCTCCATATGTTGACGAGATTCTGCGTCGAATCTCTGACTATGATGTTGACTCCGTTCGTTCCAAGAAAGATATGCTCCGTCACAAGCCGTGTGAAGTCGCGGAGGACCGTTTGTTGATCACTGCTGCCCTCTAAACCAGACAAATAGGCCAGAGATTTGTCCAGAGTGATCTCCAGGGCCCGTAGCGATTTCGGGAGACCAAGGCCGATTAGCGCATTCAGTCTCTGGAACGACGTAGGTTGGGAGAAGAATTCCATATTGTCGTCCTCAGCTACTGTCACAGAGAGATGTTCAAGAATGGTACAGCTTGCAAGTGTTAAGCCTGCAAGTGTCGACTAGGGTGAGTCAGAAGCTCCATGGTGTGCCAGTGAACGCGTACACGTACCTTCTACAAATAGCCATTCCAGACTGAGCTCAAGGTGTGTCAACGTCGACCTACTTCCGGAGAGGACTTTGAAAAGCTGCGGGTGTTGGTCGGGATGATCCACGGACTTCAGATGATGGTAAAGCTGCGGAACTCATAAAATTCAGTCTTTTCCATCATCTTTGTGTGATCAACATGGTGTCTTTTCTCACCTTGAGACTCTGTGGCAGCCTCCCACATGTTCTTATTGAGATGAGTGCTCGGTCGGGGGAAACAGCTTTGCACTCGACCGAGAATAGTTCAAGCGACTGGAGGGCGGGGAACGCATGGGCTAGTCGGTACACATGGAGTGGTGTGGGAAATTCAGAATTGACGACGACCAAGGTCTTGACTGCAGTGTATTGCCGAAAGCAAGCCAAGACAACCGGTGGAAATACACTTCTGCAGGATTCAATTTCCCATGTGTCGATATGTGCGAGATACGGAAGGAGAACGACAGGTGCAACCCATGGGAACGAAGAATCCATGGACTTGTAGTAGCCTAACACGTCGGAATTTCCAATGAGCCTAACGGTGTGGACCCACAAGCACAAGTCCGGGGAGCGTTGAAGTGTTTCACAAATCGAGTGGAGTTCCTCCAAGTTGAAGACCTTGACCTTTCTCCATATGTGGACGCGGCTTCTGGGGAGCCATCTTGTGTGGACTCGGGCGCAGGAGGTGAGCGTGGTGAGGGCGGAGTGGGAGCCTCCGATCGCAGCGAGGTCGGTTTCGGCGCCGAGTGCGTCGATCACCTGCTCGGCGACTTCTATGGGAAGACGCTCTGAGGCCATCGAAGAGCGGTGGGGTGGATATCGAGGGCTGATTGCTGGCCGATGAGACGCAGATGTGGTAGAAGTCACGTCGGGTTGTGCGCGCGCTACACAGATTCAGACCAGGACGGGCGCGACAGCGTTGTTCAGGCTCCGCGCCAACCTTGTCGGCGGGGTGCGCAATTCTGAACGCTAAATCGCAGTTCGCGATCGGCGCGAACTCGTCGTCCCTTCCCCTGTCCTCCCAGCTGTTAACCGGTGAAGGAGAGGCGACGAGCTGTCTTGAGCGTATGGATTGCTTGATTGGTCTTGTCACTCGCCCAGCGCACCTTGCCAAGCCTGCTCGAACAGTTGTATTCGACTGGCAGGTGGCCTGCCATGTACTGGCCCAGCACCCCGCCCCAAATATCGAGGGTGGGCTTCGCACGCTTCGCCTCCAGCTGCCCGTCGCTCAATGCCACAAAGACAAGCCGTTTGAGTGCGAGCGCATATATCTACATCCGCGCCTGAAGGCCTGATCCGCCCACGTCGCCCATCCAGGCTCTTCCCCACGCACACTTCTCCACCTCTCTCTCGTCATCTCGCACCCTTGTCCAAATCGCGACGCAGCTCACCCTCCGCCAGCAGGCATCCATAACCACCCGCGGCTGGCCCTCAGCCGACTGACGCCCACGCACACCGCGCAGAACGCCTCCGCCGCCGGTCCAAGCCCAAGCCCGTCCTCCCCACCGCCGCCGCGCACGCGGCCTCTCCAGACACCATGCCCTGCACGCTCCGACGCAAGGTCTCCCGCGCGTTCTCCACCCTCGTCCGCCGTGACTGCCGAACACCCTCGCGCGAGGGTTCGCCACGTCCGCTTCTGGCGACGAGTCCGACTCGGAGTCGGACCACGGGCCGAAGACCCCGCGCCCGAGGAAGGAGGGAAGCAAGATCTGGAAGCTGTGGAGCGTACCCGTCGGAGTTGAAGCAAACCGGCTCGTGAAGCTCTGAAGTCTCGGAGACAACGAGACAAGGCCGAACACCCCTGTGGAGAAGAGGGTATTTTTTGGTCCCTGTTTCGATATCGTGTTCATCGCCATGTGGTTTCTCTCTCTGAGACGTGGACTCTGGATGAGAACGCGTTGCGTGTGGACCGTCCCGTTGTGCGCGAGAGCGGTCAACTGGCGGTGCGACGCCATGATGGGCCAGGGCGCAGGCCGTGGCGTGAAATCTTGTTGAAGCCGGAGACCGTCGGACCGCCTGGGCGATTCCCGCTCGAAGGCTCGGCACGGAGGATGTGTACATTGCAGCACCGAGGGACGCATACACGACCTCTTGAAGCGTTCCGCACGGACTCCCGAACGTGCCGAGGGCACAAGTCTGTGGAGAAAAGTTGGTCAGGCTCTTAGCAGTTCACTCGAAATGGCCGGGCAATCACACCACGGTCCGCAATCTCCGGGGGCTGGACGTGCGTCGTATCGCTCAGCTCGGCCACTTACCACCTCATGAGGCTGCCTCTTCTCTTTTGTTCCATGCGACCATGAGCGACTAGTCCTTGAGGCTTGAGGCCTAGGAGCCGCGGGATCCGTGTCAAGTCATTGTTCAGGGCCTTGGTACGCGAGCACGACGGCCTTCGAGCGAAGTCTGGTGGAGGTGCGCTGTCAAGCTTAAGAAGGTGAGGGCGCGCCAAAGGGGCGGCCCAACGCTTCGAGTGGAGGAATGGAATGGAGCGGGGACGACGGAGGGCTACCTCCGCCCCGCCGCGGCGCCGCGGCACCATGCGGGTGAGCCGGCTTGTTTTGCAATCTCAGCAGGCTAATCTCCGTGGCAGGCGGGAGGTGGAGAGGATGCCCCAGCGAGTGCGAGTGGCCCCGCGACGCGTGCGGGGATCGACCGTCGGGGGCTGCCACATCGTGAGGTGCGCGCTGGCCAGCATGCCAAGGCGCTCGCAGCGCAGTGGCCGAGGCCGGACGAGGCACGCGCGGAACGGGGCGGATGGAGGGACGAGGGGATATGGGCTGAGTCAGGGCCTCGCTGGCGGTCGGAGGTGGCTGTATGCTGTCGACAGAATGCAGCGTATGCGCGGCCCTGTTGGCACGGCAAGCCGCAATAGCGCTCGGGAAACCATAGAGGCGGAGGAGAATGTAAGAAAGCTAGCGTGTATGGGGATGAGTGCGGCGGAGAGGGAAGGAATCGGAGGAACACACCGCGATCGTCGCCCGACATCCATATGCCGGGCAAAGTCTTGACACGTTGAGAGGTGCAGGGACGGTCTGGTGGTGTCGGCGACGTGCGCCCTGCGACGCCATGGCTCGAGCGGGCGAGGTCTCGGCGCGCACCGCGCTGTGAGAGAATGCGCTTCAGGAAGGCGGCGCGAGACGTAGCCGCTTTCGAGTGTGCCGCCGGCGCTCGGTCGCGTTCTGGAATGGCGTCATGGCCCACGGTCCGCATTGTTCGGGGCCCAGACGCGCGTCTGGCGATGCGGCGGGCTCAGCAGGGCTCAGCCTGGCTCAGCTCGGTCTACCGTCTGAGGCTGTCTCTTCCTCGTTTGTTCCCTACATCCATGAGCAACTCGTCCTCTTTCCCTGCGTAGTTACCTTCTCAGATCACGCCAGTTGTGTACGTACCTCTCGTAAATTGTGCTACGAGTCATGCGCTCAAGGCGACACCATAAGCACTCCTGCAGGTCGTGTCGTCTGTGCACCATCGCTTCCACGAGCCGAGAGATGGGCCTCGGTGTTGGTGCACGAGGGATGTTATCGCATGAGGCGTCGTTCAGCGAAGGTATGTATTTCCACCCGAAACAGTTTTTTGCAGCTGGCTGAACTTCCTCCCTTCACCACAGACGTTATCAACCCTCGCTTTGAAGCTGCGTCCTTCCATCTTGGGCCATTTCAGGTGGGCGACGAGGAGGATGCACGAATCCGGGTACGCCCGAGGATGGGTGGAGGCCTTTCGCAGTAGGTTTGACTCGTCTGCTACTCCGTACTCGTTTTCTTATGGTCTTCTTCCGCTGCTCCAGAGCCATGACCGACGGACGCAAAGATCCAGCTCCGGAACCCGCGAGTAAAGGCATATGGACATTCATGAGGTGTCTGGAGGCATTTTAGCCGATGCGATCGGTCACGAACAGCGGGATCGCAATGCTCGTCGTGCGGTACGTTCTATCCCTTGGACGTCTAGTTGCGTGGTCTCGTCCGTTCTCCATCGTCCCATATTGTTCCGGGGCCATCCTTTTCTGATACCCGCGCGTACAGAGCTCTAGATATCGTGCCTCGTCCAACGCGTCGTCCAACGCCCAGCTAGTACGTCCGACGGCGTGGTCCACTCCCCCCCACGCGCCCCGCCCTCTGCTTCCGCTGCCTCAAACGACGCGCTTTCCAGCCCCCTTTGCCGAACATGCTCCCGCCGGAGCCCACCGCGTCCGCTTCTGGCGACGTGTCGTACTCACACTCGGACTCGGATTCGGACCACAGGCCGAAGACCCGAGCGACGCCCACGCCGAGGACGGAGGCAAGGAGGGTCCGGAAATTGCGGAGCGTAGCCGTCAGAGTCGGCCCTCTGAAACCTCTGTCGTCGTCAGCAACATCCTCAGCGCCCTCCGACGATCACAAAAGACCTTAACGGAGGTGACGAGTTCGTCTGGGTCGGCCACGCTGCCTACAATCTTGCTGCAGCCGCCATCCTCCCTTTCACCGGCCAGCTTGCGGACATCATCGGTCACCGTCCAATCATGCTCACCTGCGTCGGATTGTTCTTTCTTGGCAGTCTCCTCTGTTCCACTGCTCAAAACACGCACAGTGGCTCATCGCTGCACGGAGTGAGTGTCCGACTTGCGTTCGAAATCGTTCGCTGACCGCGTTCTATAGCGGTGCAGGGTATTGGTGGGGGAGGGATCATCACTTCAGTCCTCGTCCCTTGGGCCGAGCGCGGTCTGTATCAAGGTCTACTCGTCTTCACCTGGGCATTCGCGGCTGGTGTGGGGCCCGTCATCGTATGTCATCGCCCCCAGTCGACGCAGTGTTTGATTAGCTTACCCGTCTCATGCGGTGGTTCATTTGCGCAGAAGGTTACATGGAGGTGGCTGTTCTGTGAGTGTCGCTTCGATGTGCTCCCGACCCCATCTGACAATCGTGTGTCCAGATCTGAACCTCCCCCTGGCCGGTATCGCGTTCTTCCTTGCCATGATATCCCTCCGTGTCCGAACTCCAGAAGGCAGTTTGCGCGAAAAGATAGTGCGCATTGACCTTGTGTACGCATATTTTTATTTACCAACTGCAACGAAAGCTGACTGCATGCGCGCAGGGGCAACTTCATCATCATCGCCGGCACGATGCTCGCGTTGGTCGCGCTCACATGGGGAGGGATTCGCTATCCTTGGAGCTCTGTGCACGTCCTCGCACCACTCATCCTCGGTTTTCTCCTTATCTTCCTTTACGAGGCGTTCGTCGCGAAGCATCCAACCGCACTAGTCTCGTGGGCTACATTGGCACCTTCCACGGAATTGCCAGCATTGCTCTCATCTGTGGGTCCTGGCCATTTGCGTCCTCAAGCGCTGCTGACCCCATCAACAGATTACCTACCTGTCTGCTTCCAGGCCCGCAAGGACGTCTCGCCTATCAGGTCTTCGCCACTGCGTCCGTTCTCTCGTCTTCCGCGATCGTCTTCGGGGTGCTGGTCAGGGTCATGAAGAAGTACCGGCCCGTCAACGTCATCGGCTGGGTCTTCCTCATCGGCTTCGGTCTGTTTACGCTCCTCAAAGCGGACTCGTGCACCGGCGAGGTCGGCTTCCGGGTCATTACGACCATCGGCCTGGGTGTGATCGTAGGCACCACCCCTCCAAGCCCGCACCTATCTCTCCAGCTGACGCGACCCACAGTGGACGACGGCCGTCTACCCCATCCTCGCCCCCCTGAGGCCCGTCGCGCGCTCCTTCTCCACGCTCGCCTTCCACACCTTTGCGCGCACATTCGCGCCGACCCATCTCCGCCTCCGTGTTCCAAACCGAGCTCAAGGCGACCCTGGCCGCCTACTTCCCCCGCACGTTCCCCGCCGGGGTCGAGATCGCGTACGCCGCGGTTCCCGCGATCCACGCGCTCCCCCAGCGGCTCCCCGACGAGGTCCGCGCACCGGGCCCGACGTGCTGGGTATCGTGCTCGACGCGGCGGGGCTCGTGCAGGGCCAGCGGGTGACGTAGGCGAAGAAGAGCCTCGGGGGCACCGCGCGGGCGTATGTGTATCGCCCTGGGCCTGGGCGGGTGCGGTCGGGGAACGAGTATGAGTACGGGCGCGGGCGCGGGGAGGAGGAGGATGATGATGATCTGGAGCTGGATCTGGGTATGGGTGCGGGCGCACGGATGCGCGGGACGGATGCGCAGGTGATGGTGTTGGTGCCGAATCGACTCTCGAGGGCCGCCGTCTCTGCCTCAGTCACAACCGAGGCGAGCGAGCAACGGGCAGGGTCTGAGATGGACGCGGGAGTCTGAGTGGAACATTGAGATCTGTGCGATGTTTCGAGATGTATCACGAGATTGTTTATTCCCGCTTCGCTGTACCATTGCTGTCGATATGCATGCACTATGTTTTCCGAGATTCACAAAGTATGCCGTCCGAACTCCAAGGTTCGACGTTCTTACTGGCGTTTGAGCTCGGTTCTGTCGGCCTCCCGGAGTCAAGCGGTACCTTTGACGGGCGCAGCTGACCACAATCCTTGTCCGTCTCGAAGAGGATTGCATCTCGGGATTCCGCACACGACGCGCGACTCGGCGAAACCGACGGAAAAGTGGTAGGACACAAGCAGATGAACAGTACGCAAAACCGTTCGTATGACACCCAGTCCGTCAACGCATACTCCGAGCAATGTGAGTGAGCGCCGCCCGCCGACTGCGCCTGCGACGTCTTCCGCCCCTTCACCAACATCCCCTTCGACCCAGTGGCGACCGGACGCGCGAGAAGCTACCCAATGAACGCGTCCTCCGCGCTCCTGCCGTTCGCCAGCCACGTCCACATCGGTGCGCCCGTCTTCTTCTTCCAGCGAGGGAACGCGAACTGCTTCAGCCGGGCCAAGACAAATTTGTGGTTTTCGAGCAGAGCAGCACGAGCCTTGAAGTCGGACTTCGGTTCAGAGGGCGGTTGGCGATTGTCGGTGACAAGGCCGTCCTCGTCGTCGCTGGCCGGCTTCTCGACCGAGATACCTGCTCGGTCCGTGGAGCACGGCTCGCGGCGAGTCTGGACGCCTCTGCAGACGCGTGATCCGTGGGTTTGACCCCGTAGAGGACCGAGGTGGACCGCGAGCCGGGCGGAGCGCAGGTCAAGCTGGTTGAGAGGTAACACCGCGGCGCCGTTATTGCCGACCGCGGTAAACGTGAGACGACCGAGGATTCCGGTGGGATGGCGAAGTACGTCGTCCCGGACGCACTCTTCCTTGAACCACCTGGGCCGCATGTTGCTCCACGGCCCTCGAAGTACTGAGGGCAGAAATGGTGTACGTCGACCTTCGACTGATTGTGGTTCACGAAGCGGGGGGCCTGGTGGACAATGACGTGGAGGAAGGATTCGACTTCATCTCTGACCTTCAGCCCCATGACCGACGTCATGTAAGGCCAGGCTCCTGCCACGAACGTCGTTAGCGAAACGTGAGATGCTTGGAGATCGAGACGACTCACGGTGCGCTCGTCCTGAGATTCATCGGAAAGTGCGGTCTTTCGGGCCATCTCCCAGTCGCAGAGCATCCTGAGCATCTAACAGGCTGACTTACCCTTGGCGTGGAAGATCGAGGATGTTGCCCGCGCTAACATCACCGTGGAGGACCTCGGAAACTTCATACGCATGTGCATGGGCTGCAATGACGGCGGTGAGCTCAAGTACGCGGGAAAGCTGCGAAAATACTCACCACGAAAAGGCCAGTAGATAGTCCGGACCAGCTGCTGAGACGACTCGAACGTTGAAACCTCGGCGACGACAAGGCGGCAATGGCGCAGTTGGAGAGGTCCGGGAATGTAGCCAGCATCTCGCCCGGTCTTGGCTTCGCCCTGCCCATGAAGATTCTTGACGCCAGAATGAGCAGACGATGCCGCGAGGGAGGGGAGGGAGGATGCGTCTGCCGCAGAGCGCGTCGAAGGCTGGGCCTACTTGTATACATGCGGTTTGGGCGCGAGCGATGGGGTATGCGGCGGGCGGGCGCGGGTGGGGGAAGGGGCCTTCGGACGTACCGAGGTCGACGTCAACGCGGTTTCAGGCAGGTGGTCGCTGTGCTCAGACACCTTCGCCACCTGGTGTTCGCCGTCGTAGTCTTGGTACGCGACCAGCGTCGGTAGGTTCTCGATGGCATCCTCATACCGCTCCAAAACAGAACGAGTCAGCGGCGTCCCTAGCTGGTCTCCCGTTGAATACCACTTACCCGGCAGACGGGCAACGGAAATGCGGGAGGGCTATTCTCCGAGGCGAGCGGGAGGAAGAGGTGCAAGGCTCAAGGCAGCGCGCGCGCGCGGCCACCGTTGGGCGTCTCACTACATAACTCTCCTCTCCCTCTCGCATTGTCCTCACCGCCATGAATTGCTCTCCGGCTAAAACACCACGGACGCCCTGCGCCCTGACATAAAGATTCTTCCCGTCGGCCAGCTCGAGTCCCTCCGCTTCAAGACCAACCAGATCGTCGAGTCCATTCAACTCCTCCAGCGCACCCTCAACATGGGCGGCGCCGCCATCATGCCCCCCTGGCCCGAGATCCTCTCCAAGTACAACATCCTCCTCTCCCAGTCCCACAGCCTGTCCATGACCCTCGCGGCCGCGCACCAGGCGAGCACCGTGGCGCAGGGCAACCCGTACGAGCGGATCGCGCTCGCGCCGCGCGGGCCGCTGTCGGACGCGGGGCCAGGTGGACGGAGTTCATCCACCACCTGCGGACGCAGCCGACGGTGGACGTGCTGCGGGCGGAGAACGACGCGGTGCGGCACCTGGCGACACACATGGACACCGGGGGCTCGCTGGGGGTGCTCGGGCACGCGGCGGGGGCGGGGCCGCGGGGTCGACTCGGAGGCCACCCGGAGTACTCGGACGTGCTACGGGAGTATGAGGGGATCCGGGTGGGGCACGATCTACGGGTGAAGCGGGGGACTCGGGCGGTGGAGCTTTTGCGGGAGAGGTAGGACTGGAAGTCGCGGGTGGAGGTGGACCAGGAGGAGCCAGAGGACTGGGAGCCTGGGTTCGACGGCGACGGGGCTGAGATGGGTGAGGACGCGCCGTGCGGGGGTCAGAGCAACGACAGCGATGAGGAGGAAGAGCTGGAGGAGGTCCTAGGCAATGGGGAGCACACGCCGGAAGGGTCTGCTACACCAATGGCCTGAGCCGCTGTCCTATGCTCGCGCGGAGGTCATCGAGGACGTCGATCACAAGCACCTCGGCGGTTTTGAGTGAGTCCTGAGACCATTGGCAGACTTTGCCGTACTCATCCAGGCACCGCAGTGCGTTCACTCCCACAACCACTTGTGTCGTGCGCACTTCCTACTTGCCGAAAGTCGCACTGGCGTAGACTGCTGCATCCACAAGCTATTCGACGCACTCCCTCGCCTACACGGGCTTCTCAAACTCATCTTCGACTCCAATATCGGAATCCCTGCAACCGAAATCCTCCACTTTGACGCCTCCGGGTCCATCGTCACCTACCCCTATCTGCTCCTCGCGCACCCCAAAAGCGTGTCCATTGCCCTTGCACTCGCCTCCGGCAAGCCCTCCACGCTAGCTCGTGATCCTCGAACTTCTTCCGGGTCAGTACCTCAAGCGAATGCACGACAAGAGCCAGATGGACAGGTTCAGGCCCCCTCGCCGTCGGCGGACGGACTGTATAGCTGGCAAGAGGCGTTCGCGCCGCTTGTCGAGGGCGCGTTCGACCACGCGGAGGCGGCGGGCACGCACGCGCACCTGTTGCGCGCGATCGGCTTCTTCCTCGTCGGCGACTGCGAGGTCCCGTTGTTCGTAACCCTCACCGGCGACGACGCTCCGACGCTCCGACGCTCCGACGCTCGTCGACTTCGATCCCGATGCGGACACGGATGCGGACGTCGTTTGCGGCGGTCGGACATGCGGTGAGGGGCGACTGGAGGTGATGTGGATGGCGCCGGGCGAGGTGTTCGTGGTGGTACGGAGGCCCACTGGTGCTGTTCGTGCGGCAGAAAACGATCTAATGTTTTGCCTCTACTTTCTCCTCACCACCAAGTCAGCCCTCTTGTGCATCTAATCCCCGCACATGAGACCGATCGCCTTTACACACAGCGTGACGCGCACCCACGGGGTTCGCCCACACTGAGGGTGGGTTCACCGCGTCGCCAGTTGCGTACAGCTGATTGTAAGTCACTTTGCCCGCTCTCATTCCTGTCCGTGCGCTACTCCTCCGGCGGTCGTCTCCATCTTCCAGTGGGTTCAAGGGCCCACTTCGGGTCGACACTGAAGTCTGCAGAAGGTCGCCCTCACTCGCCAGTCCCTATGTACCACGGGATACGCGGTGCAATTCGTTGCGCGCGTCACGAACGCCAGCAGGCGCGACCTTCCGCGAGATTCTGGGGCGACATACGAACTGCAGGTCCGTGCGCTCCTCTTTCTCGCCCTGCGGTCGCTGACACCATGCGATCTCTTTCTCCCGACAGCATTGCGACGGCGGCACGGCCTTCGAGCGCGTCTTGGGCACGGACACGGACGTGAAATGCCGCGGTGTTTCCACATCGGCGTACATCAGTAACAAGCAGACGTACAATTCAGTGTGGAGTGACCAAAGTACGTCCTTTATAGGTCCCAAACCTCGCTGATGCGCATCCACCGTCGCTGGCACTTACACGCGCTGACACTGGTACACGTCCTCCAGACGCCCGGCTCTGCGCTCGTCCATGCGACTTGGCCCCTCGTGCCGACGCCGCGCCGCCTCTACTCCCGCCACGAAAGACGTTGCGACACGTCGCACCATATCGACGGGGGTTCCCACCAAGACACGACATGACGCGTCCCTCCGAAGAGCCTCGTAACCCACCATCCGCCTCCCCCGCCTCGACACGTTCAGCAGCGCGACGCGGTGCCGATCTTAGCGATCACTCTATCTTCATATTTTAGCCACTTATTTCCACTGCCATCCTCTCTTTCCATGCCCCCGCATCCCGCATTCTACGGCTTCCATAGTCAGCCTTGTGTCCGCGCTAGCCGCTTTACATGTATTTTGCTCAGATGCGCACTTGGTGCTATCCCGTTCGTTTCCCTCGAATCTCTGTGCGTGCTTGTGTGCTCACCCTCGTCTCGTATTTGCATCAGCTCGCCTTCGCCTCCCCTCAGCTCGTTCTCGTCATCCCCTCGCCTCATCGTGTCGTCTTCGTCGCCCATCGTCTTCGCCATCGTAGCGCCCGCGCCCGCGCCCCTCAGTCTCGCGTCTAGTATTTCCATCTCGGCTTGTCTTCTCCTCCTCTCTTCCGCGTTCGCGTATCCCTTCCCCTTCCTCCTCCGCGGCGCCCTTGGACGTCTTTTCCCCTGGTGTTCGTTCGTTCATCTGACTTCCTGAGCTTTACTCCTGCACCTTCGCTCTTCTTGACTCTTCCCGGAATTAGTGTCGCATCATCGCCCACGTTCCGATGGAAGTGCACGACCCCGCGCCGATCCGACCATCCGACCATTGACCCGTCGTGCGTGACTGCGACTCGACCGACGTTTTGTTCGTGGTCGAGAGCAAGAGTTCGGTAAAGCCTGCCATGCTGCGTGCTCCAAAACCACCCTCCGCGGTACGGTGAAGAGCGACGCCGGTCAATATCCATGCTGGGGTATTCACCAATGATCACCGAAGGCCGATCGCCTCCGAATGGCCCCGACAGTATCTCTCCGGTGGTGGTGTCCACAACGCAGAACCGCGGAGCAGAGGCAAGAGGTTCACGGAAAGACGACACCGCACCGACGAAACACAACGCGCGAGTCCCGTCGGCGGATAAAGCCTCGGGGGTGAACCCGAAGAGTGGTGACGGCGCCGGAGGAGCAGTAGAAGAGCTACGTGGGTCTTCTTCGCCGCGGTCCACCACGAGGGTACCGTCTTTGGTCAGTGCGAGCACAGTGAACTCGCCGGGCTCGGAGCCGCATTGCAGCACGGCTTGAGACACAACTTGGAGGTCGACCAGACGGGGGTGAGTTTCTCCTGAAACCAGATTGATGACATAGACTTTGTCATCCGGGCGCCGGTCCTTCAAGAAGCGGTCCTGGCCGGTGAAGTGGATCAGAGCGTAATGGGTGTTTATTGACATGCGAACTGCCTTAAATGGGAGTGGGAAAGAAGGACAGCGGAGAGAGCGAATGAGGGTCAAGTCCTCCGCATCCCAAACGTGAAGGACGATTGAGGGCACCATCAGGGCCAGGATTTGCGTGCTATCTGGGGACCAGCTTGAAGCGACGATCGCTTCGCCCGCGGATGCCTCGATGGTTCCCGTTTCCTGGGGCTCGCTGTCAGGGCCATATCCTTCCTGTTCGATGTGGAGTAGGCGAAATATGACGATTTGACTACGAAGACGACTAAAGAGGCGAGTGTTTGATGGAGAGAAGGCTAGCGTATCGACGTCCCCGAGTTGCCATTGAGTGCGATACCAGCTCTGTAAAGCGAGTCGCCCTCCAGCGCGAACATCCCAGATCATGATTGACTGTTGTTTGGTTATCGCCTTCCTTGAGGATGCCATGCTGGCTGCCCACCTCCCGTCCCGAGAGATGGTCAGATGTTCCACCTCCGTGGGATGCCCGTACAGCTCAGGCGAGAACCCTTCTGTCACGATGATTCAGGATTTAGCAGAGGTTGACCGATCGAGTGGGCAGAAGGATGCACACCAGAGTACACGAACTCAACCCGCAGAAGCTTCAGCTCATGGAGTGATGCAAACGTACGCTCCAACGATGCCCTCCACATGTTGACGAGATTCTGTGTCGAGTTTCCGACTATAATTTTGACTCCGGTCGTTCCAAGAAAGATATGGTCCGTCACAAGCCGTGTGAAGTTGCGGAGGGCCGTTTGTTGATCACTGCTGCCCTCCAACCCAAAAAAATAGGCGAGAGATTTGTCTAGAGTGATCTCCAGGGCCCGTAGCGATTTCGGAAGACCAAGGCCCATTAGCGCATCCAGTCCCTGGAGCAACCCGGGGTGGGAGAAGAAATCTGATCCGTCGCTCTCGGACACTTTCACAGAGAGACGTTCAAGACTGGTACAGCTTGCAAATGTTAAGCCTGCAAGTGTTGATGACGGTGAGTCAGGAGTCCATGGTGTGTCAGTGAATGCGTACATGTACCTTCTTCACTGAGCCATTTCAGGCTGAGATCAAGGTGTGTTAACGTTGACCAACTTATGGGGTAGAACTCGGGCTGGTAACCGCCGTCAAGCTGTAGGACCCATAAATTTCAGTCTTCTCTATTATCTTCGCGCAATTAACTCCCCGCCATCTCATCTCACCTTGAGATGTGCAAACAGCCTCCCGCATGTTCTTATTGAGATGAGCGCTCGGTCGGGGGAAAGAGCTTTGCAGTCGACCGAGAACAGTTCAAGGGACTGAAGGGCGGGGAACGCATGGGCTAGTCGGTACATGTGGAGCAGTGTGGGAAATTCAGATTTGACGACGACCAGGGTCTTGACTGCAGTGTATTGCCGAAAGCAAGCCAAGACAACCGGTGGAAATACACTTCTGCAGGATTCAATTTCCCATGTGTCGATATGTGCGAGATACGGAAGGAGAATGACAGGTGCAACCCAGGGGGCCGACTTCTCCTTCGACATTCGGAGCCTAACGGTGCGGACCCACAGACACAAGTCCGGCAAGCGTTGAAGTGTTTCACAAATCGAGTGAAGTGCCTCCAAGCTGGAGACCTTGACCATTCTCCATATGTGGATGCGACTTCTAGGGAGCCATTTTGTGTGGACTAGGGCGCAGGAGGTGAGCGTGTCAAGGGCATAGGAACCTGTGGTGGGATCGGTTTCGGCGCCGAGTGCGTCGATCACTTGCTCGGCGACTTCTATGGGAAGACGCTCTGAGGCCATCGAAGAGCGGCAGGGTTGATCTCGAGGGCTGATTGGTGGCCGATCAGACTCAGATGTGGTAGAAGTCGCGTCGGGTTGTGCGCGCGCTGCATAGATTCAGGCGAGGGCGGGCGCCGGGCGTCGGGCGTGTTGTTATATTCAGGCTCCGCGCCAAGCTTGGCGGCAGGGCAATTCTGAACGCTAAATCGCAGTTCGCGAACCGGCGCAAACTCTCTCGTCGTCCCTTCCTCTGTCCTCCCAGTCGTCAACCGGTGAAGGAGAGGCTACAAGCTGTTTTGAGCGTATGGATCGCTTGGTTGGTCTTGTCACTCACCCAGTGCGTTCAAACGGTTCCCCGCCACAGATATCGGGGGTGGGCTTCGCGTGTTAGGCCGCCTCCAGCTCCCTGTCGCCCGAAGACACAAAGACAAGTCGTTTGGGTGCGAGCGCATATATGTCTACCTCCGGGCCTAAAGACCGTCTGGCCTGCCCACGTCGCCCTTCCTCTCCCCTACGCACACCTCTCCACCGCCCTCTCGCCATCTGGCACCCCTGTCGAAATCGCGACGCAGCGTCCACCGGCAAGTATTCGCGTCTGACCCTCGGTCGACCGCCACCCTCACCGCACAGAATGCCCCCGCCTGCCTCCGCCAAGCCCAAGCCCGTCCTCCCCACCGCCCCCGTGTCCTCCACAGACACCGCGCTCTGCACGCTCCGACGCAAGGTCTCCTGCGCATTCTCCACCCTCGTCCACCGTGCGCACTCCATCCCTCCTGACGCGCCCCAGCCCCGCCCGTTGTCCAACATGCTCACGCGGGAGCCCACCGCGACCGCTTCTGGCGACGTGTCGTACTCGAACTCAGACTCGGATTCGGATCACGATTCGAAGACTCCAGCGATGCCCACGCCGAGGACGGAGGGAAGGAAGATCCGGAAACTGCGGAGCGCAAACGTCGGAGTCGGCTCTCCTACACCGCCGTCGTCGTCTGCAACTTCCTCAGCGCTCTCGATGTCACCGCCGTGTCCACTGCGCTTCCGACGATCATAAAAGACCTCAATGGAGGCGAGGAGTTCGTCTGGGTCGGTGCTGCCTACAACCTTGCTGCGGCTGCCTCCTCCCCTTCACCGGCCAGCTCGCCGACATCATCGGTCACTGTCCAATCATGCTTACCTGCGTCGGCTTTTTCTTTCTTGGCAGTCTCCTCCGTGCCACCGCTCAAAACATGCACTGGCTCATCGCTGCACGGAGTGAGTTTCCGACTTGCATTTGAAGTTTGAACTCGTTCGCTGACCGCGTTCTATAGCGGTACAGGGTATCGGCAGGGAGTGGATCATCAATCTGGCCTCGATAATCACCTCAGACCTCGTCCCTTTGGCCGACCGCGGTCTTTACCAAGGCCTGCTCGTGCTCACCTGGGCATCCGCGGCTGGCATCGAGCCCGTCATCGTATGTCACCGCCTCCAAGTCGACGCAGTGCTCGATTAGCTTACCCGTCTCACACTGTGGTTCGTTTGCGCAGAAGGTTACGTGGAGGTGGCTGTTCTGTGAGTATCGCTTCGAATTTCTCCTGACCAGATCTGACAAACTGACCAGATCTGAACCTCCCTCTGGCCGGTATCGCGTTCTCCCCTGCCATGATATTCCTCCGCGTCCGAACTCCAGAAGGCAATTTGCGCGAGAAGGTAGCACACATTGACCTTGTGTACGCATCTTTTTATTCACCAACTGCAACGAGAGCTGACAGTGTGCGCTCAGGGGCGACTTCATCATCATCGCCGGCACGACGCTCACGTTTGTCGCGCTCACATGGGGAGGAATTCGCTATCCTTGGAACTCTGCGCACGTACTCGCGCCACTCATCCTCGGCCTTCCTTTACGAGGTGTTTGTCGCGAAGCATCCAACCGCACCAGTCTCGTGGGCTACATTGGCACCTTCTTGCACGGAATTGCCAGCATCGCGGGCGCGGGCGTGGGGATGCGCGGGACGGATGCGCAGGTGGTGGTGCTGGTGCCGAATCGAGGGCCGCCGTCTCTGCCTCGGTCACAGCCGAGGCGAGGGAATAACGGGCAGGGTCTGAGGGGATTTGAGTGCAACGTTTTGTGTTTGTTTCGAGATGTACTACTAGATTTTTTATTCCTGCTTTGTTGTACCATTGCTGTCGACATGCATGTACTGTGTTTTCGCTCGGTAGATTCATGAATTATGCGGTCCGAACTCCAATACTTGTCGTTCTTGAGTTCTGTCGGCCTCCCGGAGTCAAGTGGTACCTGTGGTGGGCGCAGCTGACCGCAATCCTCGTCCCAACGTCTTATTAAAGTATGCGCAGTCTCGAAGAGGGTCGCGTCTCTGGATCCCGTACACGACGCGCGACTCGGCGAGACCGACGGAAAAGTGGTATGACACAAGAACAGTACACAAAAGCGTTCGTATGACACCCAGTCCATCAATGCCTACTCTGAGTAACGCGAGTGAGCGCCACCCACCGACTGCGCCTGTGACGTCTCTCGCGACTTCACCAACATCCCCTTCGACCCAATGGCGGCCGGAAGCGGGAAGCGAGCATAGCATACGGATCGTACGCGATGAGCGCGTCCCCCACGCTCCTGTCGTCCGCCGGCCACGTCCACATCGGGGCGCCCGTCTTCTTCTTCCAGCGAGGGAACGCGAACTCCTTCAGCCGGGCCAAGACAAACTTGTGGTTGTCGAGCAGAGCAGCACGAGTCTTGAAGTCGGACTTCGGTTCAGAGGGAGGTTGGCGGTTGTCGGTGACAAGGGCGTCCTCGTCGTCGCTGGCCGGATCGAAGAGGCTTCTCGACCGAGATACCTGCTCGGTCCGTGGAGCACGGCTCGCGGCGAGTCGGGACGCCTCCGCGGACGCGTAATCCGCGGGTTTGACCTCGTAGAGGTGGACCGCGAGGCGGGCGGAGCACAGGTCGAGGAGAAGTTGGAGGAGCTCGTTGAGAGGGTGTAACACCCCGGCGCCGTTATCGCCGACCGCGGTAAACATGACTCCACGACCGGGGATTCCGGTGGGATGGCGAAGTACGCCGCCCCGGACGCACTCTTCCTTGAACCACCTGGGCCGCATGTTGCTCCAGGGCCCTCGAAGTACTGAGGGCAGAAATGGTGTACGTCGACCTTTGACCAATTGTGGTCCACAAAGCGGGGACCCTGACGGACAACGACGTGGAGGAAGAACTCGACCTCATGTCCGACCTTCGGACTCAACGATGCGTTGTCCTGGCACATGAACGACATCATTTAAGGCCAGGTTCCATGTCACGAACGTCGTCAATTAGCGAAACGTGAGAGGCTCGGAGATCGGGACGACTCACAGTGCGCTCGCCTTGAGATACATTGGAAAACGCAGTCGCAAGGCATGCCTCGCGTCCAACAGGCTATCTTACCCTCTGCGTGGAAGATCGTGGGGTACATGAGGACGTTGCCCACGCTAACGTCACCGTGGAGGACCTTGGAAACTTCAAGCGCTTGTGCATGGGCATTGGGCTGCGATGACCGTGGTGAGCTCAAGCACGCGGTCAGACTGCGAAGATACTCACCACGAAAAGCCCAGTAGATAGTCTGGACCAGCTACTGAGACGACTCGGACGCTGAAAGCTTCAAGCAAACTTCGGCGACGACGAGGCGGCGATGGCGCAGGTGGAGAGGTCCGGGAATGTAGCCAGGCATCTCGACCAGTACACAGATCTTGGCTTTGCCCTGCCCTGCCCGTGAAGACGCATAACGTCAGAATGAGCGGACGATGCCGCGAGAGAGGGGAGGGAGGATGCGTCTGCCGCAGGAGACGTCGAAGGCTGGGTCTGCTTGTATACATGCGGTTTGCGCGCAGGCGACGGAGTATGCGGCGGGCGGGCGCGGGTGGGGAGAGGAGCCTTCGGATGTACCGAGGTCGACGCGGCTTCAGGCAGGCATGTGCTCAGACACCTTCGCCACCTGCGACCTCGCGCTCCGAAACAGAACGAGTCAGCGGCGTCCCTAGCTGGTCTCCCGCTAAATACCACTAACCTGGCAGATGGACAACGGAAATGCGGGAGGGCTATTCTCCGAGGCGATGTGGTCGGGACGAAGACAAGAAGTTGTAGCAACGCTCAAGGCAGCGCGCGCGCAGCAACCGTTGGGCGTCTCTCTAACTCTCCTCTCTCTCGTCTTATCCTCGCCGCCACGAACCATCTCAACGGACTGCTCTCCAGCTCAAACACCACGGAAGCCCTGCCACCCGACATCAGAGCTCTTCCCGTCGGCCAGCTCGATTCCCTCCGCTTCAAGACCAACCAGATCGTCGAGTCCACCCAGCTCCCCCAGCGTACCCCCCACATGGGCGGCGCCAACCTCATGCCCCCCTGGCCCGAGATCCTCTCCAAGTACGACATCGAGTCCTCTCCCAGTCCCACAGCCTGTAGATGACTCTCGCGGCCGCGCACCAGGCGAGCACCGCTGCGCAGGGCAACCCGTACGAGCGGATCGCGCTCGCGCCGCACGGGACGCGCAGGTAGACGGCGAGTTCATCCACCACCTGCGGACGCAGCCGACGGTGGACGTGCTGCGGGCGGAGAAAGACGCGGTGCAGCATCTGGCAGGGCGCGTGGACACCAAGGGCTCGCTGGGCACGCGGCGGGGGCGGGGCTGCGGGGCCGACTCGGAGGCCACCCGGAGTACGAGGACGTGCTGTGGGAGTGCGAGGCAATCCGGGTGGAGCGGGGGACGCGGGCGGTGGAGCTGTTGCGGGAGAGGTACGATTGGAAGTCGCGGGTTGAGGTGGACCAGGAGGAGCCGGAGGACTGGGAGCCTGGACTTGGCGGGGACGGAGCTGGGATGGGTGAAGACACGCCGAGCGGGGGGCAGAGCAACGACAGCGAGGAGGAGGATGAACCGGAGGAGGTCCTAGGCAATGGGGAGCACACGCCGGAATGGTTTGCTACACCAATGGCCTGAGTCGCTGTCCTATGCTCGCGCGGAGATCATCGATGAGGTCGAGCGCAAGTGCCTCGGCGGCTTCGAGTGAGTCCCGAGACCATCGAAAAACTTTGCCGTACTCATCCAGGCACTGCAGTGCAACCTCTTATGTCGTGCGCACCGACAACGGCACCTCGGTTTTGCGTCGACCGCTGCATCTACAAGCTATTCACCGATCTCCTTCACGTAAATGAGCTTCTCAAACTCATCCGACTCCAGCGCCGAAATCCCCGCACCCGGAATCCTCGACTTTGACGGACCATTGTTCCTACTCCTACATGCTCCTCGTGCGCACCAAAGGCCTGTCGCTTGTCCTCGCACGCGCCCTCGGAAAGCTCTCTTCACGCCAGCTCGTCATGCTCGACCTCCGTCTGGGCTCGACGTCCGTCTAGGCCAGGACCTCAAGCAGACGCATGACACGATCCAGATGGACTGGTTTGGGCTCTTCTCACAGTCAGCGAACGGACTGTGTGACTGGCAAGAGACGTTCACGTCGAGCGCGCTCGACCACGCGGAGACGGTGGGCACGTACACGGTCCACACCTGGGCGTATTGTGCGCGATCGGCTTCTTCCACCTCGACAACTGCGAGGTCCCGTCGCTCGTCACCCCCACCGGCGACCATGCGACGACGCTCGTCGACTTCGGAGGTGACGTCGTTGGGGTTGGTCGGACATGCGCTGTGGGGCGACCCGCTGCTGGAGGCGATGTGGATGGCACCAAACCAGGGGTTCGTGGAGCCCTACCGGGGGTCCGCCAGTGCCGTTCGTGCGGCAGGAGATGAAGCGGCTGTGGTACACGCTCTTCCTCGCGGTCTTTGTGCTCGCGGGTGGTCTCCAGCCCTTTGCTTCCACTTTCTCCTCACCACCAAGTCAACCTTCTACACCCCTTATCCAATCCTCGCATATGCAACCGATCGCCTTTACAGACAGCACGACACGCACCCACGGGGTTCGCCCGCACTTAGGGTGAGTTCATTGCGTCGCCAGTTGCGTATCAGCCGTTTGTAAGTCACTTTGACCGCCCTTATTCCCGTCCGTGCGTTGATCGACGACTGCACACCATGGTTCTGGGGCGACATACGAACTTCAGGTCCGCGCGCTCCTCTTCCTCGCCCTGTGGTCGCTGACACCATGCGATCTCTTTCTCCCGACAGCACTGCGAAGCCGGCACGACCTTCGGGCGCGTCTTGGGCACGGACACGGACGTGAAATGCCACGTTGTTTCCACATCGGCGTACATCAGTAACAAGCAAACGTGAAATTCAGTGTGGAGCGATCAAAGTACGTCCTTTGTAGGTTTCAAACTTCGTCAATGTGCATCCACATACACGCGCTGACACTGGCACGCGTCCTCCAGACGCCCGGCTCCGCGCTCGTCCATGCGACTTGGCCCCTCGTGCCGACTCCGTGCCGCCTCTACTCCCGCCCCGAAAGACGTCGCGACAACGTCGCACCATATCGGCGCCCACCAAGACGCGACACGACGCGTCCCTCCGACGAGCCTCGCACCCCACGGGCCACCATCCACCTGCCCCGTCGCGACGCCGTGCCGATCTTCACGATCACTCTATTCTCATATTTTATACACGCATTTCCAGTTGTTCCTTCTCTCTTCATGCCCCCGTATACCGCAGTCCACAACCTCCACGGTCGGCCTTGTTTCAGGACATCCTCATAATGCAGTTCGCCAAAACACTCCACTTCGTAGCTACGTTGTTTCCTAGTCGCTTTACATGCATTTGGCTCAGATACATCCCGTTCGTTTCCCTCGAATCTCCGTGCGTGCTTGTGGGCTCAACCTCGTCTCGTCTTCGCATCAGCTCGCCTTCGCCTCACCTCAGCCCGTACTCGTCACCCCCTCGTCTCATCGCGTCTTCTTCGTCGCCCGTCGCCCGTCGTCCTCGCCATCGTAGCGCCCGCGCCCCTCAGTCCGACCGCGTCTATTTCCCTCTCTTCCGTGTTCGCGCATCCCTTCCCCTCCCTCCTCCGCGGCGCCTTCGGACGTCTTTCCCCCTGGTGCTCGTTCCTTCGTCCGAATTCCCGAGCTTCACGCTTGCACCTTCACTCTTCCTGAATCTTCCCGGAATGAGCGTCGCATCGTTCCGACAAAAGCGCACGACCCCGCGCGAATCCGACCATACGACCATCGACCCGTCGTACGTGACTGCGACTTGACGAACGTCTTCTTCGTTGTCGAGGGCAGGAGTTCGGTAGAGCTTGCCATGCCGCGTGCTCCAAAACCACCCTCCGCGGTACGGTGGATAATCAGGCCGCTCAATAGCCGCGCCGGGGAGTTCACAGAAGATCTCCGAAGGCCGCTCGCCTCCGAATGGTCCAGAAAGTATCTCTCCGGTTGCGGAGTCCACGACGCACAACCACGGGGCTGCGGTTGGAGTATCGGAAGGCCCGGGTGTGTCGACGAAACATAACGCGCGAGTCCCGTCCGCGGATAAAATTTTGGGAGTGAGCCCACGCTGGAGTGGTAACAACGCCGGAGGTGCAGTAGCAGAGCTACGTGCGTCTTCTTCGACGGAGTATGCCACCAGGGTATCGCGATTGGTCATTGCGATCACAGTGAATTCGCCGCGCTCGGATCCGCATCGCAGCACGACTTGTAACAAAGATTCTTTGGCATCGTCAGGGTTCAAGAGGTTGTCCAGGATATTCATCTTCCCTGAAACCAGATCGATGACGAGGACTTGGTGCCACAAGTGGATCAGAGCATAATCGGAGATTATTGACATGTGGACGAATTGGTATATCGAGTATAGTGCTGGAGGAAGGACAACCAGGCCTAGACGAGTCGAGCCCTCCGCATCCCAAACGTGAAGGGTCATTGAGGACATCAGGGCGATGATTCGGGAGCTATCCGGGGACCAGCCTGAGGCGATAATGGCTTCGCCCTCGAATGGCTCGATGATTCCCGTTTGCTGGGGCCGCTCGCTGTCAGAGCCACTGTCTCCCTTCTTGTCAATGGGAGGGAGATAGAAGGTGGCGATTAGATTGCAGAAACGAGCGAAGAGGCGAGTGTTTGACGGAGAGAAGTCTAGCCGCGTATCGAGGCCCCCTTGTGGCAGTGTGCAAAACAAATGCTGTAAAGTGAGTTGCCCACCGGCACGAATGTCCCAGATATTGATTGACTGCCGTTCCTTCTTTGGGGCTCCCATGCTGGCTGCCCACCTCCCGTCCCGAGAGATAGTCAGATGCTCCACCTTTGTGGAATGCCCAAACAATTCGGGAAAGCACCCTTCTGTGAATTTACTGGGATTTAGCGAAGGTTGAACGATTGCGTACTAGGCAGAAGGATACACACCAGAATACACGAACTCAACCAACAAAAGCTTCAACTCATGGAGTGATGCAAACACATCCTCCAAGCATACCCTCCATAGGTTGACGAAATTCCGCATCGAATCTCTGACTATAATTTTGACTCCTTTCGTTCCAAGGAAGCGATGGTCTTTCACAAGCTGTGTGAAGTCGTGGAGGGCCGTTAATTGATCACTGCTGCCCTCCGAACCAATGATATGGGCCATAGATGCGTCTAGAGTGATCTCCAGAGCCTGTAGCGATTCCGGGAGACCAGGGTCCATTAGCGTGTTCATTCTCTGGAGCCATGCGGGTTTGGAGAAGACTTCTGATTCGTCGCTCTCGGCGACTTCCACAGAGAGACGTTCAAGACTGGTGCAGTCTTCAAGTGTTAAGCCTGCAAGTGTCGACAAGGATGAGTCAGAAGCTCCATGGTGTACCAATGAACGCATATATGTACCTTCTACAATGAGCCATTTCAGGCTGAGCTCAAGGTGTGTCAACGTTGACCAATTTATGGGGCGGAACCCGGGCTGGTAACCGCCATCAAGCTGTGGGACCCATAAAATTCAGTCTTCTCCATTATCTTCATGCAACTAACCCCCCGTCTCATCTCACCTTAAGATGTGACAGCCTCCCGCGCGTTCTTATTGAGATGAGTGCTTGGTCGGGGGAGGGAGCTTTACAGTAGACCCGGAACAGTTCAAGGGACTGGAGGGCGGGGAACGCATGGGCTAGTCGGTACGCATGGAGTGGTGTGGGAAACTCAGAGTCGACGACGACCAAGGTCTTGACTGCGGTGTACTGCCGGAAACAAGCCAAAAGAGACGGTGGAAATGCACTTCTGCAGGATTCAATTTCCCATGTGTTGATATGTGCGAGATATGGGAGGAGAACGACAGGTGCAACCCAGGGGGCCGACTTCTCCTTCGACAGTCGGAGCCTAACGGTGCGAACCCACAGACACAACTCCGGCAAGCGTTGAAGTGTTTCACAAATCGAGTGAAGTTCCTTCAAGTCGGAAACCTTGACCATTCTCCATATGTGGATGCGACTTCTAGGGAGCCATTTCGTGTGGACTAGGGCGCAGGAGGTGAGCGTGGTGAGGGCAGAGCGGCCTCTGATCGTGGCGAGGTCGGTTTCGGCGCCGAGTGTGTCGATCACCTGCTCGGCGACTTCTATGGGAAGACGCTCTGAGGCCATCGAAGAGCAACAGGGTGGATTTAGAGGGCTGATTGCTGTCCGATGAGACGCAGATGTGGTGGGAGTCACGTCGGGTTGTGCGCGCGCTACACAGATTCAGGCCAGGGCGGACGCGGTAGCGTTGTTCAGGCTCCGCGCCAACCTTGTCGGCGGGGCAATTCTGGATCCGAATCCCAGTTCGCGATCGGCGCAAACTCGTCGTTCCTTCCTCTGTCCTCCCAGTTGTCAACTGGTGAAGGAAGGGCGACGAGCTATCTTGATCAAGCGTATGGATGGCTTTATTCGTCTCAAGTCGCGCCTTGCAACTTGAATTCGCTCGAACGGCTGTAGTCGGCAGGTGGCCTACCATGTACTGACCCTGCACCCCGCCCCAGATATCGAGGGTGGGCTTTGCACGCTTCGTCTCCAGCTGCCCGTCGCTCGATGTCACAAAGACAAGCCATTTGGGTGCGAGCGTATATATGTCTACATCCGGGCCTGAAGGCCTGACCCGCCCACGTCGCCCATCCAGGCTCTTCCCCACCCACACCTCCCCACACCTCTCTCGTCATCTCGCACCGTTGTCCAAATCACGATGCAGGTCACCCTCCGCCGGCAAGCATCCACAACCACCCGCGGCCGGGCCTCAGCAGAATGACACCCACGCCCACCGCGCAGAACGCCTCCGCCGCCGGTCCAAGCCCAAGCCCGTCCTCCCCACCGCCGCCGCCGCCTCTTCAGAAACCACGCTCTGCACGCTGCGACGCAAGGTCTCCCGCGCGTTCGCCACCCTCGTCCGCCGTGCGCGCTCCACCCCCGAGGGCCCGACCGACGTGCGCCCCCGTCCCCGCCCCCGCCGCCGAACACCCACGCGCGGGAGCTCGCCACGTCCGCTCCCGGCGACGAGTCGGACTCGGACTCGGACTCGGATCACAGGCCGAAGACCCCGCGCCCGAGGAAAGAGGAAGGGAAGATCTGGAAGCTGTGGAGCGTACCCGTCGGTGTTGAAGCGACGCGGCTCGTGAACCTTTGAAGTCTCGGAGACAACGACACAAGGCCAAACGCACCTACGGAGAAGAGGGTATTTTTGGTTCCTGTTCGATATCCTGTTCATCAGCATGTGGTTTCTCTCTCTGAGACGTGGACTCTGGATGAGAACGAGTTTCGGGTTGACCGTCCCGTTGTGCGTGAGAGCGATCGGCTGGCGGCACGACGCCGTGATGCGCCTCGGGGCAGACTGGCGGCGCACTAGTATGTAGAATCTTGTTGAAGCCGAAGACCGTCGGGCCGCCTGTGCGATCCCCGCTTGAAGGCTCGGTGCGGAGGATATGTATATTGCAGCACCGAGGGACGCATATACTGACCCCTTGATGTGTCCTGCACGGACTTCCAAACGTGCCGAGGACACAAGTCTGTGGAGAGACGTTGGTCAGGCTCACGAGTCACATATAGATCGCATTGCAGTTCACTCGAACAATCAAGCCAATGTCCGCAATCTCCGGGGGCTCGCTGGGGCTAGACACGCGTCGTATCGCTCAGCTCGGTCTACCGTCTTAGGCCGCCTCTTCTCTTTTGTTCCATGCGACCATGAGCGATTAGTCCTTGAGGAGCCGCGGGCTCCGTGTCAAGTCATTGTTCCGGGCCTTGGGACCCGAGTACTACCTCGTACAGCGGGCCGTCGAGCAAGGTCCGGTGGAGGCGTGCTATCGAGGTCAAGAAGGTGAGGCCGTGCCAAAGGGGCGGCCCATCGTTTCGAGCGGAGGAATGGAATGCAGCGGGGACGACGGAGGGCTACCTCCGCCGAGCCCCCGCGTCGCGGCACCATGCGGGTGGACCGGCTTGTTTTGCAATCTCAGCGGGCGAATCTCCGTCGCAGGCGGGGGAGGCTGGAGAGGATGCGCCAGCGAGTGCGAGTGGCCCCGCGACGCGTGTGGGGATCGGCCATCGGGGGAGGCTGCATCGTGAGTTGTGCGCTGGTCAGTACACCGAGGCGCTCGCAGCGTGGCCCAGGCTGGACGAGGCACACGCGGAACGGGGCGGATGGAGGGACGAGGGGATACGGGTTGAGACGGGGCCTCGCTGGCGGTCGGAGGTGGCTGTATGTGCTCAGCCAGAGCTCTGCGCGTCTGGTGTGGCAAGAGTACTCGGGAAACCACGTCGGAGGAGCGGACAGGTGAGCTAGAGCGTGGATGGAAATGAGTGCGGCGGCTGAGAGGGAAGGGAGGAGGAACACACCGCGGTATTCAGTGCGACGAAGCCGCGCGTACCCCGCCAGATCGGACAGGTCACGTCGAAGACGCTGTGGGCCGACTGCGTCGACCTCCCCACGTACGAGTACATCCGGGCCAAGTTCACGGCCTCTATCAACGGCGGTCGCCCTCGATACGTTTCGCCGTCCAGGACAGGTCATACCTCGTCGGTTTCCCTGACTTCGTGGTCGCCGCCGTCGGGTCGCTGTAGATCCCGTCAGTATCGAAAGGTACACATATGATGGGAAGCGTCTTGAAAATGGTAGAGGTTCTTGGGGTAGGTGGTCTTGTCGAGGTCGTCAAAGTCACGACGCTCGGCGTGGTCGACGTCGAACGTGTGCTTGCTGGGGTCGCCCAGGTGGCTCATCCGCTCCCACCCACACGAGCCGGGCTCGAGCCGGAAAGCGAAGGGGTCGTATCCGGCTTGCTCGTCTTGCATGATCGAGGGCCCGTAGAGGACCCTGAGGGGTTGTCGAGTGCCGCACATCGCCTCCCTCACCGCGATCCCGGTACGGTCCCAGAAAACAACACGGAAGCGAGCACCGTCGACGAGGAGCGTGAAGTGGAAGAGGCGGTGCTGGTGCTTGAAGACGAGGTCGGCGTGGGAGAAGAGCTGGCGGCGGAAAGCTTCACGCGGGAAGGCAGTAGACTCGGGGTTGTACGTCTTCTCGTCGTCCCAAGGGTCGTTCTGGGTCCAGCCGAGCTTGAACTTGATCGTGAAACGCTGTAAGCTCCAGATGGCGCCTATAGGGCTCTTGAGTAAAGTAGCCGTCCCCGGTCCGCTCTCCTACGTCTCGGACGTGGTCCTCGGAGAGGCCAAATATGGCTCCGGGGGGAACAGGATGCGTTTTGTTAGCATTTTCCTGTCGAATCATGCATACATTCAACATAAGACACGAGACAACGACGGCCACGAGCGAGGAGACATACCCAGGCATCGTTCATGTCTTTCTCAGCCACCGTTAAATTGTCGGTGTGGAAATCGTTCTTGGGCCTAAGATGGAGGCGGCCCAGGATGCTCACGATACGGTTCGCGGGGAATGCTGTCTCGAAGTCCTTCTGGTCGATCTTGAGCATCAAGTTGTGCACGAACTCGTCGACGGTCAGCAGCTTGGTGCATTTGGACGACCTCCCCAACATCAGACCTCGGGCGGTCGGGGAGGTGGGCCGAACACCAGTGACGTCCGTGTTGGTATACGTAGGGACGGTACCACTCCTGCGAGGGCTCGACACGTCGCCAAGCGAAGATGCAGGTCCCGCCGTGTCTTGAGAAGGTGGAGGGGGGCCGAACTTGGCGGCCCCATTGGCAGCATCACCGGAAGGCGGGGCGGAGTATTTGTATGTTTTGCGAGGGTGGTTGGACCGCGGCCAGGGTGGCACGTGAAACGGCTGCTACAAAGGAAACAGAACGAGTCAGCGGCGTCCCTAACTAGTATCCAGCTGAATACCACCGACCGGGAGACGGACAACGAAAATGCGGGAGGGCTATAGTTCTCCGAGGCGATGTGGTTGGGACGAAGAACAGTGCTAGGCTCAAGGCAGAGCGCGCGCGGCCCACCGTTGGGCGTCTCTCTAACTCTCCTCTCTCTCGTCTTATCCTCGCCGCCATGAACCATCTCAACGGACTTCTCTCCAGCTCAAACACCACGGAATCCCTGCCGCCAGACATCAGAGCTCTTCCCGTCGGCCAGCTCGAGTCCCTCCGCTTCAAGACCAACCAGATCGTCGAGTCCATCCAGCTCCTCCAGCGCACCCTCAACATGGGCGGCGCCGCCATCATGCCCCCCTGGCCCGAGATCCTCTCCAAGTACAACATCCTCCTCTCCCAGTCCCACAGCCTGTCCATGAGTCTCGCGGCCGCGCACCAGGCGAGCACCGCCGCGCAGGGAAACCCGTACGAGCGGATCGCACTCGCACCGCGCGGGCCGCTGTCGGACGCGCAGGTGGACGGCGAGTTCATCCACCACCTGCGGACGCAGCCGACGGTGGACGTGCTGCGAGCGGAGAACGACGCGGTGCGACACCTGGCGGGGCACATGGACACCAAGGGCTCGCTGGGGGTGCTCGGGCACGCGGCGGGGGCGGGGCCGCGGGGTCGGCTCGGCGGCCACCCGGAGTACGAGGACGTGCTGCGGGAGTGCGAGGAGATCCGAGTGGAGCATGACTTGCGGGTGGAACGGGCGACTCGGGCTGTTGAGCTGTTGCGGGAGAGGTACGACTGGAAGTCGCGGGTGGAGGTGGACCAGGAGGAGCCGGAGGACTGGGAGCCTGGGTTTGGCGGCGACGGGGCAGAGACGGGTGAAGACACGCCGAGCGGGGGGCAGAGCAACGACAGCGAAGAGGAGGAGGAGCTGGAGGAGGTCCTAGGCAATGGGGAGCACACACCGGAAGGATCTGCTGGGCCTGCTACACCAATGGCCTAAATTTTCTATGCTTGCGCGGAGGGAATCCGTGGTCATCGAGGAGGTCGAGCGCAAGCACCTCGGCGGTTTCGAGTGAGTCCCGAGACCATTGGAAGACTTTGGTGTACTCATCCAGGCACCACAGTGCGTTCACCCCCATAACCTCTTATGTCGTGCGCATCGGTGACGGCACCTCCAACCTGCTGGAAGTCGCACCGCCGTCGACCGCTGCGTCCATGAGCTATCCGCCGGACTTCCTCCCTCGCGCATACGAGCTTCTCAGACTCATCCTCCACTCCAATACCGGAATACCCGCACCCGGAATCCTCGATTTTGACGCCTTCGGGTCCGTCGTTCCCTACCCGTACTTTCCCCTCACTCATCCCCTCGCGCGTACCTCCGGCAAGCTCTCTCCACGCCAGCTCGTGACGCTCGACCTCTATCCGGGTCAGGCCGCTATATCAAGCGAATGCACAACACTTCTTCCTCTTCGACGACTGCGAGGTCCCGTCGTTCGCGTCGACTTCGATCCCGACACGGACACGGATGTAGAGGTGGCGGTGATGCGGATGGCGCCCTCGCGAGGCGTTCGTGGAGGGCCACGGAGGCCCGCTGGTGCTGTTGGTGCGGCAGAAACCGAATCGGCTGGCGTATACGTTCTTCCCCGCACTCGTTGTGCTCGCGGGTGCTCTCCAATCCTTTGCCTCTATTTCTTATCATCGCCAAGTCAGCCCTCTACACCCCGTGCCACCGGTGGCGCGCCACGAACTGCAGGTCCGTGTACCCCCTTTTCTCGCTCCGCGGTCGCTGACACCTTGCGATCTCTCTCTCGACAGCACTGCGACGACGGCACGGCCTTCGAGCGTATGTCGGGCTCGCCTCCTTGACCTACCCCACTCTGCCACCTCCATCCTGAGAAACCGGAGCGCGGCCTCGACGTAGCTCACCACGACGATTGCGAACGCGCACCCATTTGCCGCGACGCCGCTCGTGTGCGCGGTGCCATCTCTGTCCCCGGTACCGACGTGGTCGCGGAGAGGCCTAGGGCGTAGGCTTGTCGGACAAGTTAGCTCGCGGCCGTGCAAGTCGACGTTGCACATATACATGCGGTGCTCTAACGTACTACGATAGGACCATGTAAGGCCGCGGTGTTTCTACATCGGCGAACATCAGTAACAAGATGACGTGCAAAAGTTCAATGTGGAGTGATCAAGATACGTCCTTTGTAGGTCTCAAACGTCGCCTACGTTGCGATGGAAGCGCACGACCCCGCGCCGATCCGACCATACGACCATCGACCCGTCATTCGTGACCGCGACTCGATCAACGCGGTGTTCGTGCACGTCGAGAGCAGCAGCTCGGTAGAGCCTGCCATGCAGCGTGCTCCAAAACCACCCCCCGCGGTTGTACCACATGCCACGGCTGTCCCAATACCGCCTGATATCCCTTCTGTGGTCTTCGCCAATGATTTCCGAAGGCCGCTCGCCCTCGAATGGCCCCGACAGTATCTCTCCGGTGGCGGTGTCCACGACGCAGAACCGCGGCGGGGCAGGGGTACGAGGTCCCGGGAAAGGCGGCACCGCGCCGACGAAACACAACGCGCGAGTCCCGTCGGCGGATAAAGCCTTGGGAGTGAACCCGTGGAGTGGTGACAGCGCCGGAGGTGCAGTACTGGAAGAGTCAAGTGCGTCTTCTTCGCCGCGGTCCACCACGAGGGTACCGTCTTCGGTCAGTGCGAGCACGGTGAACTTCTCGCCGCGCTCGGGGTCGCATCGCAGCACGGCTTGAGAAACTGCGTGGAGGTTGACCATTGGACGGGGGTGAATTTCTCCTGAAACCAGATCGACGACGTGGACGCGGCTGCGGTTCCTAAGATCGGGGTCGCCAGTGAGGTGGATCAGAGCGTAAGGGGGGTTTATTGACATGCTAGCTCTGGTAAGTGTGTCTGAGAAAGAAGGGAAGTGAAGCTGGCGAAGGAGAGTCGAGCCGTCAGCATCCCAAACTTGAAGGACCATCGAGGACATCAGGGCGAAGATTTGGGCGCTATCCGGGGACCAGCTTGAAGCGACAATCTCTTCGCCCTTGGTTGCCGCGATTGCTCCCGTTTCCCGGGGCTCGCTGTCAGGGCCATCTCCTCCCTTTTCAATGGGCTGAGGGAGACGGAAGGTGACGATTTGACAACGGAAACGACTAAAGAGGTGATTGCTCGACGGAGAGAAGGCTAGCGTAGTACTTGCATCGCTGTCCGAGGAGTCTGGGAGAGTGAGATACCAGCACTGTAAAGCGAGTCGCCCTCCGGCGCGAACATCCCAGATCATGATTGACTGGTGTATGCGTCTCGTCATTACTGAGGATCCCCTGCTGGCGCTGGCTGCCCACCTCCCGTCCCGAGAGATGGACAGATGCTTAACCTCTGTAGGATGGCCGTAAATTTCGGGTGAGGACCATTCTGTGAGTCCAGGATTTAGCGGAGGTTGAACGATTGAGTCAGCAGAAGGATACACACCGGAATGCACGAATTCAACCTGCAGAAGCTTCAGCTTATGAAGTGACGCAAATGTACGCTCCAGCCATGCCTTCCATATGTTCACCAGATTCTGCGGCGAGTTTCTGACTATACATTTGACTCCGTCCGTTCCAAGAAATACATGGTCCATCACAAGCCGTGTGAAGTTGTGGAGGGTCATTTCTTGATCGCTGCTGTGCTCCAAACCGATGTAATGCGCCAGAGATCTGTCTAGAGTGATTTCCAAGACCCGTAGCGATCGTGGGAGACCAAGGTCTATTAGCGCATTCAGTTTCTGGAGAAACATGGGCTGGGAGAACAGTCTTGCATTGCTGCCCGTGATCAGTTGCACAGAGAGACGTTCAAGACTGGTACAGCTCGCAAGTGGCAAGTCTGCAAGTGTCAACGAGGGTAAGTCTGAAGCTTCATCGTGCGGTGAACGTGTGCACGTACCTTCTACAATGAGCCATTCCAGGCCGAGCTCAAGGTGTGTCAACGTCGAACTACTTCCAGAAAGGACCTCGAAAAGCTGCAATTCTTGATTTTCGGGTCTGAACTCGTGACCGACAAGCTGCAGAACTCATATAATTAAGTCTTTTCCATCCGCGTCTTCGTGCGATCAACTCGGCGTCGAGTCGTCTCACCTTGAAATGTGATAGCCTCCCGCGTGTTCTTATTGAGATGAGTGCTCGTTCCGGGGAGGGAGCTTCGCAGTATACCCAGAGCAGTTCAAGCGACTGGAGGGCGGGGAACGCATGAGCTAGTCGGTACACATGGAGTGGTGTGGGAAATGCAGGGTTGTCGATGACCAAGGTCTTGACTGCGGTGTATCGCCGAAAGCAAGCCAAGACAGCCGGTGGAAATCCATTTCTACAGTATTTGATTTCCCATGTGTCGATGTGTGCGAGATACGGAAGTAGAACCACAGGTGCAACCCATGGGAACGAAGGCTCCGAGGGATCCGAGTAGAACTTGGATTTTCCGATGAGCTTAACGGAGTGGACCAACAAACCCAAGTCCGGGGAGCGTTGAAGCGTTTCACAAATCGAGTGGAATGTCTCCAAGCTGGAGACCTTGACTTTTCTCCATATGTGGACGCGACTTCTGGGGAGCCATCTTGTGTGGACTCGGGCGCAGGAAGTGAGCGTGCCAAGGGCGCGGGAACCTGGGAACTTGTCGAGATCCTGTTGGGAGCTGAGTGCGTCGAGATCAGTTTGGACACCGAGTGCGTCTATCACCTGCTCGGCGACTTCTATGGGGAGACGCTCTGAGTCCATAGAAGAGCGGCAGGGTGGATGTTGATGTTGAGGGCTGATCGTAGACCGAAGAGACGTAGATGTGGTAGTAGTTACGCCATGGCCAGTACTTCGTACCCAAACGCGCGCTACATGACAGGTTCGGACGCTGAGCGCTGAGCGCTCGTGCTGCGGGCGTCTTATGACCTGCCCCTCACGCCCTCCGCCGACGAGCATGCACAACCACCCGCGTCTGGCCCTCAGTCGACGACGTCAACGCCCACCGCACAAAAGGTCTCGGCCTCCGTCTCCACGGCGAGCCCTCCAGCGCGCCCGAGCCAATCCGCGGGTCTGAGGTGCAGATGGGCAGCCACCTGGAATGATGGGAGAGTGAATTTCTGCAGACAATTTTTGCGTTTTCACGGGCTTGATGCGAACCCTCAGGCCGCGATGTACCCTCTGGAACCTGCCCCACTACACTGCCTCTTCGCTCAGCTCCGCCGCCCGCTTCTCGTCCGGCTCCTCTGAGTCCCGCGCCCCTTCGCCCGCCTTCCCGCCCTCGTCGAGCCCGTACGCGTCGTCGGTGTGGCTCTGCATCGGCACCTCGCGCATGAGCGCGACGCTGAGCGCGCCCGCCGCGCAGAACCCGAGCATCGCCTTCCACACGCTCGCCATGCTCGTCGCGAACGCCGCCCGGACCTCGTCGCGAAGCGGCTGCGGGAGCGTCGCGATCGCCGGGATCGCGGCGTACGCGATCTCGACCCCGGCGGGGAACGCCCGGAGGAAGTCCGCGGGCAGGTTGGCCTTGAGCTCGTTCTGGAGCACGGAGGCGGAGATCGCGACGCCCCACGTCTGCGCGAACGTGCGCGCGAAGTTGTAGAACGCGAGCGCGGAGGCAGAGCGCGCCACGGGCAGGGGCGCGAGGATGGGGTACACGGTCGTCGCCCACTGCAAAGTCGCGTCAGCTGGAGAGAAGAGTACAGATGTGGAGGGGTGGTGCGTACGATCACACCCAGGCCGACGGCCGTGATGATCTGGAAGCCGACCCACTCGCCCGTGGACGAGTCCGCTTTGAGGAGCGTGAGCAGGCCGAAGCCGATGAGCAGGAAGGCCCAACCGATCACGTTCGCGGGCCGGTACTTCTTCATGACCCTCACGAGCACCCCGAAGACGATCGCGAAGGGCGACAGGATGAACGCGGTGGGGAAGATGTCGACCGAAGATCGGATAGGCGAGGCGTCCTTGCAGGCCTGGAAGTAGACGGGTAGGTAATCTATTAATGGGGTCAGCAGCGCTTGACGACGCAAATAGCCAGAACCCACAGATGAGAGCGATGCTGGCAATCCCGTGGAAAAAGGTGCCAATGTAACCCGCGAGACTGGTGCGGTTCGCGAGGATGTCGAGGGGCAGCGCTGGATGCTTCGCGAAGAACGCCTCGTAAACAAAGAAAAGGAAGATAAGGAGAAAACCGAGGATGAGTGGCGCGAGGACGTGTGCAGAGCTCCAGGGATAACGGATTCCTCCCCATGTGAGCGCGACCAACGCGAGCGTCGTGCCGGCGATGATGATGAAGTTGCCCCTGAGCGCACACAGTCAGCTCTCGTTGCAGTTGGTGGATAAAAAGATGCGTACACAAAGTCAATGCGCGATATTTTCTCGCGCAAACTACCCTCTGGAGTTCGGACGCGGAGGAATATCATGGCAAGGAAGAACGCGATACCGGCCAGGGGGAGGTTCAGATCTGGTCACACGATTATCAGATGCGGTCGGGAGCATATCGAAGCGATACTCACAGAACAGCCACCTCCACGTAACCTTCTGCGCAAACGAACCACCCTGTTAGACGGGTAAGCTAATTGAGCATTGCGTCGACTGAGGGAGATGACATACAATGACGGGCCCGACGCCAGCCGCAAATGCCCAGGTGAGCACGAGCAGACCTTGGTAAAGACCACGCTCGGCTAAAGGGACTAAATCCGAGGTGATGATCGAGGCCAGATTGATGATCCCTCCGCCGCCAATACCCTGCACCGCTATAGAACGCGGTCAGCGAACGAGTTCAAACGCGACTTGTCGGACACTCACTTCGTGCAGCGATGAGCCAGTGCATGTTTTGAGCGGTGGCGCAGAGGAGACTGCCGAGAAAGAAAAAGCCGACGCAGGCGAGCATGATTGGACGGCGGCCGATGATGTCGGCGAGCTGGCCGGTGAAGGGGAGGATGGCGGCCGCAGCAAGGTTGTAGGCAGCACCGACCCAGACGAACTCCTCGCCTCCGTTGAGGTCTTTTGTGATCGTCGGAAGCGCAGTGGATACGGCGGTGACATCGAGAGCGCTGAGGAAGTTGCAGACGACGACGGAGGTGTAGGAGAGCCAGAAGACAGAGCCCTTGGGCCTCGCGGCGGAGGACATGGCGGCCGAGGTTGAAGTTGGCACCAGAGAGGCAACCTAAGCTATGGAAAAACGAAGGTACAAAAACAGAGGGGACACCACGGGGGGCGCGTGGGGGTGCGCAGAGGAAGCGGCGCTTTAGCTTGGAGAAGAGTCAAGACCTATGAAGACACTACTTAGGCTGTGCATGGATATGGTGACGGAGCGCGGTCGGAATATGATGTTAGGGCCGGCTGCGACGCGAGCGCATCAGAGGCCCATTCATGTCCGATCTCGCCTTGATGAAGTCTGAATCCAACCAGCTCTCAAAAAGGCAGAAAGGTGTGACATAACTCTTCTGCCGGTTGAGCTCAATTTTTGGTCTCAGAGTCCATCAAGTAAGTAGGGGGTGGTGGTAGGGAGCTTTAGAGTGATGATCAGCGTTGAGCGTGTGGGAGGAGGAGGCGGGCTGAGGCGTGTGATTCGTGATTCAGCCAGACGGGCGATCCGCGCAGATCCGGCGTCTGTGGCGATGTGCCCTCAGTTCGAGCGTGTGGCCAGATTTGCCGAGCTCCAGCACGGAATCTCCATGGGCAAGTCCCATCATTCCAGGCAGCTCAAGCGCGAGCACCTCATCCCAGCCGCATCTCGTTTCAGCTGTCACTGATCATCTGCACCTCCGACCGGGATGGCTCCCTCGGGCGCGCTGCCAGATTACGGTTCTTCGACGAAACTCTGTGCAACTTGGCATCGCCGCCACGGCGTCCATCCACTGCAGATCATATCGACCAGCAATACTTTTAGCCTGTCGTGCACTCCTCTACCAAGGGACTCCGGTACCATTTCTCTCATGGCTCCGTGTCACCAGTCTATGTCGCCAGCATCGAGCCTTGTATTGTCTCTGTGTATGTGCCACTACAGTATTCCGAAAACAGTCGACATCGGGGCACTATCTAGACTTCACAGACCGTGGCCTCGGCACGTTTCGAAGTCTATGCTTCAAGGGGTCCGGGCATGCGTCCCTCATACATATCCTTTGCGCCGAGCCTCCGAGCGAGAATCATACAGATGGTACGACGGTTCCCGGTGTGGGTGTCCCCACTGGAGATCTCAGGGAAAGATGTCGGAAGGCGCACTCTCGAGGATACGCGGTCGGCGATGGGAATTCAACGAGCGCTCGTCGGCGACAGCCTTTCCGACGCTTTACATAAGCGGTCGGCGAACGGCCCGGTGCGGAGCGCGGACGGCTCGGCCACCGACTTGGTCGAGTCGGTTCCGGACTCTTTACGGTGCGATCGTGAGTCTGTTTTTGGTGATCAGTTGCGAGGTTCCTCGGCAGTGTAGATGTATAAGTGCGGTAGTTCGACGCTCCATAAGGCACGTTCTTTCTCCCCACCACTCAGCCGAGTCAGTTCGAGGGCGACTACCCGTTCTGACGCATCTCGATTCCCGCATCCCGCTCTTGCATCACGTTCATCTTTACCTCGTCTCTGTCAATGCTCACTCTTAGACTCAACGCGCGGCGAGTAGGCGATCTGCCAACGGCCGGTATCACCGATCCCAGCATCGAGCGCACATCGGTATTCGAAAATATTCACCGGTCACCGTCGACATCTATTCTCTACGGGACTCCCACACCAGCTTGATATCAATCGATTCTACATAGAGCGCCGCCTTATGTACGGCGCCGCACCGCCAGTTGATCGCTCTCGCGCACAACGGGACTGTCAACCCGAAAGGCGCTCTCGTCCAGAGTCCACGTCTCATCCCGAAGAGAGTGCAGCTAGAGAAACTAAGCAGGATATCGAAACAGGAACCAGAAAACACCCTCTTCTTTCCAACAGACGTCTTTGGCCTTGGCCTTTCTTTCTTGATTGCAAGTAGCTGTATTCGAGACCTCACGAGAGACTACGGATTCCTCAGACCACCCCAGATACCTAGAGTAGATATTAGGCTGGAGACAATTCATCTCTTCCTTCAGCAGAGTAATGTAGAAAGTACATGGTGGAAATGCCCCCTTCTGCCGTGCTCTCGCCGTGTCCAGATAAACCATGTGTCCTTGTATATCAAAGAGACTAGCACCATGTGGTTTAAAGTAATATAAGTACCTGCACCCGATATCCAACACCCGCCGACAACACACTCGAACCAAGCGACCTACGCTCTCGCCCCCTTCTTCGCCCTCGCCCTCCTCGCCCTCGGCACAGGCCGCTTCCCCTTCCCCGACGCCGCCTCAACCACGTCCGGCAGCTGCGGCAGCGTCAGCTCCGCCTCAATCTCCGGGTCGATCCCCCACTGCGACTCCCGCGCGCCTGCGTCCACCACCGGCCGGTTGAGCAGGTGCTTGAGCCGCGTGAGCTCGACGTGTTGTTGTGGGTTCGCATACCCCACCGGGACGCCGAGCCCGGTGCTCCCCGACGCGGGCTCGTCCTCGCGCCCATCCCCGTCGACTTCCATCGTCGTGTCCGCCTCGTTGCTCAACGATGACGTCGGCTTCGCGGCGGAGCCGGGGCGCGAGCGCGGGATGAGCTCGAGCTCGACAGGGGGCACAGGCGAGGCGCGGGCGAGGAACGCGGACGTCGGACTGTCCATCTGCGGAGAGCCAGAGAGCGACATCGCAGACTGCAGGGGCAACTAGTGAGCTGCCAGCCGAAAGTGCAGAGACGCCGTGGCACACCTTCGTTCGTTGGAGGGGCTTCAGGCGCCGCGAGTCGTGCCGCTTGAGCTTTGCAGGGCCTTCGTTCCCGTCATCCTCCGAGGGCCGCTTCCCGAGCAGGGACGTGATGCGCGCCTGGATGTCCATCGTCGCCTTCTTCACCAGCGCCCTCCGTGAAGGGGTAGACGGAGGCTCGTGTGGACTCGAGCCACCGGGGATGCGCAGCGGTGAGGGGGACTCCGAGGATGGGACCCGCCCATCAAGTGGCTTTGACGACGGTATAGACGCCTCTGCCTCAGATTGGGTTGCGCCCGGGTCGTCGGAGCTTGGTGCAGGGGATGTGCCAGGGAGTGTTGCAGTGTCCCCGGGGTCGTCCAGCAGGAGGCCGGGGCGACCAAACGCCTCGACATTCGCCTCCGTCTCCGCCTCCGCTTCCAGCTGCTCCATCTGTCCAGGGCACGGTTCATCGAGGTCGTTGTAGGAAAGCGACTGCTGCAGCCGCAGGCCCCCGTTTTCTGCGTTCGTGATGTCCACCATCATCGCCTCCGTCGCCTTCTCCTTCCCCTTCCCCTTAGTATCGACCCGCAGCGGCGGAGTAGACGCGGGTTGCGTGTGCTGCGGTACAAATGGTTCCACTGGTTGGACCTGGAGGTCGAGCTCCTCCGCATCGGGCATACACGACGGTGGTGCGAGCGGGATCTCGCCCGTCCGCGCAATGACCGCCAGCCACGCGACGTCGACGATGGGGGTCCCCCACTCCCGCGCTTTGTCCGCCTTCGCGCCGACCCCGGATGGACACAGCAGGTGCGTCGATCGGCGTGAAAAGTTCGGCGCGAGCGCTATACCTGCCGTCGTAAATCAGTATTTCGGACACAGTGAGAAGCCCCGACCGAGAACACAGAAGCAGCGACAGGCACTCACCGAGCGCACGGAGTAACCGCTTGACCCAGAACGCCTCCGCGTGGTCAAGGCCCGAGAAGCTTAGCAGCAGCGCGTCCGCCCCGGACACAGGCACCTCCGCCTCGATCGGCGCGAACGCGGCGTGCTCGCCCGGGTCGCACACGCGCTCCTCGAAGATGCACCGCTCGAGCCAGCATTCCGTCCGGAACTTCGCGCGCTCGCCCGCGTCTGGCTCCTGCTGCGCGAGCACGCTGCCGCTGACGAGGCGCACGATCGTGAGGTCGACGTCCCCGTCGTCGTCGTGCCCGACCCAAGTACCGCCGCGCTCCTCGATCGCGCTCTTCACGCTCGCGCTGCGAGCCTCCCCGAGCGCGCGGATGCGCAGGCCCTTGAAGAGCGTCCGCGCGGCGTCCGAGAGCTGTGCGTCTTCGCCTGGCTGGTCTTCCGGGGCGGCACTGACGTTGCGGCTGGGTCCCGCGATGGCGGAGGTAGAGGCGACAGGCACGTCTGCGGACATCCCGCCCTGTGCTTGGATGCTGCCGACCGAGCGTTGGAGGAACGATATGGCGCGCGTGGAGGTGGATGTGCGCTGGAAGGGCTGCCGTACGCCCACGGCAGGGGTGGAGACGTCCTTCGTGGCTGGTCTGAACGAGCGCGCGCGACTGAATGCGTTGATTGCGCTTTTCGGCGCGGGGCGGTCGTCGTCGCTGTCTTCACCACCTCTGAGGACGCCGCGTCGGGATGGCTTTGCGCGAGTCGGGGAATCTGGAGGTAATCGTGGCAGCGGTTGTGCTGAGACTTGCGATTTCGAGGGGCTCCGGACGAGGCGGCCGTTCTGGACTTCAAAGCCGCGGGAGTTGAGGACGTTCTGCCAGAGATGCAACTTCACGGCTGGGACGCGCTTCACCGACGCAATTTCCTCTTCGTCGTCGTTCGCTGGTGTAGGTGTGTTGGTGAGTTTGGGACTCTTCCCAGACATCTCCGCCTGCTGTAGCTCGGAGGAGAGGTCGTGGTCATCGTCAGCCAAAGATGAGGATTGAGCAACTAAGGGGACCGCGTGACTTGAGAACCACCGAATATGACATGATGACGACCACATACCTTTAGGTGGCTCTCGTGGAGGAGGAGGGGGCTTCGAGACTTCGTAATGATCTTCATCGAACCGGCCCCCATACTGCAGCGAGTCCCACAACCAATCCTCCCAGACAATATGTATCCGCGCTTCTCCCAGTTTGTTGAACTTCTGCGCATAGCGGACCTTCTCGCTGTTCGCCTCGCTGTCGTTTGCGCAGAGCAAGTGCGTGACGACTACCGGGCGTTCCAGCACTTTCACGTAGGTGCCTCCGCCCTTGGTGACATGTCTTCCGATCTCTTGTCGCTTGGTTACGTCTTCGATGCCAGATAGACACAGCACAACCCCAACGAAAGGCTTGAGTTGGTGCTTCTTGATGCTCTGCGGTCTCCATAAGCCTGCGCTCCACTTGTGTACTGCACCATGAACGTACCGCCTTCAAGTCCACATCATCACCCTGCTTCCATCTCGCGTAGCTCTCCTCGATCCATGACGGGTGCATTATCGGAATCCCATGTTCGAGGGCACACTGCTCTCGATTGAGTCATGGATGCAGACGGCATGAGTTGAGGCGTACCTGATACTTTGCGCTACCCGGTTCATCTGCGATCAAGTGCGTTATTCGATCGGTGAAGTCCGCACTATGTCGTGCTCCCAAAACGGCCGCGTTGGCAAATAAGATGGACTGGGGGGTGGAGAGGACCAGTCAGTGCCATGTGACGGCTGTGCCAATAGCTGAACGACAGGATCGGCTGTCATGTATGGACAGTGTATGCACCTAGGCGAGGGTAGTCTCCTGCCCTTTATTCCCCATGCGGCTTGTCCACAGTCGAGAGCTTGCATAGCACATCACTCACACCAGTGTTTAATGACAAAGCTGCCCCCAAGGACAAGAGTGATCATCCGACGAAGGGGTGAAAACGAAAGTCGTTCGAAATACTCGCAGAGATGAAATGGAGAGGATCAGTCAGGGTACTCACTTTAGTAGCATGACTGAGGCCAGTAATGCAAAGCTCAACGCCCTTCAATGGTCGAGGAGTAGGGTCGTTGGCGATGCTCTCTTCGTCCGAGAGCTGCGAGCTTTTTGCCCAAGTAGACTCGGGAGACTGTAGAGCTTTCGTGGCGCCAGGGGCGGCCGGACGGAGCTTTACTCCAGGTACCTACGTGAAGATCATGTCAATAAGACGCAAAGATCATACCGCTCTAATTACGCACTTTCTTCGACCTGTTCACCCGCCTAAATGACATCGCGACCGCAGTCTGGCAATGGATGGAGTTATGGAATAGAGGTTGCGTGTCGTCAAGATGCAGTCACAAATACAGGGCGTAACGTAGTTTTGAAAGGGAATGATGGATGGTGGGGGGGTAGGAATGTCTTGAGCAGTGGGCGAGGCAGCTGAGTCCTGAGGCCTGAGGGACGCGACTGTCGACGCGCGACGCACATTATTTAGGGCCGGCTCAAGCGCGACTTACGTCACGTGCTTGGCAAAGCCGAGCACGCTGCGCTGGACGTCGAAGGTTCCTCTACCAACGCCCACCATGCTCTCCACTCTCCGCACATGCGCACAGTCTGCGCGAGCGCAGTCTCGCTCGATGGCGACCACCTCCATACCCCAAGCGTCGACAACGGAGCCTCTCACCCACTACCGCATCACACTCCATCGCTCCGCAATCGGTCTTCCGACGAGGTTCAAGGATACGCTCGTCGCGCTCGGCATCCACCGGCGATTACAGACGGTCTACCACAGACATACTCCGGATATTGCTGGAAAGATCCTCAAGGTCAAGGAGCTCGTGACGGTGGAAAACGTCCCAGCTTCCGCCGTGCGGACGAAGTTGGAGCAGAGGCTGGAAAGGAAAGCCCCTCGTGGCTACGAGGTCACCGGGTCGAAGTTGACGGAGGGCTTTTAGTAGTTCTGGGGTCTTTTTGGTGAGTGACTTGCTGTGTTGTTCTGCTTGCCTTGCTCATTGTCCCCACCGTAGTCACCATCATATTTGCTATACATCATCGCTCTATGATTTACTTTACTCTTCCTCTTCTCTCTGACTGCGTGCTGGACTCGGAAGCTTGGGCACCCATTACGGCGTGACAACCTTCACCGGGGTCCGGCTGATCCTCAGGGTGTTCAAGTTATCCCGGATGTCACATGAAACAGGCTTTCTCCGACAAGATCTCTCAAGGATTATCCGAAGCCACGCGTGCCGACGGTGGTCGCAGCTTCTACATATGATGATTGGGGCAAGATCCAAGTCTCGTGTTGACTTTCCTACGCGGCCATCTGTCTGACTAACGGACAAACCCATGCACCCATGATCGACAGGATGGCGACGGTACAAACCGAGGGACCAGGAACAGTTGTCCACTCATGTACGTCCTACACGACCCTTATGATTCGGCTGCTTCATGGCCTTTCGTACATTCATCTTGTTTGCATGATCTACATGGACATGTTCCTCCGCCTCGCAACCTTGTGCGAAATCTATTCTGGTAAAGATCTCGGAGTAACCGATACACCCGCCATGCACATGGCCAGGCCACCATTTTGCCCCAATGACCCCGCGTTACACAAACCATCGATAGGTGCCTAGGAAAGTCCCCGTCTCTCTCAACAACCGGAGTCAATCGTCCGCCACCTCCCGTGCTCCCGACGCGTCGCAGGTTATTCCTCGGGGTATCGACGGAACGCGTCTTGCTCGCCAAGCGATCCCGGCTCTCTGCGTCGTCAGTGGCCACAACCGGTCGTCGCCCTTCGATCTATAAAGCCTCGCGACCCCGCTGGCACAATGCTCAGCTCCATCGCCCCAAGCGTCAGCCATGAAGTCGGTCATCCTCTCGCTCGCCGTCGCGCTCACCAGCGCCCGCTGCGCCTTCTCGGTGGCCGTCTGGGGCCAATGCGGTGTCAGTGCATTTCATTTAGCCAATGGCGACGTCCTAGCTTACACTCCAGTGTAGGGGGTGAACTATACTGGTGACACCGTCTGCGACTCCGGATCCGCTTGTGTTGTGCTGAACGACTGTGAGCTCAACATGTCGTCAGGCTTCACGTTTACTTTCTAACATCACGCTTCAGTCTACTCTCAGTGCATCCCTGGTGCTACCGCCACCACTTCCTCCACTACCACCACCCGGCCCACCTCGACCACCACCTCGACGGCCCCGAGCTCCTCCATTTGCTCTGGCTCGCGCACGGCCTTCAAGCACTTTGGTGTGAGCGAGTCCGGTGCTGAGTTCGGCAACGGGAAAATCCCGGGTGTCCTCGGCACCGACTACACCTGGCCGTCGCCCAGCTCCGTTGACGTAAGCCATCTCCACGAGTGCATGGATACAGATGCTGACCAGTCAACCCTGCAGTACTTCATGAGCGCGGGCTTCAACACGTTCCGCATTCCGTTCCTCATGGAGCGCATCAGCCCTCCCAGCACGGGCGGCATGACCGGTCCGTTCGACCAGACCTACCTCAACGGTCTCAAGACGATCGTCAGCTACATCACCGGCAAGGGTGGTTATGCCGCGATTGACCGTAAGTGTGTTGGTCCACACATGAGGTCTGTGGCTGACGTGATACTGTAGCCCACAACTACATGATCTTCAACGGCCAGACGATCTCCAGCACCAGCACGTACGTCTGATCCCTGTCTCGCGTAGCCACACATGCTAACGTTGTACCTCCGCAGCTTCCAGGCCTGTATGTGCACTGCAAATTTTCTCAAGCTAGCATCCACTCATCTGTCTTCGTTCAGGGTGGAAGGCCCTCGCTTCTCAGTTCGTCAACGACTCGCACGTCATCTTCGACCTCCAGAATGAGCCGCACGACATCCCCGCCCAGACCGTCTTCCAGCTCGTGCGTGCCACTCCCTCCTCCCTCCTCTCCCCACTCACCGCCTTCCCTCCGCACAGATGCAAGCCGGCGTGAACGGCGTCCGCTCCTCTGGCGCAACCTCACAGATGATCTGGGTCGAGGGCACCTCCTGGACCGGCGCGTGGACGTGGACGAGCTCGGGCAACGGCGACGCCTTTGGCGCGATCAAAGACCCCAACAACAACCTCGCGATCGAGATGCACCAGTACCTCGACTCGGACGGCTCCGGCACCTCCGGCACCTGCGTCTCGTCCACCATCGGCGCCGAGCGCCTCCAGAACGCGACCGCGTGGCTCAAGGCGCACAACCTCAAGGGCGTCCTCGGCGAGATCGGCGCGGGCTCGAACACGGCCTGCATCCAGGCCGTCCAGGGCGCGCTTTGCGAGATGCAGCAGTCCGGCGTGTGGCTCGGCGCGCTCTGGTGGGCCGCGGGCCCGTGGTGGGGCGACGTGAGTTTTTCCTACCCGTGTCTTCGGCGGTCGTGAGCTGACGCGGACGCGGGGGACGTGCAGTACTTCCAGAGCATCGAGCCCCCCAACGGCCCTGCCATCTCCCAGATCCTCCCCCAGGCGCTCAAGCCGTTCCTTCCCGTTGCTTAGACGGCTTTGTGGAGATACCAACCCAGGGTTCAAAACAGTTCTGTGTAGTTCTTAGCTCTCATAGGAGAATGCGAAATTTTCTCGACACATCACCTATGCCCTATGAGAGTTCTCTAGATCTGTGGTAATAGGTGTAGGGGAAGCAATGTTCGTACTCGGACTCGGACTTCGGACCCGATGACCTAAGCGACGCCCGCGCCAGCGCTGAGGAAACTGCGGAGCGTAGTCGTCGGAACTGGCTGGCGCGCCCACGTGGTGGGGGCTCAGGGCAGGCCTTTTCGCGTTGACGCTTTCACACGCGCGCTTCGACGGTCTAGATCTCCTGGTGGGTGGGCTCCTTCCATGTGGCCCGATACATAGCCAGAATCTTCCCCGACACTGAAGTTGAGTCGCTTCGGCTGTTCAATGGTACGTCAACTTATATGTTCGGGTATGTGTCGTTGTAACTCATCTGCGCTGCGTCAGAACACGTGGGAGGGGCGTAATGCGGCCGGACTCGGGTCATGGGAATCGTGCTTGAGCCAAGAGCTGCTTGCAATATCCGGCTAAGGAAGCACCCGGCCGCGCGGTGAGAAAGCAGCTTCAGCTGCGATAAGTCTCCGCACTTCACACTTCCGGTCGACATGGAGCACATAACCCATGCACGACTCGGAGAGAGATGGCAGCGTTGCAGCGAGATCGGAAGTATCGATGCTGTTTGGCGCAGACCGTCTTCCCGAGACCTGAGGCTGAAGAAATTCATTCGTAGGATACAGTACAAGACCTTGTTTTTCGAAGCCGGCTGCGCGACGTCTTCTTCGCTCGTAGACTTCGAGGGCCACCTATCCGCGGTGGGAACATACCCGCGCAGCTCCCCAAAGTGCAACACGGCCGTGTATTAAACGACGCCCCCACTGCCGTGGTGCCCGCCCCCCTTTCCGCAGCCCCACGACCTAGTACCATGCCCGTCGCCGTAAACGCGTCCGCAGACGGTGATGCGGGGACCAACTCAGACGGCGTGTCGGGCCTTGATGACACCTTCGGCGCGATTCTCATCTGCACGTTCCTAGGGTTCATGTGAGTGCTTTTTAGCCGCGTCAAACTCTACCTGCGCCTACATGACGTTGTTGCAGGCTGTTCGGACTGACGGTCCATCAGTCATACCAGTATTTCAGCATGTACTGGACGGATTCGCGCAGGCTTAAAGTTATGGTGAGTGGGCTGTCGATGGCTATATGCGTCACTTACGGGTCTTTCCAGGTGGCCCTTCTTGTGTAGGTTCATCCATTCTCTTGACTCAACGAAGGTACGAGACTCGCTTGCGCAGGCTTGCCGACACGTTACACTTGGTCCTCTACGCCCACGCATGGCATGTTTTCCTGCATATATCCTCATGTACCCCGGTAGACTGACCTTCTAGTATCTACGCAGTTACTACTACTTAATCACGAGCTTCTTTCAACCTGACAAGCTGGAGTACGGGACTTGGTGAGCCCTTGACTTAAGGCGATCCATCTGATTTCTTCTTCTCATGAAAGGTACAGGTCGATGCGACTGACCCCGGTATCAGCGGTGAGGATTCCAGGTGTCCGCAACGAGTTTCACCTGGCTGATGCCTCCCGATCGCGATCGTAGGCTCTTGTCATATTAATCGCGCAAGGGTGCGTGATTGTACAAAGCGTCCTAGATTGTCTTGCTCACGCCTAAGAACGTCCGCCAGGTTTTATCTCGAACGCGTGTATAGAAGTATGTCCTCAACGTGATGTGCGACTTAACTTTCTTTGACTGATCCTCTCAGTTGGAAACCCATATAGATACTTCGTATATGTCATCGTGAGTGTTTCTCGACTGAATTCTCCATCCAGATCTGAGAGCCGCGCAGGGCGTCTCTATGATGGGTGCAGCAGGCAAGTGCAGACGGCTTGTCAAGACATCTTGATGGCTCATCGGACATTCTTTGAAACACAGGGTTTGCCGTTGGTGTGTCTGCCTCTGCTTCCCGTTATTTCCGGGGACCTGACGATCTACATAGTTTCAACTATAGAAGCGTGGAAGGAGGAGACCTTCGAACAATGGGAGAGCTGCGCGGTAGGTTCTTGTCGATTTTTCGTCTCCTATGTACTGAAATCAGCATACAGTGGATGACGTCGGTGGCCTTTGCGTTCGCGGTGGCGACAGACGTGATGCTCACTGGGAGCTTGATCGTCTTCTTGAACCGGAGCAGAACCGGGTTTAGGCGGTGAGTGATATCCACGTTGCCGCGTGCGGCTGCATGTTGACGAGACACAGGACCGATTCTCTCCTCAACATATTGATCGTGTACACCATCAACACGGGTGAGACTGGTGTCACTGGCGCGCGTACGGCCCACTCACACCCCGGTCGTCAGGTCTGCTTACGAGGTATCTGCGAGGAACACACTGACCGCAGAGTCATGCTGACATCCCGCGTACTAATCAGCGCCTTGAGCGTGATGTGTGTGATATTCGTGAGTCCCTTGAGCGCACGCAACCGGGATACATAGTCGATGCTCACACTGTATCCGCAGGCAGTGGCGATGCCTTACAACATGATCTACACCGCCGTCAGCATCCCGACTACGAAGAGTACGTCCCAACTCGCCGCCCTTGCGCACCATGTCAGCTGAAGCTTCTCTTTTCCGAAAGCGTACGCCAACTCGGTTCTCGCCGTGTAAGTCTCACCCGTGGGCGCTACTCCTGTCTGGCCCAAGCTAAGCTAAAAGGCCGCGGCAGCCTGAACTCGAGGCGATCGCTCAAGGACTCTACACTTGGCACCTCTCACGACTTCGGGTCGTTCGGGATGAGCGCGGCGGTCGATTTCGCGCACGCGTCCGGGGCGGAAAGCATGCGCGGATCCGTGAGTATCGGGCAGACGGTGAGCACAGCACGCCCTGTGGAAACCCCTCTCGAATCTCACGTTTGTGGGCTGCAGGTCACGAAGGTCCGCGAATCGACGCAACGAGACCTCGAGGTGGGACGAGCCTCTTTTGTTGGAGGAGAGCCGTGCATCAGGACGGGGGCTTGGCTGGGGCGGTCGGAGGCGAGCCTGCCTGGGAACGGGGAGCCGGGGTGCGGTGTTGCGATGTGATGTACAGCTCTTAGCTCAGTAATGTGCGCGCGTTCTAGCATATATGATCTTGGTTCCTTCACATGAGGATAGGCGGCGAATGGGGGAGCGCGCTTCTCGTAATGACGTCATCGCCACCGTCGCGCAGAGCTGGAAGTTTGACTTTCAGCTAGTTGGCAATTCTTGGGTGATTTTTGCGCAATGCATTCCGAGCAGGGGGACTTCGGGAATAAATTTTTCTCCATAATGGGGGCTTCCAAGCGTACAAACTACAGATGACATCGACTTTACAGCCAGACTGAGACAAGTCCCACCAATCAATCGATGCTTCAACGGCTCACTGCAGGAGGGTGCACACTTACCTCCGACTCCGATCCTACAAACAGCAATTCTGCTTCGGTGCTTTCTATCTAGCCTCCTTTAGATGCTATGATCCGGGCGTGCTCCAGTTCTGGTTCAGCCCTTGGATCTTCTCGTGATCCGCCAGGTTCGGTTTCGACTCGTACACCGTCATCACAGGCTCGAACTTGCGCTGTCGATCCCGGTCAACCGCATGCGCGCGCACAGCCCATATGAAAGCAGGCATACCTCGCTCCACTGTCCCAAGAAGCCGATGTAGTATATCCTCGTGGTGTCTGCCCCTTGTGCTGCAGGGAAGAACAACGTGAGGGATGTCACGTTGGGGAACTTCGCTGGCCTGGCGGCATATGGGTGTCAGAAATACCTCATAAACGACGGCGTTTCGCACTCACAAGACGTGGTATTCGCCCACTTCGCGCCCTTGGGGGACGGCGAACTCCTGCGCCGGCTTCATGTCCGCAATGTCGGAAAAATCGACGGAGTCGGTGTTTGGGAACTGGATTCAAGTTCGAGTGAGCACGCAGGTTCAGGGGGCTCGTGAGGGGACGAGAGGCGCACCAAGGCGACCTTGGTGGGAGTCTGGTCCGCGGGCCCCGCTTTGAGGAGGAGCGCGCGCAGCTTGACGGCCCCCGTGAACGGGACGCGTACGATCCTGCTTCATGACATCAGAGGCGACTCACGCGAAATGCGCTCCGACGAGACGCACATCTGGTCGTCCGCGTCCGACTCGAGATACTGTGATCCCGGTCAGCTTCGGCACGGACGAGCCTGGTCAGAGCGCCCACCGTCTCTTCGTCGAGCCGCAGGTGCCAGGGCTTGATCACCTCCGGGGCTTTGGCGGGATCTTCGGCGTTCATGGCGACCACATTCGCGCGGTCGATGCGGGCGAACAGGTTGTCGCGCGCGCCGACGCCCTCCGGCGCGTCGTGGTCATGATCGTGGTGGTGGCTTTCGTCGTGGCACCCGCCGCCGTGTGAGTGGTTGTGGGACATGCTGCTAGTAGCTGCTCAGGACAGTGGAGCAGTAAGCGCCTTGGCTCTTGTAACTCAGCGCGGTTGTGCCACAACGTCAACAGCGCCAAAGCCGTCCGCAAACTTTCTGTTGAGAGCGCGGCCTTCGCTCGCTGCCCTTGACCGTCCACTTCATCGTCTTCCGAGGTTGCGCAACGAGAGGTGTCCATGGTGAGTTCCGTGGTCGTTTCTCCCTTTCCATGATGGTACTTTAGTAATTTGCGTTCGATCGCCCTCGTCCTCACACCAAAGGGGCTCGCCCGCCAGTGAGCCCTGGGGACGAAGGTATGAGACAATTAACATCCGCTGATATGTTGTGTTCAGTTTTTGGGACACGTTTGCTGACCAGCTTCACTCTCCAGGTACCTGCTTCACTAGCATTGGTTGCCCACGACTATGTAGTCCCAAGATATCGATTTGCCTTCCACAATCCTGCCCGAGCCCAGAGCTAGCGTGAATGGAAGACTGTATGCTCGACGGCCTCCTTCGCAACATGCCCACCAACATGAAGCACTCTTCAAACCGCTGATAATGTGTGGTAGATCATTCATTCATTCGAACTTGAAATAGCATAGAGTACGTATACATGTGAGGACCTATGCATGTCACTCCCTCCCAAACAACGTTCCCCAAGCAATTGAGACGCGCCTTCTTCCGCCCGTGCAGGCTCTTTGTTCTGCGGTATTGCCAAGGGAGCACAAGGTTGATAGTGTCTGCGCTGCTCTTGGCGCCGACGTTTAAGTCGACATTGCACATGTTGATGCGGTGTTTCGTAGATCGGCGCAATGGAATGAGCCGTCCCAAACTGACTGCTTCTTGTCAGAAACAACTGCGTTTTGTGCGCGAATGCTCGAAAGAGAAGCCCAACAGATGCTCACCAGCGGTCATCGCACCCTGTTCCCTCGAAGCTTAGAAGAGCACCAGACGAGGGGGGAGATGGTCTTCAAGGCCGGGACATTGAAAACAAGAGCGGGGCATGATAGACGCACCGTTACGACGAACGGGTAGTCCCAGGTAGATGTTCTTGAAAGTCAGAAACTGCCGGAGTCGCCTCTCAAATCTTGCAACGGTAAAACCAGATGCAGGAGGGCGTGACTCGCGCCTCAGTCGTGTGGGTGGAGAGCACACCGGGACAGTGGATGGCGTGAGGTTGTTTTGGTAGACAATCGTAGAGGAGGGGAGGAAGAAGGAAGAAGCGAGCCGCTGCCCGCGACGCGGACTTATGCACGAGTGACATGTGACCGTGTGCACCAGCCCTAAACGCAAATCGAGGCTCGAGCTCGTCCTATGCACTCCAGCTCTTTCCCCAATCTCGACCAGTTCATCCCAAATCTCATCAGCTTTTTGAAACCACACCAACGTCGAAGAAATAGCAACTCCATGAAGCTCCGTAGGCTTCCTGCTCTTTGAGACCTCCATGCTCGCGCGTACTTCTGGCCAACCTTGGGACAACCTACGTTTCAGCATCATTCCTGCGGCCCCAGGTGTATGCGCCCCCTTGAGCACGGGATGCATCAAGAGTTATGGCTCTTCGCTTGGTACCACATGGTCAGAGATGGTCAGTGCCGAGATTCGTTGTGAAGCGTAGGTCCGCTGTTGATCCGAAGTCTTTGCAGCTTTACCTCAAACACACGCATGTTCTCGTAGTGTTCCCTCAGTGATCCTCACGTGTGGTAAGTGGTACGCTGAGTCTTTCCGGTTTCATCTGAAATGACTGGCGTCGAGCAGAATGAATACCACATCGATCAGCCTGCAAGGTCTCGGAGTTTCTTCGCTGCTTTTAGAACTCGAGGTACGAGAATATCTGTCCAAGGTGCGCTTCTGCAGCTGAAAGGGGTTCAGAACATTACTTGCTGGTGCCGACGCAGATGTCGCATGTCCGCCATCGTATCCGTCGGTCAAGACATGACGTAGACACGGTGCTAGCCGGTCAATTTGGACTCTGTTGAACTACCAGTGGTCGTTTCAACTCCGCTGATCCGCAACAGTTCAGCCTGAAAGTCGGGTTGTTCGCCGTCCGGCCTATCACGCGCCAACCTCTCGACCGGGTTTCATCTTTGGATCCATAGGGTACCCTCGACGTGCATCCGACGTTAATCCTTCTTAAAAGGTGTCGTCCTTCAAGCTCTTCGTGCGAGGGGTTAGCTGACCTCGCTCCACAGTCGACATGCTCGCTAGCTTCCTCGCGCTGCTCTCTCTGGGCACCATCGCCGCTGCGGACCTCACTGTCTACCAGTCGGGGACGGGGGCGCTCGCCTCCGGCTGGGAGAACTGGTCCTGGTCTACTACTCTCGACTTCGCTTCCACCGGCGGTCCCGGCGGCGTCCAGTCTATCTCGGTCAACTCTGGGGAGTGGGCTGCGCTCTCCGTCTACGCTGAAACCGCGTTCAAAAACAACTACGCCGGTCTGAGGTTCCAGATCTCCGGCAACCAGCCGGATGTCTCCCTCTATCTCTCCTCGTCGTCGGATAGCGCTTCGTCGGTTTCGATGCCGCTCTCCTCCATGAGCACCATCGTCAACACCACGGCGTTCACGGAGATCACCGTTGACTTTGGCAACCTTCCGGGGAACAAGGGTGTCCTCCCTCAGGACTCTTGTATGTTGATTTTTTCCGGCCTCCTAGCGTCGCGGCTCACCCCGGTTGCTCCGCGAACAGGGAACCTTATCAACTTCCAAGGAGGCCAGAATGGGGCGACATACTATCTCACTAACGTCATGTTGCTCTCTGGTACGCACCGAATGTTCTGTGAACTTCGTCTCGTGGCTCACTAGTACCCTTCAGAGCTTGTCATAACTCCCGAGTTCCTCTCTGCGGAGCCGATTGGCAACAACATCATCATGGTTACCTCGAAAGGGGCCGTCGACTTCTCTAAGCTTTCCGTCAAGCTCAACAACGCAACGGCGAAGCTCACGAAGATCGAAAGCTATTCGCCCGCAGACACTCCTGCCCAAACGATCACCTACTTCACGCTTTCGGTACCACTCGCCGCGGGTTCGCTCAGCATCAGCACAGGATCCAACACCACGTTCTCGTTTGTCATCCCCAAGCTCCAGTACGGCACCATCACAATCGGCAACTTGCGGAACATCTCCGATGACATCTACGGGATGAACTTCCCGACCAGCGCCGACTACATCAAGCTTCTCGGCATCACCATGAGTCGCTGGGGAGGCAACGCCGTCACGGCGTACAACCCGGATGGCGCCTTCACTAATGCCGGCAACGACTGGTACTTCGAGAACCGTGGCTCGTCGCCCGACGACCAGGGCTGGTTGCAGTTCGTGCAGGACGGAGGCAGCAGGAGCATCTTCACGATCCCTGCGTACGTTGCCACTTGTGATCGCCATCCTCAGCAGCGCTGATCTTGCATACTAGTCTGGACTGGGTTGCCAAGGACGGCACCTCGTATTCGTACCCAGCGACTGCCTATCCCGGTACGCATCCGTCCACACCGTATGCTGTTTACTTACCCCTTTTCCTCAGATCAGCGCTCGTTCGACCCTTACAAGCCGGATGCGGGCGACGGTCAGTTCCCCAACGGGAGTTGGGTCACGCCCCTCCCTCAAACAAACGTTTACACCCCCTGGAACGCCTCCATGGCCAAGTCGTGGATGCAGTCGATGAAGCTCAAGCCCACAATCATCACCGGTGGGTCCAGCTCCATCCGCACCATGAGCATCCATATTGACCTTGTTCGCCTAGTTGACAACGAGATCGAGATCGCCTCCAGCACCCACCAAGATATGCACCCGAACCCCATGGGCTACGACGAGGAACTCCAGCGCGTCCTCAACATCGCCAAAGCCGCGAAGAGCGCGGACTCCAACCTCCTGGTCGCCGCGCCCTCGACGTGCGCTTGGTGGTTCTGTGAGTGCTCTTCCTGCGTCCTCTGCTCCACACGGCGGTGCTCATTCTTGGCGCACCAGACTGGACGAGCGAGATCGGGTACTCGGACAACGCCGCGCACAACAACCAGGACTTCTTGCCGTGGTTCCTCTCCCAGATGAAGAGCGCGTCGGACGCTGCCGGGGAGCGCCTCCTCGACTACCTCGACATCCACTACTACTTCGGCCCCGACACGAGCGCGAACGACGCTGCGTCCAAGGCCCTCCGGTTGCGCATGACCCGCTCGTTCTGGGGTGCGTCTCTCCCTAGCCGCCTCCTATCTCCCTGCTCGACGACGCTCACCCCTCGCGTTCCCCCACAGACCCGACCTACACCGACGAGTCGTGGATCGGGACGTCGGTGCCCGCGCAGTGGAACGAGCCGAACCCGAACCAGGTCTGGCTGATCCCGCGCTTCCAGCAGCTGATCGCGCAGCACTTCCCCGGCACGAAGCTCTCCATCTCCGAGTGGTCCTCCTCCGCGCCCGACGGGGACGTCACGGGCGGGCTCGTCACCGCGGACTCACTCGGCATCTTCGGCGTGTACGGGCTCGACAGCGCGACGTACTGGGTGACCGCGGACCAGCTCTCGCCGGTCGGGCTCGCGTACTGGCTCTTCCGCGGGTGCGTGTCCTTCTCGTTTCGGAGCGGAGGGGCGGGTGGAGACGGGGCTGACGAGGTCGGTTCGGCAGGAACGGGACGTACTTCGGGAACAAGAGCATCCAGGTGAACATGGCGGACTCCCAGCCGGACGTGCTCGGGGTGTACGCGAGCACGTCGGACGGGAAGAAGGTGACGATGGTGATCGTCAACAAGGACGTCGTCCCCATCAACCTCGCGATCTCGAACATCCCCGAGGGCAAGTACTTCCTCCGCCACTTCGGTGGCGCGGCCGGAGTGGCGAAGTGGCAGGTGAGTAGAGCGGGCGGACGCACGTGGGTGAGGAGCGGCACGCTGACCGGGTTTGGGCGCAGACGACGATCACCATCAAGGCGAACAGCAACTTCGTCATCCCGGCGTACACGGCGGTGTTCTTCCAGCAGCAGTGAGATGGGTCGTTTCTATGTCGGCGGTGATATACACGGAGATTTCGTACGTTCTATGTGAAATAAATGACTTCAGGGACTTGCCACGAGCGATCGATTGCGAGACGTCGGAAGGAGTAGTGCAAATTCATCTTCAGTCCTATGAAGCCCGATCGAGAGAACACCTTTTGTTTCAACATATTATACATGCACCCGTTCCTCGTAGCTTTGACTGCGAGGGATCAGACGTCCTCGAACATCGGTGGACTACTACTTCTGTCTCCGTTATCCCTGACGACAGCCGTCTCCGGCTTGTCTACGAGAGACCTCACTCCTAACCGAATATCAGAATCCTTTGATTCCGCCGAAAAGACGGGGTTGAAAGCAACTATAGACTGGGGGGAAGGCGCAGTGAATGAGCACGCTGGTCTCCCTGAGGTTGCAGTCGCAGATGCCTTACCTGTGGCATGGTCATATGCCGCATACGAACGAGATTGCCGCCTCGCTTATCAGTCGCCGTGGACATCCCGAGCATGCCAAAGTCGTCCATCAGGGATGCTTTGAGGGCTTTTCGGGAGTTGAGTCTGCCGGCGATGCGAGGGGTTGGACGTTGGTTGAGAACTTGGTGATCAAGGAGTAAGATGCTTACACAGCGAACACGGAGTTGACGTATGCTGAGGGGGTGGATGCTGCTCAGCAACAAAATAACACGCACAGAATCACGAGAAACGCACATTTAGTAGTGGGCATGTTGAGGGATATGTAGAGCATCATGCGGGGACAGACGAAGACCTGCAGGAGATGTGTTCAATTGTCATTTGGCAGAGTATCAGTGGGCAACGCACGAAGATGACACTGAGCAGACTGAGCGTGCTGGAGAGACAGTGAGCGAAACGCAGACGCTTGGTTTGTATTTACTCACGCCGTAAGCAGACCTAGAGATACGGACTCAGTCTATGTTCGTGAGCATATGTATGCGCAACGTACCGCTGTTGATCGTGTACACCTCAATGACTCCAAGTACATTATCGGTACTTTATGGAGAGAAGAGTGAGTGGTGGATACGTTTCATGGCACGAGAACGTACTGCTTGATCCCGGTTCGACGCTTTCTCAAGTAGAGAATGATGGAAGACGTGACTGCAAGGTCTGTGACCACGACGCATGCGAAGGCCACAGAGCCTGACCACTACAGAGTTGCAGATTAGCGAACATGGCGAAAAAGAGGAAACGAAATGAGCTACCGTCCACTCTACGAACTGTGAAATAGTGGGCAGGATGAACCTATAGGCTGAATTGAGACGTGAGAGCATGCAATCTGCGTACGCAAGCTTACGATTCAACACAATCCACTAGGGACGCACGTGAGCAAGGGACTTCAACATCTCTATTGCAGACACCGCACCTATCGCAAACCCTGTTGTGACCAAATGATGCCGTTAGACCAAGCATATACTAGGATGGCCCCTGAGCTAACCTGCGGAGACCACCATCGAAAGTGCCTGAGTAGGACGTGAGACGGGAAGATAAACGAATATTTATGATGGAACTCACGGCCAGGATTGCCACGACACGAAATCTTTCGTCTACTAGAAGGTACTTATTTGGTAAGCAGGATCTGAACGGGCCCTTTCTCTTACCCACAGAGGTAAACGCGTCGAACAAAAAATCTGAAGAAAGTCGGCGTGATAGTACCAAGGGAATCGATCTGCCACTTACCCCTGGCCGAGTAGGATGATAACACACTGGGGGATATCCGGGTCGGCCCAATGTCACTCTGCGTGGGATGGCGGACTTACAGACGTTGCCGAGATCGACTATGCCAATTGCGAGATCGATATTAGCACTTTTAAAAAAAGTAATTCTAGAGGGGTGCGCACGCGAATAGACCTGACAAATGATAGCATGAGCGATAAGACAGTGTCAGTTCTGAAAGTGAAGGCCCTACCATGTACCGTAATCCAGCGCGGCGGGGTTCGAAAGATTTTGGACCAAGTAATGATAACTGACGATCACACGCTTTGAGGGATTATTCGAGCAGGGTATACATAAGGAGATCATACCAGACTATCACGGAGAGACATGAGTGGAAGGTGTCCGCAACGCTGAGAGTAGCGTAAGAGCGCCAGTAAGTAGACACCAAAGCTATGTGATGCGTACAACAAGACCGCAACCTGCATGTAGCGCTCGTCATGTAAGGAAACCAAAGGAGGCTTGCAAACACATACAATGCTCTTCAGCAGCCGCATGTCTTGACGGTAAAGTTGGAAATATCGCCATGTCTGGTGCACAGAAAAGCCATACATCCTGACCCTCAGGTGTCAGTCTCCAACATTGACTCTGGACGTGGATGCGAATTGAAAACAAAACACGTACACAAGTCCGCAGCACATTCCGATGAACACAGAGCCCATGTCCAAAGGCAGCAGGGTCGACATAGCGTGCTTAGAGAGGAGCGCGAGGTGCCAAGGTGGGGGAGAGCGAGATGGTCTGGCTATATCAAGGCTATATCATGCTCGCTGGCATTGCTCCACAGAGGCGGTCGAAGAGCGGCAAAGAAGAGTTCGTTGCGCCTCGAGGCTGCTTGTTAGATGCAGTAAGCTTCTGTCATGATTTCGAGACCACGCGAAGAAGCTCACACTGAAATTCGACCTGGTACGTTGTACAACCCTGCGGGGCTATATAGGTCACTGATAGATGTCCGACCAAGTCTCGGAAGCTAACATTGCGTGTCGCCGTTGTGAAGCCACGAGCTTGAATTGGATATCGCGTTGAACCTTCTGTGGCTCGGGCGGTGTTGAACTGCCAGGTTAGTACGTACGCTTGGACGGTTTGCACACACTGCTGGCCGGGAAAGCGGTTTTCCCGCTGCTACTTCACCAATGACAGATCATCATGGTGGTGGAAAACATGGGAAGGGTGAGCAAGTGGACGGGCGACAATAAGGGGAGTGTCGTGGTTGATGAACTTGAAGTCAATGCAATTAGTAGGGAGTAACAACGAGAGATAAGGCATACTTATAAGTAAGCAGAATGTTGACACCACCCGGGCCGGAGGTTGAGTGGCGCCACCGAAAGCGAGTACCTCTTGTCCTCTCCCTTGCTCTACCTTTCCTCCCTCCCCTTCCTCTCCGACCATCCTCCATCGCTGTTGATATCCACTCTTCTGCCTCGTACTAATAGGCCCAATCAACTCTGCTCCGAGCCACCTTCGACCCTGCCCTCCCGTCCTCTTCGGCATGTCCGCAACGGACATTAAGGCGGTGGCTTGTCTCTTTGAGACATCGCTAGTACTTGCGGCAGACTGGCCACAGATTCTCACCGAGTATCTCGCCCCGCTGTTGATGCGCCTTGGAGAAGCTTCTTCGCCAACAAACACAGTACGTCCCTACATGCGTGCAAATCATGGTCTAGTCTCACCGTTGTTCAGCTCCGCATGAGCGTGATCACGTATGGTGCCTCCGACACGCGTCCTACCCCCATCGCAAGCCGGATATTCTTCAGCCCACCAGCATCAGTGATGAAGACTATGCGAGAGCTGCCACACGAACTCGGAATTGGCTATACTGGAGCGGGAATCACTCAAGGGATGGCCGCGTTAGAGGGCATGGTTGCTGCTCTCGAGGTGAGTTTTCAGTCATTTATTCTAGCATTGGTGTGTAAGACGCCGAGGATGTGTGTGTCTTGTGGGCATGCTTCCGATACCTGGACTGTGGCACCTTAGGGTCGTCTCAGTCTTCTGTGACGGTCTTGGAGGAACGTGTGGACCGGCGAGACCATAGCGCTGCTGTGTTTGTCGCGCCGGGGCCTAATAATATTATGTTGGTGCCCCCTGCGCGGTCCTATACGCCCATGATCGTCGTGGTGTTACTATTATGGTCGCTGTCGCTGGTCTTTTTAAGCGCTTTCCATCGTTCCTCTCTGACCTTTTTCTGCAGATGTTCGACGCCCTCAAAACCTCATTCGATGTGAGCATCTGCATCTCATCGTATGTATGGGAGCTCATGCACATCAGAAAGCCGACACAGTCTTCACCTGCCACCTGATCCACGTTGCGGCGACCGCACCCGATACCGCTGAACATCCCATGTGGAACGCTTCGCCGGGGATGGACTTTGTGACATGGGGTAATCTCGCTGGCGAGCTACGCAAGGTAAATCGTTCTCTGCGGTTCGGTGACTTGAGCTGAGTTCGGTACAGCGCAACATCCACTATAGCAACATCCTCACCAAGTCGATCCCGCGCCTTGGTGAGCTGCAGACCTCTGTACGTCTCTCGAGTTGAAAATTCTATCCTCCTGCTCACGTCGTCTCAGTCTGCTCTCGGACCTGTGCAACAACCGTGGTTCACCGTGCGCGCGCCATGCGAGGTTCGCATCACTGGTTTTCCCCAGAAAGGCGCGTGCTTTTTTTTCATCAACAATCCGTCCTTGTCTCATTATTTGACAGGCACGAAGCGATCGAGCAACGCGTTTGTACCCACAAACAGTCCAGAAACTTCGAAACGTCCGAAAACCCAGGCTCCCAACACTTCACCCCGCAAATCCCCCGCCGTCCCTACTACCACCACTCCGAGTTTGTCCGCGACAGTTGTGCCGTCGTCAACCCCCGCACCTGCGGTTCCAACACCTTCGGCTCCGCCGGCACCTGCACCTGCACCAGCGCCCTCCCTTGCAGCAGAACCCGCGTCCGTCATTGCGCCACCTGCCGTCCCCGCTGCACCGCAAGGCGCAGTCCCCGACCAGTTCAAGATCCCGGACCTTACCACGTGGACGCCGCAGGCCCGCAACGACTTCATGCAGAAGATGATCATGGCGGAGGGCCAGCTCCGATCCCAGCTTATACAGCTGAACCAGTTGAGGGCGCGCGGTCACGGGGAGGAAGCCGCAAAGATGGAGGCACACCTCCGCGTGCGGGCGGAGAGGCTGCGAATCATCAAGACGGCGACGGTGGAGCAGATACGAAACCTGGCGAACAACGCCGCGGCGGGTGGCTCCGCGCAGCCGCCAGGGACGAATGGGATTCCGGGAGTTCAGCAGCCTGTCCCGCCCACCGCAGCGAAGAACCCCACGGGCACCCCAACGCTCACCGCGAAGCCGCAGATCCCGTCGCAAGTGACGCCGGACATGGCGGCGCAGATGCAGAAGCTCATCGAGCATCGGAACAAGACTCAGGCGCAGGTGCAGCAGCAACAGCAGCAACAGGCCGCGGCCAGCGCTGCTGGGCTGCAAATCACGGCGCTTGCGTACGCGGACCAGCCTTCGTCAAGTAGGCATTACAACGGCCCCATCTCTTGGCGCGGATTTGACTCGGAGACGCACTTGCGCAAGGACGTCCAAACGCGCGTTGTTATGATGACCACAGCAAACCATGATATGTACGTTGAACACATTCATCATCATCCGATGTCGATGTACGTGCTCATGACTGCTTGCAGGCAAGGGCACGCATGGCCGCAGGCGCTGTCGTTGTCGCCAGCGCCGCACCCAGCGGTGCCGCCGGACGTGCTACAGACGTGGCTGAAGCAGCACACGTACGTGCCCCTCAACTTGGCGGTCAATCCCAAGGTTCCAGACCCGAAGACGAACGAGGAACACTTCCGCGGTCTCGTCCGCCTTCTCACCGAAAAGAACGTCGTACGTCCTCTCCATGTTGAGCAGCCTGCTTCGTCTCATGGTTGCTTTTTTTAGTTTGCGATCGCTGCGTGGCCTTCTGTGCCCAACGGAGTCCCGGAGAACCGAGTCCTCCTCTTTCCGATCCGGAACCAAGTCATGGGCGTGTACTTCCCGGGACCCGGCGGTATGCCTGAACTTCCCAAGGTGGGCGGTCCGCCAGTTCCTCCGCCAGCACCGCCGCAAGCCCCGCAAGCAACCCCACCGACCGGCTTAACTTACGGTCCCGAGACCGTCCGAATGGTTCTAAACGCGATCCCGCCAGACCAACAGGCAAAATTCCTTGCACTCTCGCAGGCACAGAAGCAACAGCTCGTGACCACGTTCGTGGCTCGGCGCCAGCACCAGATTCAGCAGCAGCAACAGCAGCAGCAACAGCAACAACAGGTGCAGCAGAACGCCGCCGCCGCGCAAATGCAGGCGCAAATGGGACTGAAGCCCCCGCAGCCGGGCAATTTGTGGGGCGCACCGAACGCCGCGGCGATGCTCGGACAGATGAACCAGGCGTTCGCGAACGCGGGTGCGGGATCTTCTATGCAGGGCATGGGCGGGCACCCGACGACGCTCAACGGGCTACAGAACATGATGAACAACGTCGGCCCGACGGGTCTGCCGATCAACCTCGGGCCTGGCGCGGGGAACATCAACATGAACTTCGCGGGCTTCAAGGGCGCGGGCCAGTCGCAGATCGGGCCGCAGGGTCAGGGGATGATGGGGATGCAGCATCAGCAGCAGCAACAGCAGCAACAGCAGGGCATGCATCGACGCACGCCGAGCGGGAACGTCGGTGGGGGCATGGACTACAACGTGTTGCAGTCGTTCGTACAGCGCTCGCACGACGGCGCCGGGGGCTCGAACGGGTCGCTGGGCGGTATGGGGTGAGCCTATCCGATTTCAGTCTAGCGTTTGTTCGCGAAGGCGATGTAATGTATTGTACCATACCAGAGCTTGATTTCTGCATACCATCTTGCTGCATTGACTGTGGAGGCGTTTCCCGGCGCAGGACCCTACGTCGGTCGGCGGTGCGGCGAAGAGCGCGCAAGCGCCGCTGAGAAGTTGACGCGCAAAACATAGGTTTTGCCCCTCTCCTCGCTGGTATGAGCGCAAGCACTGACTCAACTCTCAAAGAGCGGGTTTCATAAGCCAGAAAAGTGCGGCGTCGATGTGGGATTTAATGTCCAGGGAAAGTTGCCACTTGCGGTCTGACGATCTGAACACTTCAGACCAGGTCATCGCACTACCTCGGTTGAGCAAACCCTGTAACTGCACAGTCGCGCTGGCGGGTATTCGGGTGGGTCGCACTCGGCGCTTTCACGACTGTGACGCTTGCTGATGCTGTTGGCGTACGCAGTGCGGAAAGGGGCCATCGCCCGCTCGGTAGTTCCCAGGGCTTGCGGGCGGCGGGGTGGATTCCCCGAGCCGGTCGGAGCGACATCCCCTCGGTCGGGATTCGGTACATGCAGCATGACTCCGTATCGTAAGGCTGTAGCTACGTTCTGGTGGGGGTAGTATAAGCTTCGTCTGGCCAATTATGATCGGCCACTTCCCCCAACCTCGATCCCAATCCTTCAGTCCCAAGCTTTGCCATGGTCGACCAGTTCGCCGGCGGCCCAGTGTTCATCGGGACGTGTTTCGGTCTCATGTGCGTGCATTTCGTTTGCATTGAACAGGAGGCACTAACCCGCCCTTGATGCAGGATGTACGGTCTGTCCGCTCACCAAGCTTGGCGTTACTTCCATGCGTACCGCCAAGACGCCCCCATTCTCAGATTCATGGTAGGGCATTGCCGTAACTTCACCAGGGGCCTCACTCTAATATGACCTTCGAGGATCCCAGGTGCTCGTCCTGTTGTGAGATGCTATTGCGATCAGATGGGCGTCGACTCAGATGCTCATTTTGCGTTTAGTATGGCGGACAGCGTTCACACCGTTTTAATAATCGCCGGATGGTGAGTGGTTTGGAATCAGTGGCGTTAATGCTATTGCTTATGTTGTAGCTATCGATATTTGGTCCTCGCGTTGCACGACCCGGGGATTCTTAAAGCCAATTCTTTGTATGTGGCACATCAGACAGACTTCTTAATACTCACGATGCACCCTAGCGCATTCCGAGTACGTACGCTGGCGGCTTGCAAGCGGGGATGCTCTGAACATTCGTTCCATATGTTGCAGATGCTTACTCCAGTATCAGTATGTTTTTATCACTCTTTCCGGACCAATCTCACTCTACCCTTCGCTTCGGTAGTGCGTCATCATAATGCTCAGTCAAGGGTACGTGGAATTTCCCCCTCTCTGAGACAGGTTCTGACCGTGGATACCAGATTCTATGTTCGTCGTGTGTACCTCTGTGAGTGCATACAAACTATCGGCTGAACGTGACTGGCTCACATGGTTTTATAGTGAGCCCCAAGTATCGCTATCGCTGCGCCGTAGCAGTAGCAGTGAGCTTGATCAATGACTCTACTGATCGTTTGTGATGCTAATCACTGAGGTGGATACAGGTAGCTTTCATGTTCGCATCCATAGGTACGCATTTGCTTGAAAACATCCCTCGGCGCGAATCTGACCTCCGTGCACATTCCAAGGATTTGCATTGGGTAGGTCTCAACAACGCGTTGCACTTTAGATCCAGCTGACAAAACCCAGCGATGACTATCCGGTCGTAAGTGCACTTCGAAAGTTCCCAGAGATACTCACTCATCGTATTCGTAGGTTCATGCTTTCCAGCCTCTCTGGCTTCGGAGAATTGACTGTAAGAAGCTTCTCTGGGGCCCGCAGAAACCCTTCTAACACATGCGCACACATATCACTGCTGTTATAGTGGATGGGATCCTTAGCATTCGCCTGCGCAATAGTCACTGACGTCATGCTCACGGCCTCTATCATCATCTACTTGCGCGGCTGCCGCACCGGCATCAAAAGGTGCGTTGTCAGTGGTCAGTCCCTGCAATGGCGCGTCTTACATGGTTCACAGGACAGATAATATGGTTCGAGTATTGGTTGTCTACACGATCAACAGCGGTATGTCTCTATGGTTTCTTGGGCCGCCTTGACTCTCCTGATGTTGTTCGACCAGGTCTGCTCACTTGGTTCGCCCAATATGTATCCGCGCGTGTTCTGCTCTTGCTGACCAGACGGTCGCTAGCGCGTTAAGCATGCTAAACGTCATCTCCGTGCGTTCCGTTCTAATCACGAGCGATAACTTCAGCGTTTACCGACGTATTACCGTACACCAGGTATACGTTTTTCCAAATCTAATGCTCGACGTCGCGCTCAACATGCCCGTCGTCAAGAGTAAGCACCACTTCCCCCGAGCGACCCGCTCGCGCCTCCTACCGCCCTGACCCCTCACCGCGCAGCATACGTCAACTCCGTGCTCGCAGTGTGAGTGAGACTGCCAGCCTCAGCCGTCCCGACTTGTGCTCACGCCGACTCCAGCTTGAACTCGCGCCGTTCGCTTGCCGCGGCGTCCGAGCTCGCGGACGACTTTGGCACGCTCGGAATGCCCGGTGACGGAGAACGCGAGTTCGTCCGCATCCGGAGGATGAAGGATCCCGTCGTGAGCTCCCCCGCCCATACGTGCCACCCGCACGGCGGCTGCTCCCGCGCTGACGGCTTCGATCAGTCCAGTATGCGCTTCCATCCCGTCGAGTCTGCGGTCGGGGTCGCTTCTACGCGCGTCTGCACGGAGGAGACGCCGCCGCGCGTGCACGCAGCTGGGTCCGATGGGTGGAAGGCGGTGTGTTTGTGCGGGGCGGACGGGCTGGGGCGGAATCATTCGGCGCGCGGGGATGCGGTCGCCACCGTGTAGGCTCGCTCGAGGCGGGACGTCTGGGCTTCTGTGTCTGAGACGTGGCTTCGCACATCAATATCACACCGCACCTGCGCTACTTGTACACGGGGCCCGCGGCGGCCTCTGCTTCGTCCGATCATGCGTCTCAGATACGTATGCGCCTCTTTCACCTCCGGTTCGCCCTCCGCGTCCAGCGGTCCGCCAGCACGAGGGTGCTGCCCACGGAGGTCACGTCGGACTCGTCGGCCTCGATGTCCTTCGTGACCTTGATGTCGATCGCAGTCGGGCCGGGCTGGACGGGGACCTGGGCGGAGCGGGGGAACGCGGCGGAGAAGGGCGCCGCGGCAACCGTCAGCGGCGCGGTCTCCGAGCCCGGCGGCGAGGCTCAGGGGGGCGACGACATACCTGCGGGACGTTCCAGCGCTCGACGGCGGCCATGCGGTCCGCGCGCGCGAAGACGTTCTGGCTGAGGCCGATGGTGGAGGTGTGGAAGACGTCGACGGTGCGGTTCATGAATATCTGGCGGGTGTTCAGGCTGCGGTCGTGACGTCAGGGGTGAGTGGAAAGATGCGGGGATGCCGCCGGACTTGACGGGACGCTCACACGCTGAGGAGAGTGTTCGTGTAGACTGCGTGGAGGAAGCCTAGTCAGGGGGGTGTAGGAGAGAGAGGGAGAGAGGCGTACGGCGGGAGGTGATGATGTTGACGGCCATCCAGACTCCGAGGCTCCCGCTGGGTAGCGTGGCGGCCTGGGTGAGGCGATTATAAGCGCGCGAGAACGGGTCAAGAGAGGACTATTGGAACGCACGAGGATAAGCCCAACTAGGTCGAACAGCCTGCTCATACGCGGGTGAGTCGGATGGGAAAGAAGTATCTGTCGGCGTAACGCACAGAATGAGAAGTCCTGATGGTGATGCGTTAAGAAATACGCAGACTGACGTCAGGAAAGAGCTGACGCACCGGTATTGATAAAGTACACAACAACCTTCTTGTACCACGACTCGCACCTGGATGGAAAAGGTCGATTTTACGAAGCGGATATGCTTCGTGATGACTCACCGGCTTGTCGGGTCTCTGTAGAGCACGGACAACAGCGCGCTGGTGAGAACGACGTCTGCGCCGGTCGCTGACGCCAGAGTGACTTCCACGAGCCACTGGAGGGGGTTGAGGGACGAGCGTGGTGTGAGGTTGGAGTTTCTCACCAGATCCTTCGACGACCACTGAGCACTCCCAGTCGCTGTGAAGCTAAATGACATACGGTCAGACTTGATCAAGCGGACGATCATATAGTGGAATCACCCCCGGACAGTAAATACTAGTCAAGAGGGGTTAGCAGGAGTCAAGCCGAGACAAAAAAGCGGTTCAGGCGCACTTATACTCGAGACTATTCAAGAGACGGTATGGCGATCAGAATTCGATCCACCCGCGAACTGAGAACACGTGCCTAGTTTCAGAGTCAGAAGCAATCCCTGAATGACATATCAGTGAAACGTATGTGGTTGGAAAAAGAAAACAAACATACTACAACTGCGGTAACCAACAAGTACGGGGTGCCGACTGCAGGATGTCAGATGCTGTCCACACAAAAAGACAGGTTTACGCCTACTCAGAGATACGCGCTTGGCGAAGAAGCTGAGGGAGCATGAGTGAGTATTACTGGCGATGGTCAAGTGTCCGAGACACCTACAGCTGAGACGTAAACGCGATCAGACTCTAGAGGCAGAGCATTGACGTCAGATCGTGAGTCACACCGCGTGTCGCTTGGGCTCACCGCGATGAAGAAAAGGAGCTGGGACACCGTGGTCAGTCAAGCGAGTCCACACATTGAGCGGAGAACACACATCCAGAGACCTGGAACGCATCCTAAGATACCAGATCTGAGCAGATTCGGCTAAAAGGCTCACCAGACGATTTGGTCGAGAATTTGAGGCTGAGCGTAGTGGGTGACCAGATAGTAGTAGCTGTGTCCTCGGGGTTACTTCGATCGCAGAGCCGTTGAAAGAGCAGCACTGACCACGTATGCATGGTCATTATGGCGTGGATGGTTTCAAGAACACTGCGTTACGACTGAGTAGCGAGTCGTTAATAAAAGAGTGCGGTAGTGCGCACATGAGTGTGATGACCTGCCATCATCGATAAGTTCCCGAAAAGCACGAAGATGCAGCAAAGCTTACAATCAGTCGGATAGCGCAGGATTCGGTCGGATTCATACGCCAGTAGCGATAGCTCTGGTGAAGAGCGGTCCCGTAGAGACTGAACGGATGTCCTTCAGCGTCATCTCACTAGTTGATTTTTAGTGACTTACATCAATCCGAGAAACGTCCCGACCAGAATGGCACCAAAAGCCCCGTCGAGGTTGATCGAGGCAGATACAAGCCCGGTGGCGTCTGAAAGAGTCATGGTGGATATATTACTGGAGGCCGCGGGGGAGGGGACGGAGTTCTCCATGCCGAAGGAGGAGGGGAGAGGGGAAGTCGCCTTCGCGAAGGGGGTCGGCCGTTGTTATACACGGATGCCGGGAAGTTGTCGTAATCACCGGAATAACCAAGTGCGGAGACCGCACCCGTGCCATGTTCTCACAGCACGCCCGCCGCAGGGATTGCCTGAACGCGCCATTCAGCAGTGGAGACAAGCGAAGGCGGACGTCGGACGAGCTCCGTCAAGCATCAGGTAACGGGGCGCTAGCTCCGGCCAATCTCTAACGCTTATTCCTGACTGAGACGCCACGCCGGTATTTGGTGAGAAGGCGTCAATGGGGTGTATCAAAGAATGCCACGGACCAGTACTTCTGGACTTCTCGCATCAATATTGCAGACTAGGTTGGAGCGGAGGCAGCCTGGCAGGTCGCAGTCATCACGGAGTAGGTGGTAGGCTTGACGACTGTGGTTTCGAGAGCCGGCAAAGGAAGCACCCAGATATGCTCGGATGAAAAATGCTGCCAAGTCTAGTGTCCGTCTGGGCGGAGACAACAGCTGCGGGTGCTCCAGGCGCTGGGAAAGTTCTGCCAGGCTCGGGGTCACGTGTCACACTTTGGCGTTGCTGATTTTGTGGCGCGTTCCGGGCCCAGGTTCTGCCGCCGGTGCCATTCGACGCCAGTTCACCAGTGCAAACTGCGCACTGCGGCCTCGCAACCCAACAGGGCCACAAGAAGACCATGATGTGATATAACCGGGATCTGAACACAGGCCTAGCGAGAACGTGTTCGTGCGCAGTATGCTTGGGTCGAAGGCTGATTCCTCGTCCACAACTCGTCGGGCCATGCAAAGCGACGCTCTACTGGGTGAGTCAATGTCAGTTCCTTCAAGGTGGCTCGCTTTCGCTCAAGGTATGTCTCCTTCGTGCCTTTCGCTTCGACTTGTACGTCTGCTCACGTTTTCGAAGCGTAGATCGCGGCCTACGGTACCGGCTTCAATAGACGATGCAGCCGTCAGTCACGCAATCGTGTAGTCCCACATCAAGGGCGCCGAATGCAACCGTTCGCATTGCATGGGAGTCATGGAAGCTCGTGCTGTATGCAGCACATATACATCTCACGCTTTCGCGTCGCTGATTCAGTTCGCCTCCTGACTGCGGTGTGGCGTGCTCTCCGTATGCCAAGACCGGATCTAGATGATTGACTCAAGCTTTATGCAACGAAGCAATGTCTCGCGATCCTGTCCACCGCCTTCGCGACATCGCTCCACTCGATGGTGCCGCCCTCCAGCGTCCGCAAGTTTCTTCGTTAGTGCTTCTGTCATGTGAACGAACTTAATCTTTGTTCGAAGGTCTCGTCATAGCCTCGCGCTAATGTGTCCGGTGACACTGCTTAAGAGGCGGACTCCCCGCACTTCCTCTGACCTTGACCCGCAGTTCCCTTCCCTCACACGAGTCACCAAAGCACTATGGATGGAATCCCCACAAATTCATCGCAGTCGGAACTTGAAATCATTCGACAGACCGTCCAGGAAAATTATGGATCGATCATGATTGGGACTTTTATTGGGCTTATGTACGTCTATTCTGAGATCTGCTCTCTGTAACGCTGACGTGCATTCGTGGTCAGTCTATATGGTGTTTCACTACACCAAGCATTTCGATACTGGATACTTCATCCCACGGACGGGTATGCCATCCGGTCTATCGTGCGTACTCTCTCTAATTTTCTGAACCTTAAACAACGCTCAATGCTGTTTGTAAGGTCGTGTCGCTATGGTAAGAATCGCAGCATGCATCAGCACTTACGCCGCCGAGCTGACTTCCGCGTTCATTAAGCTTTCTTGAAACTCTCCACTCAATCGCGACAATGCACACCTGGTAAGTACGCCTCCTCGTCAGATCGATAAAGCCTGAGTCTTACTTGACTGCGGCAGTTACCACTATCTGGTCACTGGATATTTCAATCCCGGCGGACTCGCGTCTACTGTGTGGTGCGTTGCTTCGTGAAATTTCTAGGATAAACTTTATTCAATGTACTCTTAGGTCCTTGACAGTATGTGTCACGCTTACTTGGGGTATTACCCAGATGCTGACGACGCAATTACTTGCAGATTGCGTTTGGAGTCTCGGTATGGATACTTCTTCCTCCGCTGTTTCATATTCCAAATCAACATGATGCCCTCAGAGTCTCATCGCTATCACAGCTCAGCTGTAAGGAGTCTTTTGATTTATAGTCCGGGTGTTATTGAGATGATATCTAGCTTCTTTGCGAGACGAGTCAGCCTCAGTCCGTATCTCGCACTTTAAATATTGGGTAATGTGCTCACAGTCACACAGTCTCCCTGAAATACAAGATGTTGGCGTTGCTAGCGGTACGTCCCGTATTCGCGATGCATTACAACGCGTGGTTAGATTCTGGCACAGGGAGTACTACTGCTCGTCAAGCTGGGTAACTTCGAATTTCTTACCCAATGACGTCATTGCTTACTCAATGGCTTCCCTCACAAAGCTGGCAGCATAGGTATGTCCTCTGATCCTAAATTTATATTGGACCAGCGCGCTGAAAAAATGAGGCTAGCGTACACAATCCGCGGGTATGTGCACGAGAGATTCCGCACTCTTCAGGGACTGGGCTCACGAACCTATCTCTAGGTTTACATCCTCCAGGAACGACATTTGGGAGATGGAGAACCAGGTACGCTTGTCTGCTGGGTTGTAATTTCATGTCACTCACATGATAGCGTTTTGTCAGTGGATTCCTCAACTCGCTCTTGGTGCAGCGACGGTCGCAGATGTATTGCTTTCCGGATCACTTTTCTCGGTGATATTCAAGAGCAGCGCTGGCCACGAACGGTAGGCATATCGCTCGACTTCGAAAGTGTACACTAATTCCGCTCTAGATCGTCTTGGCGCAGTGCGATCATAATTTTTGGGATCAATACCGGTGCGTCGCTGTGTATTAGTGCACGCGTAATTCGGCTGATCCACCGAATTCTAGGCCTTCTCATCCTGTAAAACCGTTGTCATAACCATCGGCTTCCATGCTGATGCACGTTCGCAGAATTTTCGACCTCACATGCTTCGTTTTGGTACGCTGTCCGTGGCTTGAGACAAAGACATATCTGACCGATTTCGCCTCAGGCACTGGCCAAACCCAACAATGGCTACTGGGGAGCGATCAATATCGTGACTGTCAGGCGTGAGTCGGAAGTTTTCATCCTCATCCTCACTCTCTGATCTATTGCAGTTTACGCAAACACTCTTTTCAGCGTGTACGTATACACGATCTCATCGATCGCCGGGAAGTGCTGACTGTCGCAAATGCAGCCTCAATTCGCGCCATATCCAGCTCAACCGTCACATCGACCTTACAAGTGACACACATCTCCTTCGCGGCAACATCTTCGCGCGAGCGAACATGCTCGCCACTGCAGAGCGTTGGAACGTCCCTCAGGTGAGCGCGTATGACCAGGGTGGCTCGTGTTGGATTGCTGATGGGTTTTGATTTTCCGCACACCATATCAGACGAAGAACGACGCGCCCTCAGCGGCCATCGATATCAGGGTTACAACGGGGAATGAACGGTTTCTCGATGGGGGGAATTTCGCAGGCGTCGTGTATAAAGACCGGGGGGACAGGAAGCCCGCTGCGGTGAATGAGTTGTGATGGGCGAGACTGGCGTTCGGAGCGGCACTGTTCGTGCAAGACTGCCTGTTTGAAGTTATATATATGCTGAGAGTTTCCACCACGTTGTAGTACTCCGCGAGTGGCAGTGGACGTGGCGCCGAAAGTTTCTCATCTGAAATGTCGTCCCATTCGAAAGGACGCGTAGGAATCCATGCTTATGGCGGCGGACGTATCGAGCGGGCTGCTGCCACCTGCTGGCAATAAGCAAGCATGGCAGGCGTCCGAGGCGTACGGGGCCTGGAATCCACCGGGGCGGTACGGACCGGCCCCCGCCACCCGCCGTTCTCCTTTTCTGTATTAGCGTAGGTTAGCGTAGACGCTCTCTCCTTTGATCCACCACGTCCTCCGCCTCGTCTTTCTCTCTCCCCTTGTTTTCAGCCTTCTGGACCGTGCCGTTCCTTATGTCTACTCCATCCACTCCAACCCCTTGCCACATGGCAGCGTCTTCCTTCAGCAATCATTCTCTCGGCGTCCTCGAGCCATGTCACGGTTGGGCCTGAAGGCGGTGAGTTGACTCCTTCCAATCCTCGCATAGCACGACACCTGTCAGTGCGTTGTAACCTTATCACAACATCCCTTGCACAGGGCTACGTTGTCCACCGCTGCTCGAGGACGAGATAGACTTCCGACGACAATGTCCACCGAAACGACCCTCATCGACGACTCGGATCCCGTCGTGCAGTATCAAGCTGGGTGGATGCCGGACTCAGGAATCATTGGCGTGTATGGAACCAGGCATGGAGCGGCTGCAGCGCCGCTGGAGGTCCGGCTGCCGTTCTCAGGTGTGTTCGCACCTTGCTCCTCCGATTCCCCGTCTCATCCCTACATCCATCCCTTATACGAACCCTTCTTGTCGCGATTCTTCGAATTCGTCTCCACATAGGGACAGGAGTTCAAGTGTTCGGACAAGTCGGACCGTCCTCTCTGTACGGTCAACCGACGACACAGTACGCCGTAGACGGCAAGAAAATCAGCACCTACACCGCGCCGTTCACCCCCACAGACACCACAAGCTACAACGTCTCATTCTTTGCGATGCACGGGCTTAACGCCGCGGACCACGAGCTTGTTATCACCACCACCAACGGGACTGCGCCGAACACCTTCTGGCTCGACTTCTTTCTCATCGACGTACCCGCAGGGGGCACCGTTCCCAGCTCCACTGCTTCGTCGACGACTTCGACTTCGGTCTCCGCTTCGCCAGCGGCTTCTGCAGATGTTGCGCCGGGCGTTACAGGGGGCAAGAAGGACATCGCCGCCATCGTCGGCGGGGTCCTCGGCGCGATCGTTTTCCTCCTCCTCCTCTCCGCTGTGTTCTACCTGTGGACCCGTGTGAGGAAGTTGACTCGTGCTACAAGTGGTGAGTCCTTCGACGGTTGGTACGCATTCATCTTCCCAATCATCGCATGCAGATCCACGCCATGTCGTTCCGTCCGATATCGACGATGCAAAGTACCCCGAGTCGTCTTCCTCACCAGTCCCTCAAGAGACCTTTGCGCATCCTCCTACCTCACCCATGGGTGTCACTGTCGCTGCCACGACGCCAATCGCGGGCTCTGTTCTCCACGACCGCTCACCCGAACCATCGTCCCCTTCTCCTGATGGCCCCGCTCCGCCCACAGCCTTGCCGTCCTCAGCATCCCTCGAATCCGATGCTGATGTCCTTGCGCCGCACACGGAAGTCTCCCGCGCGCATTGGTACGCCGCGCCGGAGCTGCAGTCACGGGCGCAGTCTCTCCTCAGCGTATTCTCCGCCCGTAACAGCCCTCGTCCCACCGGCAAGGTGTCCAGCCCGGGAGAACCCGCACTGGAAGGTGGCCCTGTCGTGGACTCGGGTTTGCGGCAATACAACGAGCCGATGCTGCCTCCTGCGTATACTGCCGACTGAAGGTGGAGTGAGGGTTGTTGAGAGTCTTAAGCGTCCGTTAGGATATCGCGGTCGTGATGTACGTATGCTTCTCCGACTACGTTATGACGTACTTTATGTCCAGCCCCCGTGTCTTCGTGACTGCCTCAGTCAGCTTGAATCGCCTGCGCGACTCGAGGAGTGTCTTGTCGAGATCGAGGAGGTTCGAGTGAAGATCGTTGGCGTTGAAGAAGATCTAACAAAATCGACTAGACGTGTTCCGAAGACCTGGAGAGGGAAATTCAACGGCAGCGGTCTCAAATCACCGAGGCCACCCAGTCCTGTGCTTCACGACGTCACCTCCGAGCTCATACCGCAGCTGCGTACCGCTCAGCACCTCCGACTGCGAATACCTTCGGAGACCTCGCCCGCGACCTAGAAGCGCACGAAGCCCACATCGACCGCGCGCGGGGTCGGCGCGAACACGGCTTGATCAGCGCCCACCAAGACTTCCCCGGCACAAGCGACCGCCGACGCCGACGAGCGCTGCGCTCGGTCCGCGCGCGCGATCATACGACCTTCGCCGAACCCGCCGCCGCTCCCATACGCCCACTGTTCTTGTGCGTGTGCGTGTGGCGCGCTCCCGCGCCGGCGGAGGAAAGCGTCGTCACGCCTCTCCACGCCCTGGACCATCTCCGCCGGGACCTTGTGCTCGGCGCCGGGCGCGACTTCGCAGAGGGCGGACTGGTTGCGGTGGTCTCGGGAGCTGTCGACCCGTTCCTTCTTTCCGATGCTTGCGAAGGCCGTCATCAGATAGCGCGTGAGGGATTCACACACGTACACACGACTCGGCACGCCTCCCGAGGGTGGGTAGGTGCACGCGACAGAAAACATGGTCATTCACGGGAGCAGCAAGTGGAAATCACGACAAGATTCCGCCTGAGAGGATTTGCAGTGTCGTTCAGTGTATGATAGCATTGAATAGCGCACGACGCCAAGATGCCCGTGTAAACATACACTCCACAAACATACATAGAGACCCCGAGACTGGCTGTAGAGCAGGATCGCACACACGTATTCATGTCAATACTAAGGCTAATGGTCAGTCAGCCCACTCGTGGACCCCGCTGTACCACCCTCAAGCTCACAATCCTTCGTTTCGTCCTTCTCCACATCGCCATTCTCCAGTCCGTACGTTTCGTCCTTGTGCTGCTGCATCGGCACCTCCCGCATGAGGGCGACGCTGAGGGCGCCCGCGGCGCAGAAGCCGAGCATCGCCTTCCACACGGTCGCCATGCTCGCCGCAAAGGCCGCACGGACCTCGTCGCGGAGCGGCTGGGGGATCGCGGGGATCGCGGGGATCGCGGCGTAGGCGATCTCGACCCCGGAGGGGAAGGCGAGGAGGAAGTCGGCGGGCAGGCTGGACTTGAGCTCGTTCTGGAGGATGGCAGCGGAGATGGCGACGCCCCAGGTCTGTGCACGGAGCGAGTGTGACTAGCTAGCAGGGGCGGTGCGTCGAGGAGGTACGCACCTGAGCGAACGTGCGGGAGAAATTGTAGAAGGCGAGGGCGGAGGCGGCGCGGGACACAGGGAGAGGCGCGAGGATGGGGTAGACGGTTGTTGCCCACTGCGGGTCGCGTCAGCTGGAGAGACTCTAGGCACAGACGTGGAGGGGTGGTGCGTACGATCACACCCAGACCCATGGCCGTGATGATCTGGAAGCCGACCCACTCGCCGGTGGACGAGTCCGCTTTGAGGAGCGTGAGCAGGCCGAAGCCGATGAGGAGCAAGGCCCAGCCGATCATATTTGCGGGCCGGTACTTTTTCATGACCCTGACGAGCACTCCGAAGAAAATCGCGAAGGGCGACAGGATGAACGCGGTGGGGAAGATGTCGACTGAAGACCGGATAGGCGAGGCGTCCTTGCAGGCCTGGAAGTATACGGGTAGGTAATCTGTCGACAGGGTCAGCAGCGCTTGAGGACGCAAATGTCCAGAACCCACAGATAAGAGCAATGCTGACAATCCCATGGAAGAAGGTGCCGATATAGCCCGCGAGACTGGTGCGGTTCGCGAGGATGTCGAGGGGCAGCGCCGGATGCTTCGCGAAGAACGCCTCGTAAATGAAGAAAAGGAAGATAAGGAGAAAGCCGAGGATGAGTGGCGCGAGGACGTGCGCAGAGGTCCAAGGATAGCGAATTCCTCCCCATGTGAGCGCAACCAACGCGAGTGTCGTGCCGGCGATGATAATGAAGTTGCCCCTGAGCGTGTGGAGTCAGCTTTCGTCGCAGTTGGTGAATAATATGCATACACGAAGTCAATGCGCGCTATTTTCTCGCGCACAGTACCTTCTGGAGTTCGGACGCGGAGGAATATCATGGCAAGGAAGAACGCGATACCGGCCAGAGGAAGGTTCAGATCTGGACACACGATTGTCAGATGTGGTCGGGGGCACATCGAAGCGATACTCACAGAACAGCCACCTCCACGTAACCTTCTGCGCAAACGAACCACCCTGTTAAAGGGGTAAGCTAATCGAGCACCGCGTCGACTTGGAGGCGATGGCATACGATGACAGGCCCGACACCAGCTGCAAATGCCCAGGTGAGCACGAGCAGACCTTGGTAGAGACCGCGTTCGGCCAAAGGAATGAGGTCCGACGTGATGATTGTTGCCAGGTTGATGATCCCTCCCCCACCAATACCCTGCACCGCTATAGAACACGGTCAGCAAACGAGTTCAAACGCAGGTCGAACACTCACTCCTTGCGGCAATGAGCCAGTGCATGTTTTGAGCAGTGGCACAGAGAAGACTGCCAAGAAAGAAAAAGCCGACGCAGGCGAGCATGATCGGACGGCGACCGATGATATCCGCAAGCTGGCCGGTGAAGGGGAGGACGGCGGCCGCAGCAAGGTTGTAGGCAGCACCAACCCAGACGAATTCCTCGCCTCCGTTGAGGTCTTTGGTGATCGTCGGAAGCGCAGTGGACACGGCGGTGACATCGAGAGCGCTGAGGAAGTTGCAGACGACGACGGAGGTGTAGGACAGCCAGAAGACAGAGCCCTTGGGCTTGGATGTGGAGGTCATTTTGGTTGAGAAGTCGAATCAAGACGGAAGTGGGCAGGAAGATGGACGCGCGGGTGGACACGAGGATATAGAAGACGAGAAGTGAGCCGAGGGCACCGTGTTTTCGGGGGCTCGGCATTTCCTGGGGGACTGACTCGCGTGCTCCGGACGACTGAGCGCACAGAGGCGATGAGGAGGAGAAGCAGGGAAGGGGTGGCGAGTGATCATCGGGCGGAGTCTCAGATCCTGAACACGAGTCAACTTGCGCTCGTGCGCGCGGGGAATCTCACGCGCGGTTGCAGGACCCACAATTTGAACGCTCGGTAGCCGTCTTCTGTTTGATGTGGCATGATGACACTGCAAAAATTGCAGACGTTGGCCAATTTCAAGCCTCCTTTGGAACCATGGACTTACGGCTTGAGGTGACATCTGTCGGGCGGTATGCGTTTACCATGTCATAAAATCACGGTGGCCCCACACTCACAAGCGGCGGCGGCAGCGGTTGTAGGCAGTTGGGAGAACATATGCGTCTGTGAGCTGGCAGAAGAGATTAGATTCGGCGCTTCGGCGCTTATGTGTAGGCACGTGTACCACAGAGCGCCAACGCTGCCGCCCTGTCGGACGATCGAGCTGCTTCGATCACATCAGGAAGGGGCTCAGCGCATCCCCAAACGCAGGGAGCGGCATGTCATGGACAGAGGTATGTGTCAGTGTGCACATTAACCGTGTAGTGCGTTTCCCTGCGGTGTCACTTGTTCTCACATGCATGTTAGGCTCTCAGAGGACACAGCTACGTAGTGCGAACCAAATGTCACGCGCATTTTGAAGCGCTCTGATTCCTAATCACCGATCGGCATACCTTAACTCCGATCGGCCTTGCTCACTAATATTCTAGTGTATTACTCATATTACTGTACTATCTTTAGACACACCTCGACTAATATATAAGCTGAGCAGACTCTGGCTTAAACCCCAGTGTTTACTTGGTACATTCTCACCTGAACTCCCTCGCTCTGAGCTCGCGCCGGCCCTAAGGCGTATCATAAGTAAACACTGCACCAACTCGCCTCTTCGACGCACCGTCTCGGTCGCCAACCGCGGAGCCCTCCTTCCTCATCACCTTCACCTCTCTCGACACCACCCTCCTACCTCTCAACAACGTCGACACCGTCTCGGTCGCTGACACCACCCTAACCCTACTCAAAATCTACCCGACTCAGAACCCTGCCTGTACGTATCCGATTGCAGACCCCTACATTCCCTTTCCTCGCCCCTACGTACACACGTGGCAGACAGTCCTGTGGACAGCCGTGTTCGGGAGACCCCACAATCGCGTGCGGTAAAACCGTTGCTTACGTACCCTGCCCCTAGTGTATGTTCGACGACGAAAGCTGCTGGGACTCGCTGCTCGACGACCTGTACCCCGAATACCCGATCCCCGACTCGCCAGCACGCTGGAGAACACCGACGCCACCAACGGAGGAAGCCGAAGAAACCAACTTCGGAGAGAAAGAGCCCACCGAGCACGTCGACGAGACGCGCAGACCCAAACACTTGCCGAGGTCACCGATCACACCTTCGGCGACTCAACTACCCCTGTTCCTGCCGTCCGCATCACCGTCACCGAAGATCGTCCCTACACGCGCCAGATCAACATCGGTGGTGCTGAGTTTGACCTCCGACTCCGACTCCGAGAAATCGACGACGAGTACGAAGCACTCTACGGCGAACCCCCAAGCCGAGAAGAGTCCACCGTCCCCGATTCCGAGGCCGTCCCGTCCCTTCCGATACCGATCTTCGCGAGCACCTTCCCCACCTACCACTCAACCCTCGCGGAACGCGCTCGCACCGACATCGACGGAATCAATTATTGTCACGGGTTACGGCACATCCGAGCACCCCTATACAATTTCCGACCTGAGCACCGACAATTCTTCTTCCTATCGCACTACTTCGAGGACGGAGAAGTCGAGCCACGGTCGTGTGCCATTCAACCCTGCCCCCATCGTCGATCGTCGGAACGAAGAAGTCTTCTCTACGCGCCTCCAGGATCATTCCTCTATCCTCCTCGCTCCATCACCCCGGACCCCGCTCCCATCTATCCAGAGCCTAACGAGGAACCCACACCTCGTTACGAACAACAGGAGTCCTGCCCATCTCTCGAGGAGTTCGACAGAGCGCGAGACAACGACTGGTGCGGCCTCTTGGTCGAACAACGCGAGGAGATCGACGAAACCTTCGACCGCATCTGGAACGACGACGAAGCCCTCGACGCCTGGCTCGACGCCCCCCTACACCACTTCTAAGCCAAGGTGGAGTACCCGTGCCGCGACACATACCACTATCAACAACGCAACCCCGTCACTGGCCAGTGGTCCGACGCACACTTCGATCACGGGACATCTCACTTCTGCGTCGACGATCCGTGCCCCAATAGAAGTCGAAACCAACGACCACTCGAGTCCTTCGAAGAAAACGATACCTATCGGCTCATTCCCGAAGAGGAGCATCGACACGCTGCTCCACGAGGATCGTCCCACCAAGAAGAGGACCCTCCAATCTCGACTCCTCTCCCCGACGCTCCTTCCGGATCAATTCCCGGCTCGTCCCGAAGATCCGCACCCGCTTCCCCGACGACCCGAGCACCTTCCCGAAACTCCAACCGCAGCCCCTCACCCCAACCTCATCACGGCATGGCACAAACAGTCACGCTCGACGCAGCTGGCATCAACGCTCTCATCGGCGTCTTCCAGCAGTTCCAACAACCCCTACCGGCGGCGCTCCACGGGCAGCCGAGGGCGCAAACGGTTCGTGCCTCCGGTCCGAAGCTCCGCGAACCCACCACCTTCGACGGAAAGTTCGAGCACTACCGGGACTGGAAGCACGAGATTACAAACTATGTCGGAGGCTTGGGAGACCATCAAGCGTTCTCTTTGATATTGTCGTACATTGTACCTACGGATTGAGCTGTAACAGTATGGAAGACCCGTTTCATTTCCGCGAACACGAACGCTGCTGGTGCCTGGACGATAGCGGACAAAGCCGCCTTCTGGACTCTCCTAGATACCGAGTTTCTTCCCCTGAACGATAAATACGACGCAATGAAGGCGCTTGAACGTCTTAAACAAAACAATCTACCCGCGCAATCGTTCTACAATGAATGGGAGGATCTCATGACCAGATCAGGAGAAGATAGAACGGCGCAGATCTGGATGTCGACACTACTCCAAGCCTTAAACCCGTACCTAGTCGGACAAGTCTTCAATTCCGGAGTCATTCCGGCCGACTACAACGCTTGGAAGACGCGCATCCTCGCGCTCGACAAAAACTACCGCACGTACGGCATCCAATACGCAACACAATACGGCGCTGGAGCGTCATCTTCGCGCGCGGCACCCGCCCAACCAACCAGACAAACTCCGTACTACCCACCAGCTCGTAACCCATACGTACCACAGACGCAACCTCGCTTCTATCCAGCTCCCGCTCGACAATACGCCCCACCGGCTGGACCACCGCCCCGAGTCTACAACACCTTCGCTCCATACCGTCCTTCGGCTTATCCTCCCACGAACCAACCACTGCAAGCAGGAGATCGCCGAGTACCTACCGGAGTTGTCCATGGAGGTCGCGGACAGGCTATGGACGTGGACAGTTTCAAAACGCGTCCCTGTCGCAAGTGCGGACAACCGCGCACGGCCAAGGGACTCTGCGGAGACATGTGGCACATCCCCAATCGACCAGCCCAGCAACAGGCGCGGAGTTGGATGGTACAGGACACGCGCGAACAATTCATCGCGAGCGTGCAACAGTACCTGATGGAAGAACCAGGGGACTTCATGGAGAACGTCATGGGACAGCCGGAGGAGGTGGGAGATTTGGCCGACGACATCCGAGAAGATAGTCGTCAGGATCAGGACTTCGGGTACCCCCAAGAATACGAGCAGCAGCAGCAGTCTTTTGTCGACGGTTTGAATTAACCACACATAGTTCAAACCCATACACGGCACTCTCAGTTTCGGACTCTTACGAGCACATGTACGATATGACGGACTACAATGTTACCCATGACTTGGCTCACCTCATCCTCACTCATATGCAAAATCCTACTTACCCTACCGTATCGGTACCGGTTTCTTATCCCGCTCCAAATCATGTAACATCACAAACCGAAGAGGCGTCCTCTACGAGGCGCGGTCGACGTGAATCGACGCTTAATTCCTCTTTTACAAATACCAAAAAAATCGAAAAAGAATCTTGTGTGGAGATCCCCAAACCAAAAAACACCAACGCCATTCGCATCATGACCTATGGTCCCAGCTACTTCAAGGTAGTTCGAGGAACTGGTCATCGACGACAACTCGATGTCCCTGTTATGATCACGAACCCAGAAACAACTCAGCAGTATGACGTCAAAGCCCTGTTAGACACAGGTTGCACTGGTTCTTGCGTTCATCGAGACTTCGTTACACGAGCAGGACTCACCACAAAACCATTCGATCAAGCGATCGACGTCTTCAACGCCGACGGATCACCAAATACTGGAGGACGTATCACACATTACGTAGAAGCTATCATGCAGATCGGAGATCACCGAGAACGAATCCCGTTCTTAGTCACCGACCTTGGCAAAACAGACTTGTACCTTGGACATGACTGGGTTGAGCATCATAACCCGTCAATCGATTGGAAGACTAAAACAATAGACTTCAATCGCTGTCCTACCACTTGTCAGCATGTAGTAACACCAAACGAGCGCGTTTATGCACTGAACGTTCGCTCGTATCTCCAATCTCGATCTATACAGATCAGACGATCCTCGGCTCCGGGACATTTCATGGATACCTTACCCGGTGTAAATCCTCTCTCGTGGGGTCAGCCTGACCTCACAGAAGACTTCTCGAAGGAAGCAAAGCGAAAGTTCGAAGAAACCTTCCAGCGCGTAGTACCAAAGCGTTACCAAGACTTTCGAGATGTCTTTGAAGAAGCTGGTTTCGATCAATTGCCCGATCATCGCCCCTACGATCACGCAATCGAACTCACCGAAGGATCGAAACCATACTGCGGAAAGTTATATTCTATGTCCCTAGATCAGCAGAAGTCTCTGGAAGACTTCATAGAGGAGAACCTGAAGTCAGGACGGATTCGTCCATCCAAGTCACCTTGGGGAGCGCCATTCTTCTTTGTTAAGAAGAAAGACGGAAAGCTACGACCAGTTCAAGATTATCGTATGCTTAATTCAATGACGAAGCGCAATGTCTATCCTCTTCCCTTGATGACAGAGCTATTCGATCAGTTAAAAGGAGCTCAATACTTTACGAAGTTTGACATTCGTTGGGGCTACAACAATATACGCATGAAGGAAGGAGACGAAGAGAAAGCAGCATTCCTAACCAATTTAGGACTCTTTGAACCTTTAGTCATGTTCTTTGGCCTTACGAACTCTCCCGCTACTTTCCAAACTATGATGAACGATCTATTCCGAGATCTCATCCTGAAAAGAAAGTTGATCGTATACCTCGATGACATCATCGTTTACTCTGTTGATCTCGAAGATCACCGTCGCACCGTCCGAGAAGTCCTTCAGATCCTACGAAACAACAATCTTACGTGTAAACCCGAAAAATGCGAGTTCGAAGTCCAGGAAACCGAATATCTGGGACACATCATCACGCCCGGTGAAATACGCATGGATCCTAAAAAGATTCGTGGAGTAACCGATTGGCCAGTACCACGCAACAAGCGAGATGTTCAAAGTTTCCTCGGCTTCGCAAACTTCTACTGCCGCTTCATACAAGGGTTTTCTAAAATCGCCGGACCCCTGAACCGACTCACCGGACTTAATGAATGGAAATGGACAGACGAAGAACAATCTGCCTTTGAAGGGATTAAGCATGCGATCACCCATGCTCCCGTCCTCGCTATTCCAAATGACGACGACCCCTTCAGAGTAGAATGTGACGCCTCGAACTTCGCGCTAGGAGCTGAGCTCGCGCAACTTCAGAACGGACTATGGAAACCAATCGCGTTTCTATCACACTCTCTTAACCCCACCGAGCGCAATTACGAGATTTGGGACCGAGAAATGCTCGCGGTTATGACTGTGCTACGTGAATGGCGACACTTCCTACTCGCTTCACGTCAACCATTCGAGATCCACAATGATCATAAGAATCTCGAATATCTGCGCAAACCACAAAAACTTAACGACAGACAAGGTCGTTGGGTTTCTGAGCTCTTGGACTACAACTTCAAGCTCGTACACAAGCCCGGTCGCTCCATGGGAAAACCAGATGCTCTCTCACGACGAGCGGATCACGCCGTAGACGTTCCAAAAGAAGACACTACATTCCTTAAACCACAATGGTTTGCGGCAATCGCCGCGGTTCACGGGACCGAAGGAATAAAACAAATGTGTCTTAAACACGTTGAACTCTACGATCGCTCTGTGATTGAAAAGCTGGGCCAGAATGATGAATTCGAACAAGCCGAGGACGGCTTGGTCTACAGGAGGGGTAATTTGGTCATTCCGAACCATCTGGAAACACGCGGACACGTAATCGCTGCACATCACGATACGATCACGGCGGGACACCCAGGTGCACAAAAAACTCAAGATCAGATCCAGAGGTTCTACTGGTGGCCATCCTTGCGAAAAGACGTTCGAACATACGTTGCAGGTTGCCAGAAGTGTCAAACCGCCAAAATTGATCGACAACCACGTGCAGCACCGCTGAATCCTAACCCCATCCCCGAACGAAACTGGCAGTACATCTCCATGGACTACATGACCGGACTTCCCACGTGCAATGGTTACGACGCTATACTCGTCTTCGTAGACATGAAGTCAAAAGACTACATTGCAATCCCCTGTACCAAAGACATAGACTCGGTTGGCCAAGCCAATCTATTCATAGAACACGTATACGCACAACAAGGTTTACCCGATAGGATCTGGTCCGATCGAGGACCCACACTAGTCTCTACGTTCACCAAAGATCTATACCGAAAACTTGGGATCAAAGGCAATCCCAGTACAGCCTATCATCCCCAAACCGACGGTCAAACAGAACGTATGAACCAAGAGATCCAAACGTATCTCCACATCTTTGTTAACCACCGACAAGATGACTGGGTACATTGGTTACCCTTAGCCGCCTTCGCGTATCGCAACCGAGTTCACTCCGCTACGGGATTCTCCCCTTTCTTCATGACTCATGGTTATCACCCCTACACCGGAGTAGAGACGCGTAAACCTATCCCCAATGAAACTGCTACACAATTCGCCGATCGTATTAAGTCCATCGGACAACAAGCGACGGAAGCAGTACAGGTTGCGCAAGAAGCCATGAAACGGCACTACGATCGACACAAAGGACCCTCTGTTAAGAGTTGGGAATGGTATCCTAGCGCGCCGCGAGCAGGACTCGCGCGTGCGAGGACGGGCGGCTGTTAGCGATGCGGATCGGGCGCATCGAGATCGGACTCACATGGACACGCGTAGATATAGCTCGCGCCCGCGCTCGGCGGGCGCGATCACTCTACCACCTCGCACTACCGTTGTATTCGTCCCCTCAATCTATAGGTTTGGACGAGTCTGACATCGGTGCGATACCTTCTGTCCTTTTACATCTTTTTTGACTCCCCAATCTCACGATTGAGGTCTACTGAATATGAGTCACAGCCCACACTACACAGACCCATTCGCGCCGTTCGCACCCACGACAGAAATGCCCGCGGGTCCGACGCGAGTGCGGATTCCCCACGCTACTTCGTCGCGACCGTCGAGCTCGATTACGGCGCGTGGTGAACGCGTTGCCAGCGCATCGCCATTACGTGCACGAGCTCACGAGTTTGACGAAGACACCTACCGCCCGGCATCCCGAATCCGGGCACCAGGAGCGTCAGTCACGACTCCCCCGTCACCGACGCCCCGACCGCCCACTACGACCGGAGCACTGGCCGTAGGTGAGTACAGTTCCGTCGTGGCCCCCGTACCACGGCGAGATGCATCGTTCTCCCCTTATCACGACTCGATAATGTCGAGTACGCATGCGGGACCATCAATGGACCCCGAGCGTCAAGTGAATACCCCTGTGGCCGAGCGAGCCGTCGCCGTTAGACCGCGGGTCGTGACGTTACAAAATGAACTGAGTGCACAGCGCGAGCAATTGGGCGCGCTGTACGCCAAGTTCGATACATTCGTTACCGACATGAAAGGCGAATTTCTCGACCTCGCTTCACGTTCGAATCGGGTAATGGAGACTACGAATAACGCGCTAGTGGACGTCGATGGTGTTATTAGCTA